TTTTCATTGATTTGAGGCTGCTATTTATCCAAACGTTACTGCTTTGTAGTTTTCATATGCCATATACAAAAAGGCTAGAATCACATTTGCTCTGTTTGGAGATACCATTTCTTAAGTGCAGTCAATTTATTCTAATGCTATTGTTTGCATATATTTAACAGATACTAATTATTGAAATTATAAATATAAATTGTAATAAAGCAAAGAAAAACAGATCGTATCTTGAGTGAAAAGAACAGCAACTTCACATGATAATATTTCAGATCTTTGGTATTCAAAAATCTCAGTTAACATATATCATTATGTGTTGTATCTTATCGGAGTGTAGTATGGTTTTAGCTGGTTTAGCAGTCATTTGAATCATTGAATGAAGGTGAACTTCTGTCCCACTGGTATTCTGTTGCCATAGAAACAATTTAAGACCATATGCTTCCGAATACAGTTTTGGGTTTTTTACAAGATCTTATTAGAAATCACGATAACTTTATGAAAAGCACAAACATTGACCATTACTACCTTTTGCCAAGTAGTATTTTCAAATTTCATCTTTTGTCCTATATTATCTTATCTTTATTGTCTATATATATCTTATATATTTTATATTGTATATAAATATTGTATATATTGAAGGATGTCTCCGAATGCCTTTTCAAACTTCACGTTTGACCATTTTAGACAAAACGCAGTGCAAACGTTCATTTTCTCACCAGCTTACAGTTTTTGTAATATTTCCCTAGTAGTTTGTTTCAGGTCAGGTCTGAACTGTTTCTTTTTCTCTTCATCCCAAATAAACACCTCATACTTGACCATGTGTTCACTAATGTTGTAATCATAATATACTGCTCCAGACAAATGTGGACCAGTGGTTAAAGCAATCGCTCAGCTTGTCGAAAGCCTGAGTTCGATTCCTCTCAATGAGTGAGGCCCATTTCTGGTGTCCCCCACCATAATTTTGCTGGAATATTGCCCAAAAAGGGTGTAAATCACTCACTCACTCCAGTCACATGTAAGGAAGTCCTCCTATTCTTTCAGGAACTTGGTACAGCAAGTGATTCATCCCACAGAATTGCTCACAGGTCACACCAGGCCAATATGGAACGGTTCCACGGAGCAAAGAAGAAAGCTGCTGTAGTCCAGCAGCGACAAGTCAGTGACAAAAATAATTATGACTCGTACTTGAATTACAAATGTTAAACTTCATCATCGTCAGCCTGCATGACTGCATATTGAGACCAGGAGTGCCCCTGGAGGAAACCGACGCTATGGAATATTCCGTTCTGTTGAACACTCGAGCTATATCTCTGCCGTGTTGTCAGAATAGGATTCTAGACCTGTGCACTATTCCGATGTTGTTATGTGATGCTATGTATGTGTTATAGATGCATCTGTCCATGCTGAATCGACAATATTTACACATTGTAAGCAACACGACATGCCATGTAATATGTGTATCACAACAGCTATGTATGTCTTCATGTCTTTACCAGGTATGTTTACTTATAGTTGATGGCCCTTTTAGGCAATATGTTGTTAAACAAGTTGCTAACGTTGATGGGGAGGTGGGGTAGCCTAGTTGTTAAAGCGTTCACTCGTCATGTCTAAGGCCCGGGTTCAATTCCGCCATGGGTACCATGTGTGAAGCCCATTTCTGGTGTTCCCCGCTCTGATATTCCTGGAATATTGGTAAAAGCGGCGTAAAAACCATACTCACCCACTTCCTGCTGCTGTTGATGGAATTAGTGAGACTATGTCCAGTGATATTATATTGTTTTTGTAAGATGTGTTTTTAACAGACTATTCCCAGTTTACTTGTGACCCGTGAAGATCCGGGGTAGAATAGGTCTTCAGCAACCCATGCTTGCCGTGAAAGGCAATGCTTGTCGTAAGAGGCGACGGACATGATTGGGTGGTCAAGCTCGCTGATTTGGTTGATACATGTATCCCAATTTCATGGATTGATGCTCATGATGTCAATCACTGGATTGTCTGGTCCAGACTTGATTATTTACAGACCACCGTCATATAGCTGGAATATGGCTGAGTGCAGGGTTGAACAACAAATAAATAGAAATAAAATTATAGTTTACTTGTTCCCTTTATATTTATTCTGTTTTATATGTATTTAAGGAATGTTTTTATGCCCTACGCTCACCTTTTCATGAACACCTGGTGTCATCACTATTTGATTGTGATTCTTGAAGTATGATTTAGTCGGAATCACGCAGTGGATTGATTTCTTGTAAAGGAAATGTTTTTTGGTGCTTTTTATTCATTGAAATCATTTTACTTATCTTTATGTCACTGTATCTTGTACGCATGTGCCATATGCTATGTTTGCATTTTATTGACCTAATGTTTTGGTCATTGGTAAACCCTTTTTCCAGTTTTATATGTAACATAGGAAAATGAAACACAAATTGTTTTTGTTGTGACTTGTGCCATCATTTCTCATAAGACTCGTATCTTTGTTCTCGAAGAATGTTATTGAGGCTGAAGGGGTCGTTGTCGGCACAGGTACTACAGAAATGTATCCCAGGCTCGTTTCTGTATATAGGAATGTACCCTAGCCAAAATCAAATACAGAAACATACTCCAGAATGAGTCCATTCCGATGCAGGGCCGCAGGGCTACAGGGCCACAGGGCGCAATGCGCGTAACTGGTTCTTCAGGTAGCCTATTCGTCACTTCCTGTATGCCAAACCGTGGTTAAATTCAACATGGCAGTACACGGTCATCAGGAGAATTGTTTGTATTATCTTCCTAACCTGCATACCAGCGTATCATATAGAAAACGATCATACACAGTGGCGTACGCACATTAATCTAATATTCCGGCAATATTCCGCAATCCACGCATGCATTCGCAATCAGGCGAACTGGAACTAAACATGAACTGGTTTGGGGTTGGGGAATATGGACTCGTCCGACGTTTTTTGTACCAGGTACGTTCTGTATTTTTTTTTGGCAAGGGTACATTTCTGTATACAGAAACATACCTGGGGTACATTTCTGCAGTACCTGTTCCGAGAACAACCCCTTCAACGTTATTGAACGACTCGTTCGTCTCTGCGAGGCAAGGGAGTTAACTGATAATAAGAGTCCACCCTTCCCGAACTCGGCAGAAACTATGGAGTTATATTTTGGCTGGACTAACGAGTACCATCTTCCCAAGGCAAGGGCGTTAACTGACTAAAAAACTCCTGTTTCCACCCTTGCCGAACTAGGCTGGTATTATGGAGTTACATTTTGGCTGGACTAACGAGTCTATGCATAGTCCAATCAAAATCGTGCATCGAAATCGAATTCCGGTTCGTAAACTGTCCTGCAGATTTCGGTTGATTGCAGGATTTGCAAAGCATGTGCACCGCCAACTCGTTGTCAACAGATATTTTCAAAATCTTTTCATGTTTTTAATCAAGGTGCTCACGCATTGCGCGATGTAAGACCCGTTGTATCACAATATAGACCTTGATTATCGATCAGATCGTCTTGACTGGGCGCAACTGTTTTGTTTCAAGCAAATGCAAGTGATACGAGAGGTGGAATCTGATTGGTGTAAAGGAGAGGCTCAGAAGGGACATAACTCGTAATAGCCACTGGTGGCGCTACGATAGAGCCAAGGAATTCCAGTCTTGTTCGGCAAGGGTGGAAACTGGACTTTTAAAGTCAGTTAACTCTCTTGCCTCGGGAAGATGAACGAGTGCATGCATAGTGCAATCCAAATCATGTAACGAAATCAACACCTGCTGAGCATTTTTCGGTTGATTGCAGGATTTGTTAAACATGTGTACCGACAACTTAGCGTCAACAGATATTTTCCAATTCATTACATGTTTTTATTCAATGTGCTCACGTGAATTGATGCACTTCGCAAAGTAAGACCTGTTTTATTACAATACAGATCTTGATTACCGATCAGATCTTCTTCACTGGGCGACGTCATTTTACTTGAAGCAAATGCGAGTGATATCAGAGGTGGAATCTGATTGTTCAACAGGAGGGACATAGAAGGCATATAACTCGCCATAGCCACTGGTGGCTCGAGCCCAGAAATTCCAGCCCAGTTCGGCAAGAGTGGACACTTTTACAGGCAGTCAACTCCCTTACCTCGGGGAGATGCCACTCGTTTTGAGTTGCCCATTGTAATTCCAGCCCAAAACAATTCCGCTGTCAGCACCTAGTTCTAAAATTGAGAAGGTGCTAACAGGACCTAATGACTGTCAAATATTATTTAGATGGGAGTGTTCGCGGGATTACCAAGGAACAGCTTTTGTACTGTAGGAAGCTGTTTGACCCCTTAAGTGTCAACACAGATATTTGTGCAAAATGAAGCCCAAGTATGCCATACTTGCAACAAGAAACTGTGGAATGAGTGAGATTGGCTTTATGGCGCTTTTATTTGTTTGTTGTTTAACGCCGCACTCAGCAATAATGAAGCTATATTACGGCGGTCTGTAAATAATCGAGTCTGGACCAGACAATCCAGTGATTGACATTATGAGCATCGATCCACGCAATTGGGATCGATGACGTGCATCAACCAAGTCAGCGAGTCTGACCATCCGATCCCGTTAGTCGCCTCTTACGACAAGCATTGTCGCAATTTACGGCAAGCATTGGTTGCTGAAAACCTATTCTACCCCGGATCTTCACAGGTCGTATGGCGCTGTGATTAGTATTTCAGTTATATTACTTTAATGTGTGTCTTTTAGCTCTTTGGTGAGCCCATAATATACATGAAAGTTGAGGTGAGGTGAAATTGGATTTAAGGTCGCGTCCAAGATTATTGCACTTATATAGCGACATGCATGCACGCGTGTGTTTGTGTGGCTGCTTGTACTAGTCCGGACTGATGCCGATTTTAAAGTGCTAGCTCACTGAGATGCCTTGCCGCAGTTTAACAAGAATACCCCACTCAGACACAGTGTTATGACACCGAGCCAACCAGTCCTTGTTTTATCCGCTTAATGCCGAGCGCCAGACAGGGTAACAACAAGTACCATCTTTTAACGTATTTTGGTAAGACGCGGTCGGGCATCTCCGGGCTGACGCTCTGCCATTATACCACGGAGGCGGTCATACATAAAAAACCCAGGATGAATATGGAATTTGAAGCAAGGATCACTGCATGTCTCCAGGATTCAACCTGACAACTGGACCACCTTTGTCCCCAAGCTGATTGTGTGATTAAATTGTGTGAGTTGAGTTGATTTTAATGCCGCTGTGAACAGTATTCCAATTATCACAACGTGTCAACTTAATGTGGGAGGAAAGCCCGAAGTAATGCAGAGCTCAGACGTTTACCACTTTGGTGGAACCCACAAGCACGGGTGTGGTGCTGACAAACCTAGAAACATAATCGGGGCGAACCGGGATTCGAACCCACACTCACAAGTATCTGACAATAATTATGTGATGCAGGATGACCTGACATGATGCTCTTACCATAAATGTCTTATATATAATCCCCTAAAACGTCAACCACTTACCGGTGGCACGGGTGGCCCGGTCGTCTAAGGAGCCGCGATTCGCTGTGCAGAGTTGCGTCCCTTAAGCGGCGTTAAATCGAACTCACTCACTCTGTAAAATGACTGGAATTGATTTTCTACAGTGTTTGGTTTTGTTAGTTGCCTGCCCCTTACCCTGGGACATCCTGCTTGTGTTGTGCAACATGTAAGACATGTGACGCAATGTTAGATATAACAATATGTTCGATATGACACGCGAATTGTTGGAGCGTCTATTTATAGCCACTGATTCAGCCTAACCAGTATAACAGCGCGACCGTATTTCCCACCCGGTAGACACTTACCGAACAGCGCACACAAGAGTTAGAAGGGAGTCATACACTGCGACAAGGTAGGTGTGCTAAAACACATATTCAAATGATATCTATAGGAAATAGGTCACGGTGCGACATTTATCAATGTAATTAACTTAGTGTGCTATAACTATTTACCATTGAATAACAACTGTTTTGTCAAAATATTGATATTTGACGTTGCTTTGGAATCATCGAACATCGGCAATTATTAATTTAAGTCTAATGACATTAACTAAGAAAGTGCTGTGATAAATAAAGCATTGTTGACTTCAGCAACGTATACAGGACTAATGATGAAAATGCCATGTAAACATTCTATTTGCGAAGAAAAAGATTCTATTATTTGAGTATTTTCTATCTTTTCCTCCTTATCTATGGTGTGTGACAGACTGGAAGTAGGTCGCCATAAAGTGATTTTTCACCCGAGTGTATGAATGGTATATTGTTCGAGAAAAATATGTAACTGAGACCCAAAATGATCACACGGCTCACATTCACTAACTTTTCCTACGGGGCGATCGTAGCTTCCTGGTGTGGCAAATAGAAAGCTGATATTGAACGAGGAAAAGACACGGTAGGCAATCGCAGCTAACGAGTCTCGGTGTATTCATGTTTCCCTCTGTTGTGAAATCTCTTTATCGATCGCTTATCTGTCCCCTTGTCAAATGAATGTCCATGAGGCATGTTGTAGGGCTGCGTCAACCATGTTTGTATTTATGATTGATCAAAGCATTATTATTTAACCGCTTTCATTCTGAATTGTAGTGAACTGGAAAATCGTGAAAATCCGGGTTGGTAATCAATAGATAGCAACACTATACTTGTAGTTTATAAGGCAATGAGAATGGAAGTAATATAATATTCTCAATACAATAATGATTTTGGACCCGTGAAGATCCGGGTTAGAATAGGTCTTCAGCAACCCATGCTTGCTGTAAAAGGCGACTCTGCTTGTCGTAAGAGGCGACTAACGGGATCGTTTAGTCACGCTCGCTGACTTGGTTGTAGCATGTCATTGTATCTCAATTGCGTAGACAAACAAATAAACAAAAGCAGCATTACCATAGCAGAGTTAAATATGTTGATCGTTTATATTTAATACTTTGACGGAACTATTGTCACACAAGAGTGACCTCCCCCAAACTTGTCTCCCTTTATCGTAAGTGTCTAGCCTGTACACAAACTGTTGACTTCCTTTGTACATTAATTCCATATTGACAAGGCAAAATAATGACAGATAGCCATTTATGGTGTTAATATTGCTTCAGGCTGATTGTTCTTCTTTTGAAAATGTTTCCTTATACTCTATAAATTTCTCACTTAACTCGTCAATCCGACCACTGTTCGTTTCGCAAAGCGCCATTTTCGTTTCTTAAACAACGTGTATTCTTTCCCTTCCAACAGCTGTTTGGTTGTTTTCAAGTATATTTTTTTTTAAAGATGATTTTGTATATAATCCTATCTATATGAATGATACAGAATTGTCGAGCCACTAAATAATCTTTGTTACTTTCGTTTTTATTTTTTTAAAGATTTTGCAAACACAAGGGGTAGTGAACCGCCCAAGTGTGATAGGTAGGGAGAATTTACGTTTCAAGGCTTTACATTTGTAATGAAATAATAAAATTTCCTGTAGACAACTACACAAAAAGTATATAATAAATGGGATATTCCATGTGTCCAGTAAAATATCATGTTTCTTTTCCCCTTCACTTGATGAGAGAAACAAAATATTTCACTCGACACTCTATTTATTTTCTCTTTACATATAGCAGATCTGTTGAGATGGATTTCGGGAGCGAATTTGTGTATGTTGGGGAGGACGAAGATGAAATCCTCAATTCCGACTCGTCAGAAGAAGAGGAAACGGAAATGGATGAGATGGTGAGACAAATCAGATGTTAACTTGCAACAGAACGATACAATCACAGCATACATAACAGCACACATCATTATCACATGATAAATTTTGTATTCATTTGCTTGTTGTTTAACGCCACACTCAGCCAAATTAAAGCCCGTAAATAGTCTGGACCACACGATCCAGTGATCGACGTTGTAAGCAACGGACCACGCCGTTGATGTACGATGACACGCAATCAACCAAGCCACGGAGCCTGACCATCTGATACATTTAGTCTGATCTCACGACAGCATAGGTTGCTGGGGATCAATTCTAACCCGAAATCCCTAACATTTCATTTGAAACAGATGAATAAATATATTCAAACAGTCGAATAAACACATCCTCGATTATCAAGTGTTTTGCATCTCCATCTGTTATTATTCATACCCATTTGACCCAGTGTTTTGTTTTTAACCCGATTCGAATAACACAACGCCAGACATAGACGTCCAATCAAAATAGGGAAAGAAATAAGAGTGATGACGATCCATCACTTCCGAAACGAAATTATGGTAGCGAAAGAGTCCTGGGTATTTATCGTAATGGAAAGGAAACATAATACAAGAAAGGAAATAATATACAAGTAGCAAATACAATACTAGAAAGGAAAAACAATACAAGAAGCATATACAATACAAGAAAGGATATACAATACAAGAAAGGAAACAAAACAAGAAGCAAATACAATACAAGAAAGGAAATACAATCGAGAAGCAAATACAATACAAGAAGCAAATATAATACTAAAAAGGAAATACAATACAAGAAGCAAATACAATACAAGAAGCAAATATAATACAAGAAGCAAATATAATACTAGAAAGGAAATACAATACAAGAAGCAAATACAATACAAGAAATGATATACAATACAAGAAGCAAATACAATACAAGAAGCAAATATAATACAAGAAGTAAATATAATACTAGAAAGGAAATACAATACAAGAAGCAAATACAATACAAGAAATGATATACAATACAAGAAGCAAATACAATACAAGAAAGGAAATACAATACAAGAAGCAAATACAATACCAGAAGCAAATATAATACCAGAAAGGAAATAAAATACAAGAAGAAAATACTATACAAGAAAGGAAATATAATGCAAGAAAGGACATATAATACAAGAAATGAAAAAAAATACAAAAAAAGAAATACAATGCAAGAAAGGAAATATGATACAAGAAAGGAAATAAAGTACAAGAAAAGAAATAAGATACAAGAAGGAAATACAATGCAAGAAAAGGAAATATAATACAAGAAAGGAAACATAATACAAGAAAGGGCATATAATACAAGAAAGGTGATATAATATAAGAAAAGAAATAAGATTCAAGAAGAGAAATACAATACAAGAGAGAAATATAATACACGGGACAATCGGGTATACATCAAAAACGAACTTTTGGCCATTATCGTTACATAATCTTAATTTAAAGGAGCCTGCAGAGACTGCCAATGTTGTGTTCAACAAGGCGGACACAAATCCTGTAACTACAGTCAGTATCTTTGTTTCAGGAATGTATGCTGGACATCCTCGACACGGCCGGGCAGGAAGAGTACTCCGCAATGCGAGATCTGTACACTCGGTCAGCTCAAGGCTTCATCATCGTGTACGACATCACGAACAGGGAGTCGTTCGAGGAAGCAACGGCCATGTTTACTTTCCTGGAAACAAGTAAACAGGGGGAAAAAATATATGCTGTTAGTACCAAAATTCTTGCTTATTTGAATTAATCATCCCAGAAACCAAACATCCCAAACCAGAGACCATGTAGTAACATGTTTTCTCGTGAAGATGAACATCTCCAGATCTTGGATGTACAATGTAAGAATAGTGGTGCGATTGTGACGAATTAAAAAGTATAATTAATTACCAGTTTTCCATTTTAATACAGAATGACTATTTGCTTAATGTCTCTTATCTTATATGTGCAAATACATTTAATATATTCATTTTATTAATTCAACATCAAACAGGTTCTGTGCGGCAACAAATCTGATCTAGAGAACCAACGTGTTGTCTCCAAGGCAGAAGGCAAAGGTCTGGCCAGAGCCAGGGACGTGCCCTTCAGGGAGACATCGGCCAAAACAGGGGACAATGTTAGGGACGCTATAGAGGCCTTACTCAGGACCATCCCTCGTCAAGGGATTGAATATAAGGTACAGAATTGGTCTTTGATTTCTTCTATGTTCTTGTGAGTTCATCTGCTGTAAACCAAAATCACAGAGAGTGTTTTGTTATAGGTAACTGTATATTCTTTGTTCATATCCACACAGCCAGTGAAATATGTATCTGTATGATACAAATTTACGTATCAGAGGATCTAGAAAAACATTATGATGATGATGATGATGATCTAGAAAAACATTATGATGATGATGGTGATGATGATGATGATAACTGTCCAGTTCTATACTGCTTAACACTGTCACCACCCTCCCCTCCCCACACACTCTGCCTAATGAGTGTCGACAATGCAATCTTCTATTCCCCCTACGTTAAGCCTAAGTTAAGATACCCAATGTTCATGATTTACAGCTTGTAACAATGGGAACAGGTGGTGTGGGCAAGTCGTCTGTCACCTTGCGTCTAGTGCACGAGTCGTTTGTAGAAAACTTTGATCCCACCATTGAAGATTCCTACAAGAAGATGATCAACGTCAAAGGTCTTCCGAAGATGGAGGCCAAAGAAAAGAAGAAGAAATCTGAAGCATCAGCAACCGAATCTGCACCAGTACAAGCACAGGCAACTGGTGGACTACCAGGGGAAGGTTGGTCAAATGGTCATTGATGTTTGGGTATCTGGTAACATGGTTAAGTGTTGGTAGGCTCTACCATTATAAGAGACGGAAAGCCCTGTTGAATGAAACGAAAACACATACATGTACATGTACTTGCCCTTGTTAGTGATAACAATTAAATTGAGAAAAAGAGAACTTGTGAGTTTACAAATGTATAAATTGCGTTGTAAACGTCTCATGAGAGAGAAAACCTGATGAATACATTCACTCATGGTTCTAGTTAATTTAAATACTAAGGTTAATAGAACTGACAACAAATATTATATGTACTGAATAGCAAAAGAAACGCATGCATAACTTTTTTTCAAAGTTTGGAACAAAAGACAAAAGCCATTGTGTCAAATTAGAGAACTGTCAGTTTACGAGCTGAAAGTGTTGTCACCACTGACGTTTACAAAAGAGCACGGAAAACATCCCACCCCATCCACTGCCACTTCGCCTCACACCTGCACCTATATCACACAGTAGATAAAGGTTACATATCTTTAAATCAAAGGCTTATTGAAGGCTACAAAATCATACCCCTCCAGCTGCCGGTAGGACCCCCATCAAGACAAAGAAGATAGATGGCAATGTGGTGCACATCCCCCTGGGTACACTGGCCGATGATCCACAACTTGTGACCGGGGATCCAGTTCGGTGCAGGAAGTGTGACGCCGCTCTGTGCCAGACATCAAGCCTCATAGACAATGGAGATGCAAGGCAGTGGACCTGGTTAGTGTCAAACTACTTTTCAATTCGCAGGGTTTTCACCAATCACCAAAATTGCTAAGTAAACAATAAGTAAAAATACTATACTTGTAGTTTATAAGGCAATGAGAATGGAATTAATATAATATTCTCAATACGATAATTCACAATGAACTGAATCTTGTATGAGCTTTAATGAAGAGAATGATTTTCCTTTTACTATCTGTACAGTTAAGTTTGATAAATGTATTTTTGTCTCAGGTGAACTGTCGAAGACTGGTTAATAATAAACTAATCCGTATGTGTCTTTAATATGTAACTTACTTTTTCAGTGAGTATTGCGGGAAAGAGAACAAAGAACTAGACGTGACCTCGGAGGAGATACCCAGAGAGTTGATGTTTGACTACATGTTGAGTCCTGCAACAGAGAAAGAGGAGGAGGCAGCTGAGGTTGTCCAGAAGATCACGCCAGGAATAATTGTCTACTGCATGGACGTCAGCGGCTCAATGGATGCCAAGGCAGATGTCCCAGAACTACAAGGTTAGACACTCAGAACTTCCAGATGCAGTGTGTGACAAAAGGCTTAGTGTGGGAACTTACAGATGCAGTGTGTGACATTAGGCTTTGTGTGGAAACTTACAGATGCAGTGTGTGACATTAGTTTTATTTAATGAGAACTTCCAGATGCAGTGTGTGACATTAGGCTAAGTGTGACAGAACTTCCAGATGCAATGTGTGAAAAATTGTCAACATTGTAATACTGAGAACAAGCTTGAATATTTACATGTAAAACCATATTTGTCAAAACATTAGTTCCACCTCTGAAGCTATTACGACTATCATATATTTATAAACTAATAAAGTGTTTAAGCAAAGGGGTAAAATCCCAAACTCACTGAAAGATTTTTTTGTATTGTAAGAGTTCTACATATATATCCAGAATACATACCTTGTTTGCCAAACATCCAAGGGACATGTACAGTAATCTGTCCTCTGTCTCCGTTTGTTATAGCGGCATGGAAGCAGGCTCGGAGTGGGGAGACGCTGGAGGCTAAATCTAGGCTGGAGTGTATCAAGGAGGCTGTGATGAGGTACACAATGTCATGTCATGGAAACAATGAGCATGCAGTTAGGTGTTTGGGGCTCAGTAAATAAAGCCACATGTTAAATATATTATCAATAATATTATTTATGTTGGATTCCATCTTTCAAATCATAGACAATGTGATTTGCGAATAAAGCAACAAGCTTGAGTATATTAATTTTGCTATTCCTTGTCGTGTTACAGACAGGTGGAGCTGCTGAAACTGGAACAGCCGGAAAAACAAGTGATGCTGGTCCTCTTTGACTCAGAAATCGAGATCGTAGGTGATGGGACAGGACAACCTATAAACATCACCGGTGTTGACATGAATGACTTTGATGCTCTCATCAAAAAGGGGAAAGATCTAGCAGAAAGAAATGAGATCAAACCTCTACGACTTTCCCATGAGTAAGTATTGGGCTTAAGAACCATTCCAGTACATGTCTAATAAGAAAACAATGTTTTTCAAGTGCTACAGTTATTTGTTTGGTTGATTAAGTGATTTTTTATTCATTTGAAATGATAGTGGAGATTTTAATTAATGACGGTATTGTCTGTGAAAGAAAATAATATTGCTTATATAATATCAAATCGTAATCATCTTCCAGTGGTTTGATGGAGAAGGTGGCAGACTTGCACACGCGAGGCTGTACAGCACTTGGCCCTGCATTGGCAATATGTGCTGGATTTGTGAGTGAAGTGCCTTCATCAGAGATTGTGCTGTGTACTGATGGGGCTCCAAACCGTGGCATTGGCTCCTTGAGTCATGGCGTCTCTGACTCTGACTTCTATACGACGGTAATCATCGAACTTTGAACAACGATATTGAACTGTACTAGTTGAATTGCTTTAGATTTCATGTAAATACGTTTTTACATTCTGCTCGATTTGGAATATGGATTGAATAACAATTATAGTTAGAAATAAAACGAATCACATCCAATTCCTTTAAAGCTTTGGAACTATTAGCTGGAAAAAGAACGCCTTGTGTGGACCATTTTATCTACATTCAAGCATTACTCCATATTCGTTTCTGGTCGAAGACAAAACCGATAAAATGTAATAAAAGATGAAAGTAATGATGTGTAGACAGTGATATAAAGTCAGAGCAGATATGCTTCAAGAAGATGTTTAAATGTTTGTAGTGAAGACGCGGACTTGAGATCAACTGGATAGGTATTCCTGGCATCACCTGGTACCTTGGAAGATCACTTACATCCACAAGTCTTCATGTTTGTTTCAATTTAGCTTCTCAGCTTTCCTGACAATATACCATGCTGTTGTCTTATGTTTGTGAAAGATGGTAAGAGGTAAAACATCAGACGCATATCAAAGACAACAGTTAGGGTAAACAGAGTGAACAGTTGTACGCAAATATATCCAGATTATTTCTCTGCTGAATATTCCAGATCGGCAACTATGCTCGTTCGAAGAACATCGTCATCAACATCATGGCAGTGGAGGGAGAGCCTGTCGGGATGCAGCACGTCAGTGCGTGTGCACTGGCTTCAGGCGGCACCGTCAACGTCCTCAACCCCCTGGAGATTGTCCGGGAGCTGCGCCTCATCTGGCAGAACAAGATCGTGGCTTCATCAGTTCATGTTACCTTCCTGCTGCATCCATCCCTTGTGTTTGTTGAAGAAGGTTATCCAAAGGTTATCATACTTTGAGTCTTTTATGTTTTTGAGAGTGTTTTATTGTCTCAGCACACTGTTGTTCCTCTGCTTGAACTCAAATAGAAACTCGGCATTGTCTCAAAATATATGTTTTCCCTTTCTGTACAGTGTTTCATTACGGTAGAGTATGTCTTCTCTGTTCCAGGACTGCAGCAGGTTGGTGAAAGAGGTGGGCAATGCCCTTAAGGACACGGACCTCACATTCAACTTCAAACTCAAAGATCCGGACACCATCCCAGAAATTGATGAAATCCCTTTCCAGGTACTGGTCAAAAAACTCGACCGACATGAATTTCGATTCCTGCGCAAACAACAAGTTTATGTTTGTAAGATTCCGACGGTGTAATATTCTTGAGGTCCTGAGTCTTTATTTTGAGATACCAACCTTTTCGCCTTTTTCACAACATAGGTTTTGTCAGAACATCCACCATAACCAGAGAACGATGTTTTGGGGTGTAATGATTATTACATGATTTTGCCAGCTTATGAGTGTGCAAGAAAATTATATCATCTGTTTCATCATCATCTGAAATGGTGTCAAATTAAATACCAGTTAAACAAAACATCCTTTTCCGTATGGTATCATTTCTTGGGTGCACGGATGGCCATGCTGTATAAGGCTTCGCAATTAACTGTGCAGTTGCATCGCAGTTTAGAATCCAGTAACCGTGCTTGTATGTTTCCCCGAATTTGTTGCATCATTTCAGGCTTTAAACCAAACTCAACCATTCACTCACTCACTCCCCATTTTAGGTTCAGATCGCCTACACTCGCAAGAACGGCATGAAGTGTCTCCGTGTCATGTGCAAGAGTCACAAGTTCACCAAGGACAGGAAGGTCATGGAGGAGGTAACACAATGACATCAATTTATTATACAGTCCTACAGCATGTGTGACATTTCAACCGATTAGAAATGACAAATACTGCATGTATCTGACGGACTGATCAGCCACCCAAGTGGTTCAATCCTTGTACAATCTTGCATCTTTGTTATCAGAACATCAATGTGGCAGTCGTGGGATTGGCCACCGTGCAGAAGACGGCAGAGATGGTGAAGCAGGGAGCCCCAAAACAAGCCAAGGGACATATGTAAGTATATCCATATGTTGGAGGTTTGTCATTGTGCTAATCTCCAATATTTAAATTATAATATTGCAGAACCATGATTTCAAAGAATTATATTCTGCTGGATTGTTGCTGAGATATTGTTGACATCGATTCTTGGTATTTTGGACAACACGGTTCATTATTTTTTTATCTGTTTTCGCTTGTAATAAAAAAATACATATCCTACGATGATCAAATTAAAAACAGACTGTCAGTTAATCATCGTAGCTATTACTTTATTAGTAAATGCTGTACTCTTGGTTTACCAGATACTAGCCACACATGTACAGCAGGATACAAGTAGACACATACACTTTCAACTGAAATACCGTGAAAACCTGTTCATGTTTCTCCTGGAGCACGGTTAGCTCCGTCGTCTAATGCGGCGCAATTTGCTATGCAGAGTGCCAGAAACCTATGATCGTGGGTTCGAATTCTAGATTCGCACTGATTGTGTTTCAAAGATTGGCAGCACCAAATCATTGTTTGTGGTTGGTAAACGTCCATGACTTGAACTGCTTTTCGCTTTTTTCCCACCAAACTGACATGATATAACTGAAATATTGCTCAACGCGTCGTTCAATCAAACTCACACACTCAATATTATTCCTCATTTACAAATATTCAGACGGGCAGCCAAACATGTGATGAAGAGAGGTGCGAAGACTGTAGAACAACGCGAGGAGCGATATGCATTTCATACAGCATGCTCGGAACTGGAAACAGACCTGGATAGGAACATGACAAAATGGGTAAATAATCATAATAATGATTATAATAATAATCCTCATTGTTTTCGGTGCCTTAGGTTTGGTACCTCCCAATCTGTTGACAGATATTGGGAGAGTACCCGGGATTCCTACCAGGAATACAGCCCCTCTAACAATCTGGGTAACGCAGAAGGCTGCAGTGTTAGGGAGTCTTCACATTCTGTGAAAAGTTCTTGGTGGGTTCGACAAGGCAGCGCTTCCTGGAAGAAGTCCTATTCGCTGTCTGGGCTGCGTGTTGAGGGGGCAAGGGCCCTGAGCTGATGATGAGCCTAACCAGCCCATATGTGCCAGGATCACCCGAACGCTGGTTGCTGCATTTTTAAAATTAAATAATCAAGATAAGGTATTCGATTTCTTTAAAACTTGGCACACACATCATTGTCATTGACCAAGGTCCCATATGCCACACACGGAACAGCAGATTTTCAAGATGAAGGTCATCTGTTCTCAATAAATGGCCACCAAACCTGACTGGCATCGTCGTCCCATCAAGGCAATCAGATCCCGATTTGGTCCTGGGGTATGTTCACCCACTCTGCTGGCAATTCGTGTGCCAACAGTCAGAGATCTGTTGTTGTTGAAGTGCTCGCTTTCGTTGATCCATTGCATCTATTAATGTTCGAGTTTGTTTAAATCTGGAGACCAGGAGACCCTTCGGAGGAGCTGGATGTTGTGATTCCAGAAAATGGCTGTTGTCTTGCTGTGTGAGGTCGGACGTTTTGTTTTTTGTTGGAAAATGACATTTGCTTGATGAAAAATGGAAAGGTCATGTGGCTGAATTATATCATCCGAATAACATTATGCCGTTAAATTCCCCACATTTCCAAGTCTGTTATACCGGTGTAGGAGATGGCTGCCAACATAATCACACTACCACCAACACAATTATCTTTCCACTTCCTGTATGCAGTTTTGTGCATATGTTCCCCGCAACGCCTGTAAACATGACGTCTACGATGTGCACGACGAAGCATAAAACGTGACTTGTCACTAAACCGAACATGTCTCCATTGACGTCCCAGTCTGCGATGTAGGTCCATCAAAATTACATCTAGAACTGGTCCGCTAGCGTGAATACCTTCTGCGCGAAACAGTTCCTCACTGTCTGGGCTGACATCCTACACAATCCTGATTTTGCCTAGGTGGTTCTTTCACGTAAGCCGAATAAATCTGTCCTGTGCTCCACTAGTGATACGTGGTCGACCGGACCTGAGAAGGTCACAGCTTGTCCCGTGTGTCTGATAAAGGCTCCACAGTATTGTAATGATGATATTTGCTATCCTGTTTGGAGTCGGTCGATGACGTTGTTTCGTTGGGCTTCCGTCGGTCGTGGCATGTTTTCGCTGTTCAGTTGCTATAAGATTGTGATGGTATGCAAATGAAAACAAAACGTTTTTATAGCCTTACAAGTATATATATATATATATATATATATATATATATATATATATATATATATATATATATATATATATATATATATGTATTCATTTGAACAGAATCTGTCCCAATATATATATATGGATTCATTTGAACAGAATCTGTCCCAATTGGCTCGAAACTATTGGTGCGCAATGAGTTCATGTTCGGCTTGACATATGTCACGTTGAAGGATTAGAGTGATTATGCTTGGAATCATTATGCTCACATTTATTATGTAGATTGACACATCAACTGGATATTTATCATAACCCCAAGCTGTCATTATTTTCAGGAACGGGGCAGAGCAAGTGACTTTTCCCACAAAATCGTGGGCCACGCGCTGAAAGCTCCAGCGTCCCATTTCCATGGCTCACGAAAAATGGCGGCGAAAACCAAATCTCGTCAACTCAGCAGTACAGCTGCAGATAACTATTACGACTATCAGCATTACAAGTGTTAGGGACCTCGATTATGTGGCATGGTAATCGATGGCACCACTTGCGTCTGAATCATCACCGAGCAATTCATCTGCAGAATTCAAACAGAGCAATGTTTGAATGGTTGTTCCAAAAGACGAAGAGTTTTCATAATTGAAGTTAAAATGTCAGCCTCTTCAAACTCAACGAAAATGTCGAGGTAAAAATGAGACTAATTTATTTCGTGAATCTTGTGGTACAGACAATTGCATTTTAAATAAAACCAAAAACTTGAACAAACATTACCGCAAACCTAAACTAAAGTTGATATTACCGTATACAATGGTTTTGCTTTCTTAAAGTCAGTACATGGCTGTCATGCTACATTTGTCTTTTGCTAATCACCTGTCAGCGCCAATTATATGTTGCCGTCTCTTGTTAAGTTTCCACATTTGTTATCTTATTACTTTTGTTGTTCTAACTGATACATATAAATGTTCTCCGCTTCATATCATTTATTCACCTTAGTAAGTATATTATCATTTATATCATGATATAACATTTATACTAAGTTTTCAAATAATAATTAGACCCACAGGAAGTGCGTTTAGCATTGTGGGTGTAACATTTATACAAATTTTAAATGATCACAAAACAGGAAGTAATACACATTAGGATCCAGGATAAATGCACATACAAAATATTAGAAGTTTCAATTATGTCTACATAGTTTAATAGATTTAAAGCTTTTTAGATAAATACTAGCCTAAGGTAACAAGATCCCATCCCCCAGACATACTATTCAACAAGGCAAGAGATAAATTATGTCTACATAGTCTTATAGATTGCCTTGAGCTATTTTATTTAAGTAAATCTGTCATCACTAATATTAGAATAACATTCAACAAATACTCAAATTTAGACTCATTAAGGATTAGCCCCCATACAAGCTCGTCTATAGTGACAGCACAACCTCTTTCCAAGCACCCAGTAAATATGTCAAAAAGATCAGTGCCAGTCCAACAGGATTAAGTATTCCCCTCTGTTTAGCCATTCATTAACCGTAGGGCACACCATTGTGTATCAACCAATCATAATCTTTTTTATTGCTCTAAATTATAGTTAAATAGATAGAGAAGCAGGGTGTTAGGCAGAAGGGGTTTGACGCTCAAACCAAGCAGACCTGTCACCCACGGCCCAGGGGGTTGTACCGACTCTCTGTGGCACCCTCAGCTATATTTAAGATATTGTTCATTGTTCAATGTTCTTGTAAATAAAATTGTGATTAGTCTCCTGTGACTTCGGCTCTTTGCTGACTAAATCCCCCAAGACAACCGGCACGCCATTTGGAAGGTTTTGTACATCAGAACAGATCCAAAATAATATACTCTGAAACGTTGTGTTCCCCACAATACTATATAGAATACTGTATAGAAGTAGAAATCCATAGATTCTCGTCCTTAAATGTCTGTCTGTTTTCAGTATAAAACGTTGATCTATATAAGATAATACCATACCGGGACTGCACGTTTGTAAGTCTTGGTCTTAATTACGGATTTTGCCTATTTAAATACGAAACAGTTTATTTTTAAAAATTGCTGTCCAGGTAATGGAGAACACAGTATGTGATGTAAGTGCGCATCAATTCGTTAAACGTTTGCGTGTTCTGTCCCACTTATGTGTAGCTGAGACACAAATGTTATGGTACATATATACGTCCTTGGTTGAGTGCACAAACAGGTGAGACCAGTTCATTGCTACAGGCACGAGTCATATCCTTACGAGACGGACCCGTGAAGATACGGGGTAGAATAGGTCTTCAGCAACCCATGCTTGCCGTAAAAGGCGACTATGCTTGTTGTAAGAGGCGACTAACGGGATCAGGTGGTCAGGCCCTCTGACTTGGTTGATGCATGTCATCGATCCCAATTGCGTGGATTGATGTGCATGACTTCAACCACTGGATTGTCTGGTCCAGATTCGAATATTTACAGACCGCTGTCATATAGCTGGAACATTGCTGAGTGTGGCGTTAAACAACAAATAAACAAACAAACAAAAGAACTGAGCGCTGAGCCTTGATGCTCAGTGAGTCAACAGAGGCACAGGCAGGCGAGTGGACGCGGAATGCTGATACTGGTGCTTACAGTGCACCAAGACGAGGTGAGGTGAAATTGGGTTTAACGTCGCGTCCAAGATTATTGCACTTATATAGCGACGTGCATGCACGTGTATGTGTGTGTGTGGCTGCTTGTACTAGTCCGGACTGATGCCGATTTATAGTGCTAGCTCACTGAGATACCGCAGTTTAACATGAATACCCCACTCAGACACAGTATACTGACTCTGAGCCGACCAGTCCTTGTTTTAGCCCCTTAATGCCGATCGCCAGACAGGGTAACAACAAGTACAATCTTTTAACGTCTTTTTGTATGACGCGGCCCGGGATCGAACCCCGGACCTTCCGCTCTCCGGGCGGACGCTCTACCACAAGACCACGGAGGCGGTCGCACCAAGACGAACTGCTACTACAAGGCTTACGATCTTCACAGGGGGAAATCTTTAACCTCGCGATTAAACGGCAAAAATGGGTTGCTGTAAACTTATTCCACCCCGGATCTTTACGGGTCCCATACATGAATGAAAAAAAACACAGTTAGGGATTGGGTGCCGTAAGTAGTAGTTACGAACTATAATATGAACAAAGTTCGGCTTGCTAAAGGTACCTAAAATCAGGAGGCACGGGTTGGGTTCTTCAGGGAGTGCCAGAAACCTGTGATGGTAGGTTCGAATCACGGTTCGCCTTGGTTATGTCTAAACATTTGTTCTAGGTTTGTCAGCTCCGTTCACGTGCCCTTTAGTTGCAACAGTGATTCTATGATTCTGGCACAACTAATGGGAGCAAATACGTTAGACGCCTGTAAAACCCAGTAAACTACGGTTATAACGAACTCAAGGGGACCACACATTTCACTTCGTTATGACCGTAGTTTGTTATAAGCATATACAGCACATGTACAGCAAATGGTCGAGACAAAAGAGATAAGACCGTTTTGTCCGTCCTGTCGTTATAAGCGTGTTCGTTATAAGCGTAGTTTACTGTACATAGTTATAATATTCCATTCATGACAAAATACTCAAACCATTATTAATAATGATTAATAACAGTGAAATGACCATATAATGGTTCCTAAGACAAAATCAGTTTACAAAGAACAAATATAAACACTTGTAACGACTCGTCACGCCATGGACGTAACTATAACATCAACTCACCAGTACACGAGACATTAAAATGCAGCTTAAGGCGAAGTGCCAGCTCAGAGGTGTTCCCCTTGGGTAAAGTGAAATCTGTCAAAACTGACCAATCCGGATCTCGGTCAATACTGGTCATATCGTGACAGCGAGGGACACATCTCCTGCTAATATCTCAGTTATCCCGACCTCTTATCCTGACCACCGGACTAATAGTTTGGTCCCACACAAGTGCAGTATGGACAAGTCCAATGGTTCCTTGTGGATTTACACACGCTTGTGTTGTCGTGTTTTCATCCCTATTCCCAAACACACAGTTGCTCACAATCTGTACCGTTTGTCGTTTGTGTCAAGCGGTTTTCATTTGGGAAATAGTAATTCATAATTATTGTTCAAATATTTGGCAATCAAATTATTTCGAACCTTCACTGGAATGCCATCCACATGATAAAAAATAACATTGGCGGAACCGTCCTCAAGAACACAGTATCCTTCAACAGTTAAGTGGTGGTTAAATGTCAGTTGTTTGATCTAAAAAGAGATGTCAAACCTTTACGGAATTCCTTTCCGAATGAGTAATAGAATATGAAGTTCAAGGAACAGTTAATAGTTATCAACAGGCCTGTGAATGCAGAGTGTTTTAAGCAAGGGTAGGCTGTAGTTGAAATGTTCGTAAATAATACGAGTTGAGCTGCAGTTGTGACATGGGTTATGACAGACATGATCGTGATTGCAAGAATTACTATGGTCAGCTGGTCAGCTCCTCTGTCCTCAGCTCTGTGGACTCGTTTTTTCATTCTCCGCCTTGATGTGATGAGAATCATATTGCTCACTATCAGAATAATCAAGGGAATGATGCATCTAAACACCAAGGTTACCGGACCCATGTACACAAGGAAAGCTCTTAAACCAATGATGTCACATTTTCCGGTCTCAAATAGCATCATGTGTAAACGTTCATTCCAATAAGGACGAGGGCAATATTTAAGCCACAGAGGGATGTTATAGGCAACAGTGAAGATGATGGTGGCAGCAAGAATCTTGTTGACGACAGAGTCACGCATGTATCGTTCAAATTGGAATGGTAGTGCCAAAGCCATACTTCTCTGCACAGCTATTAGACAATCAGGTAAATCTCACACATGTAGAACGTCATTCCTAGCAGGTAAGGGAATGGGTTTAGTACCCAGTGTATTGTGTCCAACATATCGTATCCAATGTTCATTTTTGACATACTTGATTCAAAAAACACACATACAATTACGACGATGTCTAAAAGAGCAAGGTATTTGAGCAGTCTGAGACCCTTGTTTGTTCTTTGCATTCGATGAAGAACAACACTTCCCAGAATATTTCCAATGAAACCACAGATTGCAATGCTTGTTGATATAGATGCCAATATTTGAATACAGAAAAGATCGGCACTAGCGGTTGTAGTGTTCGTTCCATTGTAAGTGGCGTTTCCCACTTGTGCTTGGTCTGTCATGATGAAGTTCAATAACATATATCATCAATAGTATAATGTTTTGTTTTCAGAAGAAGTGTTCTATTGTCAGTAAATGGACACAATGACGCACACACGTTGTCATGCACAGTGGTCTAAAACAACCTCAGCAGGTTGTTGTTGTTCACAGCACAAGATCACCACGAATAAGCAGGGCCACATTGAAAGCATACTCACCGAGGTCCTCGACATCCACAACATCACTGGTAATGGTACCTCTGACATATATTTATACGTATTCCTGGTCATCCTCATCTGACAGCTTGTAACAATCTGTTATGGTTCAAACGGTCAATCATACATCTTATTCATATATTTATTAACATACCATGAGCTTCCATTTGGTTAATAACATTAGTACAGGAGGTACGGCCCAAATGTAACATTTTAACTCCTTTGTGAATTCTATGTCCACCGTATATAGGTTAAAAGTCGAATTGAGTTGTCATTATTTTGTCAAGTATCTAAATAAAAGATGACAAAATACGTCCTAGTGCGGGAGAGACAGCGCATGCCAGCATTACACTGTAGGTAATATAGGTTATTAGTATCTGATGAGTCAGGATCGATAAAAAACGTATGATGGGATTCCTATTGTGTATATCTAATATAGAGTACGTATGTGGTTGTGTGGTTGGTTGATTAGTACAGCCACTTCTCACAATAATCGATCAATATCATCGAGAGGGAAACCAGAAATTGGCTTTACAAATGATACCCATGATGAGAATTGAGCCTTGGCCTTCGACGCGACGAGCCACGTCAACGCCTCCGTTATTAATAGTCCATAGGGACATTTAGTTGTTATAAACAGGGCCGTAACATATGTCAGGATCAATTTGTTAATTATCAGAATGTTTACAAGGGATGATGCTTGTGAACACTAAGGTCACCGATGCATTGTAAGCCCTAGAACCAAGGGTACCAGTACTCTAAGACTGACGTAAAAAGAGGGAATAGTTTTGACGTTGGATATGAGCTATTCACATGAATTAGTATCTTCACTGCACAAAGAAAACTTTAACAACAGAACTCTAACTAATCAGGAGTTATTAAAGATCCCAAAATATACTATGATATATAGAGATTATCATGGGAGTGTGTTTGGGGATAGTGAGTATCCTGTATTAGGAAGAACATGACTCAACGTAGATCGTGTTTATTCCTAATACAGGATATATACCATTCCAAAGTGCACTGGCGTGATGACTTCTTTATCGTATAATGTCATTCTTAGTTTCTTTTGTGGAAAAAATATGTTTATCTCTCACAAACGGTATCTCAATATTGCACGTTTTCCGTCAATGTGTGCATTTTAATTTATTACCAGTCAGATCAGGGATTAGTCGGTCGGACAAGGCAATAACGATTCATCTGAAACGTATTTGTAAGACACTGACTTTCGGTATCTTAGACCAACATTTTGATGTTGAAAACAACTACATGGCATTTGGTAACAAAACGCTTCAGTGAACGTTTGAAAAATAACGACAATTGTCTGTATTGGTTCAACTGAAATTAGTATCTGCCTGACCTTTTTCTTTTGATATTTGTCGTTAAATACCTTAGCAGATATTTTTCTTATCTTTGGCTTTATCTTTCGGAAATAAAACTAACCATGAAATGATAAATAGTAATATTTCTTTCAACCATATCTGTATTTCGCTTTCTTTATCGCCTTACAAAACTATTTTTCACTTATTAGTCCCTCTCTCCAAAACGACATGTATTTGGTCAAGCAAAAGTAGGTTTTACACAGATTTGACTGTAGGACTAAAGGAGTCATGTCAGAATGTTCTGTACAGTGATGCATCCCTCATCTTAAGGAGCCAGACCCGTGATGATCCGGCTAGAATAGGTCTTCAGCAACCCATGTTTGTCGTAAAAGGCAACAATGCTTTTCATAAGAGGTGACTAACGGGATCTGGTGGCCAGGCTCGCTAAATTGGTTGATGCATGTCCTCGATCCCACTTGCGTGGATCGATGCTCATGATGTCAATCACTGGATTGTCTGGTCCAGACTCGATTATTTCCAGACCACCGTCATATAGCTGGAATATGGCTGAGTGCAGGGTTAAGCAATAAACAAACAAACAAACTAAAGCAGCCAGGCCAGGATCAGCTGAAGGTTAAATCTCTGATTCTACCATGACATTGAAGAATATCCTTTTCCCTGTTGATACTTTTTTTACACAAAAACAAACAGTGCGTATTGAAACATCGATCTATTGACAGATACGATAGCGACAGCACATTTTCATCGGTCAAAAAATTTGTTGTCGCTCTCGTGATCTACAGCTGAAAACGGCGGTATTCAACCATACTTCAGGGTGGTTCCGTTGGCAATGGTTGTGCTAGTAGCCTTATTTCACCCAGTACATCATCAGGTGTATGTTGAACATAACTACAGATCGGGAGTGTCCTCTGGGTGTATGTATTTTTTAAATAGCACTGTCACCATGAACAACCATTTTGGCAACCATGGACATCAAAGAGACAAGTTCAGCCAGGTCGAAATTCGGGGTGGAGAGAAAGTCATTGATAATATGTATTACTGTTAGGGAAATGTTTCAAACCAACTGCACAACTTCAAAATAACTCAAATCCTTTTATTTTATAAGATTCATTGGAGAAATAAATTCGTTCAGCAAATGTTTCTATTTCTCACTATTTCTACAATGGGAAATGTCATGTTGATTTCCAAGAAATTACATCAATTGGTGATTTCCAACAAATGGCGTGTCACGGAGATTTCAAATAAATAAAAGCAACAAAACCCTTACCATAGCCACAAGAAATCTATGACAAAAGCAGAGTTGTGTGTACGATTCCGACTATATCATGAGCATGTGTTTATGAATCAAATAAAATAGTAATAATATCAGGGAGGTGTTCACGTCCACTAGTAGCACCCGTCACAACAACACGCAAAGGCAAGTCTGTTGTTCACCTGAATAAACACTGAAACACATGGTACAAGTCAAAATACGACAATCATATTTGTCACTGACGCGCAGATGTGGATCTGCCCTCCAGATGTCAACCATAACAACTTCACGAAAGGTTTACTGAGGCCTTGAATGTTGTAACCCTGATCAAACAACTTTTTGAGTTGAATTACGATCTTTGAAATCTTCGTAGAAAGATTGTACCTGAAAAGTTGTGAAATGTAGACACGGGTGACTGGAGCTACATACAGTTAAAATGGAAAATTGGAAAGTTGAAGTCATCCCTCTTGTCAGATGGTTTTACGCAATTGGGATCGATGACATGCATCAACCAAGTCAGCGAGTCTGACCACCCGATCCCGTAAGTCGCCTCTTACGACAAGCATAGTCGCCTTTTACTGCAAGCATGGGTTGCTGAAGAACTATTCTACCCCGGATATTCACGGGCCGCTGAGATGGTGAACCTAGTTTCTCGTCAGGAGTCAGAACCTTTTGAACCCAGCGTGCTGAAACCTTTGTCAAGCCCAGTTCATTCCTCGGAATGTTCTCAACTCTCTCACGGGACATGCCAACTGTATTGGCTATTTGATGTGTGCTGAGTCGTTCACCATCCATATTCATATCATGCATTGTATCATCAGGTTTTAGTCGTGGCAATGGAAGGTGTTCGTGATCTTGTATCATCATCTAGGCTCTCTCTAACCCTCTTCAACCCCGCTGCCCACCTCTTAACAGTGACAAAATAAGGAGCATCATTCCCTAAAGTTGACACCAAGTGGAAGATGTTCGTGATCTTGTATTATCATCTAGGCATCATAAACTTGACTTGTTTGTTGTTTAACGCCGCACTCAGCAATGTCCCACCTATATGACAGCGGTCTATAAATAATCGAGTCTGGACCAAACAATCCAGTGGTTGACATCATGAGCATCGATCCACGCAATTGGGACACGATGACATGCATCAACCAAGTCAGCGAGCCTGACCACCCGATCACGTTAGTCGCCTCTTACGACAAGCATAGTCGCCTTTTACGGCAAGCATGGGTTGCTGAAGACCTATTCTACCCCGGATATTCACGGGTCAGTCTAGTATGTATATGATTCGTGCCTGTAGCAATGAACTGGTCTCACCTGTTTATGCACTCAACCAAGGACTTATATATACCATAAAATTTGTGTCTCAGCCACACATAAGTGGGACAGAACACGCAAACGTTTAACGAATTGATGGGCACTTACATCACAGACTGTGTTCTCCATTACCTGAACTGCAAATTTTTAAAATAAACTGTTTCTTATTTAAATAGGCAAAATCCGTAATTAAGACCAAGATTTAGAAACGTGCAGTCCCGATATGGTATTATCTTATATAGATCAACGTTTTATACTGAAAACAGACAGAGAATCTATGGATGTCTAATTCTACATTATGAGGAACACAACGTTTCAGAGTATGTTATTTTGACTCTGTTCTGATGTACAAAACCTTCCAAATGGCGTGCTGGTTTTCTTGGGGAATTAGTCAGCAAAGAGCCGAAGTCACAGGAGACTAATTACAATTTTATTTACAAGAACATTGAACAATGAACAATATCTTAAATATAGCTGAGGGTGCCACAGAGAGTCGGTACAACCCCCTGGGCCTTGGGTGACAGGTCTGCGTGGTTTGAGCGTCAAACCCCTTCTGCCTAACATCCTGCTTCTATTTCTATTTAACTATAATTTAGAGCAATAAAAATGAATATGATTGGTTGATACACAATGGGATGTGCCCTACGGTTAATGAATGGCTAGACAGAGGGGAATTCTTTATCCTGTTGGACTGGCACTAATCTTTTTGACATATTTACTGGGTGCTTGGAAAGAGATTATGGTATCACTACAGACGATCGCGAGCTTGTATGGGGCTAATCCTTAATGAGTCCAAATTGGAGTATTTGTTGAATGTTATTCAAATATTAGTGATGACATATTTACTTAAATAAAATAATTCAAGGCAATCTATAAGACTATGAAGACATATCTCTTGTCTTATTGAATAGTATGTCCGGGGGATGGGATTTTGTTACCTTAGGCTGGTATTTTATAAAAAGCTTTAAATTTATTAAACTATGTAGACATAACTGAAACTTCTAATATTTTGTATGTGCATTTGTCCTGGATCATAATATGTATTACCTCCTGTTCTGTAATCATATGAAATTTTGTATAAATGTTACACCAACAATGCTAAACGCACCTGTGGATCTAATTAGTATATGAAAACTTAGTATCAATGTTAAATCATGATATAAATGATAATATATTCAGGTGAATAAATTATATGAAAATAGATTAAAATATATATAAAATATATGTACCCGTTAGAACAGCAACAGTAATAAGATAACAAATGTGGAAACTTAACAAGAGACGGCAACAGATAATTGGCGCTGACAGGTGATTAGCAAAAGACAAATGTAGCATGACAGCCATGTACTGACTTTAAGAAAGCAAAACCATTTTATATGGTAATATCAACTTTAGTTTAGGTTTGTAGTAATGTTGGTTCAAGTTTTTGGTTTCATTTAAAATGCAGTTGTCTGTACCACAAGATTCACGAAATATATAAGTCACATTTTTACCTCGACATTTTCGTTGAATTTGAAGAGGTCGACATTTTAACTTCAATTATGAAAACTCTTCGTCTTTTGGAACAACCATTCAAACATTGCTCTGTTTGAATTCTGCAGATGAATGATTCGGTGATGATGCAAACGCAAGTGGTGCCATCGATTACCATGCCACACAATCGAGGTCCCTAACACTTGTAATGCTGATAGTCGTAATAGTTATCTGCAGCTGTACTGCTGAGTTGACGAGATTTGGTTTTCACCACCCTTTTTCGTGAGCCATGGAAATGGGACGCTGGAGCTTTCAGCGCGTGGCTCACGATTTTGTGGGAAAAGTCACTTGCTCTGCCCCGTTCCTGAAAATAATGACAGCTTGGGGTTATGAGAAATATCAAACAACCAGTTGATGTGTCAATCTACATAATAAATGTACGCATAATGATTCCAAGCATAATCACTCACATTCTTCAACGCGACATATGTCAAGTCGTACATATGAACTCATTGCACACCAATAGTTTTGAGCCAATTGGGACAGATTCTGTTCAAATGAATCCATATATGTATGTATGTATGTATGTATGTATGTATGTATGTATGTATGTATGTATGTATGCATACAGGAAGTGGAAAGATAATTGTGTTGGTGGTAGTGTGACCTTTTTTCATCAAGCAAATGTCATTTTCCAACAACAAAAAACGCCTGACCTCACACAGCAAGACAACAGCCATTTCCTGGAATCACAACATCCAGCTCCTCCCATGGGTCCCCAGATCTCCAGATTTAAACAAATTCGAACATTAATAGATGCAATGGATCAACGAAAGCGAGCATTGCCAACAGAGTGGGTGAACATTCCCCAGGACCAATTCGGGATCTGATTTGATGGGACGACGATGCCAGTCAGTTTTGGTGGCCATTTATTGAGAACAGATGACCTTCATCTTGAAAATCTGCTGTTCCATGTGTGGCATATGGAACCTTGGTCAATGACAATGATGTGTGCCAAGTTTTAAAGAAATCGAATACCTTATCTTGATTATCTAATTTTGAAAATGCAGCAACCAGGGTTTAGGTGATCCGGGCACATTTAGGCTGGTTAGGCTCATCATCAGCTCAGGGCCCTTGCCCCTTCAACATGCAGCCCAGACAGCGAATAGGACTTCTTCCAGGAAGCGCTGCCTGGTCAAACCCACCCAGAACTTTTCGGAGAATGTGAAGACTGCAGCCTTCTGCATTACCCAGATTGTTACAAGGGCTGTATTCCTCGTATATCGGGACAGATTGGGAGGTACCAAACCTAAGGCACCGAAAACAATGAGGATTATTCATTATTTTGATTATTTACCCAATTTGTCATGTTCCTATCCAGGTCTGTTTCCAGTTCCGAGCATGCTGTATGAAATGCATATCGCTCCTCGCGTTGTTCCACAGTCTTCGCACCTCTCTTAATCACATGTTTGGCTGCCCGTCTGAATATTTGTAAATGAGGAATCATATTGAGTGTGTGAGTTTGATTGAACGACGCGTTGAACAATATTTCAGTTATATCATGTCAGCTTGGTGGGAAAAAAGCGAAAAGCAGTTCAAGTCATGGACGTTTACCAACCACAAACAATGATTTGGTGCTGCCAATCTTTGAAACACAATCAGTGCGATCATAGGTTTCTGGCAGTCTGCATAGCAAATTGCGCCGCATTAGACGACGGAGCTAGCCGTGCTCCAGGAGAAACATGAACAGGTTTTCACGGTATTTCAGCTGAAAGTGTATGTGTCTACTTGTATCCTGCTGTACATGTGTGGCTAGTTTCTGGTAAACCAAGAGTATAGCACATACCAATACAGTAATAGCTACGATGATTAACTGACAGTCTGTTTTTGATATGATCATTGTAGGATATGTATTTTTTTTATTTCAAGCGAAAACAGATAAAACAATTATGAAACGTGTTGTCCAAAATACCAAGAATCGATGTCAGCAATATCTCAGCAACAACTCTATATAATTCTTTGAAATCATGGTTCTGCAATATTATTATTTATTGGAGATTAGCACAATGACAAACCTCCAACATATGGATGTACTTACATATGTCCCTTGGCTTGTTTTGGGGCTCCCTGCTTCACCATCTCTGCCGTCTTCTGCACGGTGGCCAATCCCACGACTGCCACATTGATGTTCTGATAATAAAGATGCAAGATTGTACAAGGATTGAACCACTTGGGTGGCTGATCAGTCCGTCAGATACATGCAGTATTTGTCATTTCTATTCGGTTGAAATGTCACACATGCTGTAGGACTGTATTGCATAATAAATTGATGTCATTGTGTTACCTCCTCCATGACCTTCCTGTCCTTGGTGAACTTGTGACTCTTGCACATGACACGGAGACACTTCATGCCGTTCTTGCGAGTGTAGGCGATCTGAACCTAAAATGGGGAGTGAGTGAGTGAATGGTTGAGTTTGGTTTAAAGCCTGAAATGATGCAACAAATTCGGGGAAACATACAAGCACGGTTACTGGATTCTAAACTGCGATGCAACTGCACAGTTAATTGCGAAGCCTTATACAGCATGTCCATCCGTGCACCCAAGGAATGATGCCACAAGGAAAAGGATGTTCTGTTTAACTGGTATTTAATTTGACAGATGATGATGAAAACAGATGATATAATTTTCTTGCACACTCATAAGCTCCCCCCCCCCCCCCCCCTTATTACACTGTCGGTTGTTTGCGCAGGAATCGAAATAGGTGTCGGGCGAGTTTCTTGACTAGTACCTGGAAAGGGATTTCATCAATTTCTGGGATAGTGTCCGGATCTTTGAGTTTGAATTTGAATGTGAGGTCTGTGTCTTTCAGGGCATTGCCGACCTCCTTCACCAGCCTGCTGCAGTCCTGGAACAGAGAAGACATACTCAACCGTAATGAAACACTGTACAGAAAGGGAAAACATATATTTTGTGACGATGCCGAGTTTCTATTTGAATTCAAACAGAGGAACAACAGTGTGCTGAGACAATAAAACACTCTCGAAAACGTAAAAGACTCAAAGTATGATAACCTTTGGATAACCTTCTTCAGCAAACACAAGGGATGGATGCAGCAAGAAGGTAACATGAACTGATGAAGCCACGATCGTGTTCTGCCAGATGAGACGCAGCTCCCGGACGATCTCCAGGGGGTTGAGGACGTTGACGGTGCCGCCTGAAGCCAGCGCACACGCACAGACTTGCTGCATCTTGACAGGCTTTCCCTTCACTGCCATGATGTTGATGACGATGTTCTTCGAACGAGCATAGTTGCCGATCTGGAATATTCAGCAGAGAAATAATCTAGATATATTTGCGTAAAACTGTTCACTCTGTTTCCCCTAACTGTTGTCTTTGATATGCGTCTGATGTGTTACCTCTTACCATCTTTCACAAACATAAGACAACAACATGGTATATTGTCAGGAAAGCTGAGAAGCTAAATTGAAACAAACATGAAGACTTGTGGATGTAAGTGATCTTCCAAGGTACCAGTTGATGCCAGGAATACCTGTCCAGTTGATCTCAAGTCCGCGTCTTCACTACAAACATTTAAACATCTTCTTGAAGCATATCTGCTCTGACTTTATATCACTGTCTACACATCATTACTTTCATTTTTTATTACATTTTATCGGTTTTATATTTGACCAGAAAGGTGTATGGAGTAATGTTTGAATGTAAGGGGTAAACGAGCTTTAATGGAAATATTTCGCAATCTACGGAAGATTGGTTTTGTTGACACTTCAGTTTTCTTTAAAATATTTGATACTCAGATTCAACCTATTCTTTTATATGGTGCGGAAATATGGGGTGTAAACAGATTTGAAAAAATAGAACAAGTGCATATTATGGCTTGTAAGAAGTTTCTTAACGTTGGTTTGCAAACCCCAAATGCTATTGTGTATGGGGAATGCGGTCGGTACCCACTACATGTAAATGCTATGTGTCGTTCTGTAAAGTATTGGCTAAAACTGATTGAAATGGACGAAGATAGGATACCAAGAAAATCTTATAATATGCTTGTATATAACGACAAGTGTGGTCGTCATAACTATGCTTCTTCTATTCGTTCCATATTATTTTCTCACGGATTCGGAGTAGTTTGGCTCAGTCAAGCTGTTGACGACAAACCATCATTCATGAATAGTTTTAAAAACGTTTTGATAAATATGTTCTACCAATCATGGAATAGTACTATCAAGGCTAGTTCTAGGTACATTCTGTATAAAGAATTCAAAAGTCTCCTGGAACCAGAAAAATACCTTTCCATTATTACTGAAATAAAATATCGAAATGTTTTGATAAGGCTTAGAGCCGGGCTACTAAGACTTAAGGTAAACGAAGGTAGATGGGCTGATATTGACTTACGTTTACGACTCTGCCCCATATGTGAAACAAGTATAGAGATTGAATATCATTTTACTTTAGAATGTGAATATTACAACGATATTAGACATCTGTATTTACCAACAACATTTTGCAATAATCCAAATATGCATAAATTTAAAACGCTACTGTCATCTTCGTGTAAACAATTACTTGGAAAACTATGTAAATACCTGTATTACAGCTATGAAAGAAGACGTAATTATGAAAAGCCTGTAAACCTGTAAATTTGTACCTGACATTACCTTTTTTCATGTACCACACGATTTCAAATGTATGTATTGTATATGGGCCAGTGGCCTTGGTACAAATAAAGACTTCTTCTTCTTCTTCTAATCAAGAGATAAAATGGTCCACACAAGGCGTTCTTTTTCCAGCTAATAGTTCCAAAGCTTTAAAGGAATCTCAATTGGATGTGATTTTGTTATATTTCTAACTATAATTGTTATTCATTCCATGTTCCAAATCGAGCAAAACGTATTTACATGAAATCTAAAGCAATTCAACTGGTACAGTTAAATATCGTTGTTCAAATTTCGGTGATTACCGTCGTATAGAAGTCAGAGTCAGAGACGCCATGACTCAAGGAGCCAATGCCACGGTTTGGAGCCCCATCAGTACACAGCACAATCTCTGATGAAGGCACTTCACTCACAAATCCAGCACATATTGCCAGTGCTGGGCCAAGTGCTGTAGAACCTCGCGTGTGCAATTCTGCCACCTTCTCCATCAAACCACTGGAAGATGATTTCAATTTGATATTATATAAGCAATAATATTTCCTTTCACAGACAATACCGCCATTAATAAAAGTCTCCACTATTCATTTCATATGAACAAAAAGTCACTTAATCAACCAAACAAATAACTGTAGCACTTGAAAAACATTGTTTCCTTATTAGACATGCACTAGAATGGTTCTCAAGCCAAATACTTACTCATGGGAAAGTCGTAGAGGTTTGATCTCATTTCTTTCTGCTAGATCTTTCCCCTTATTGATGAGAGCATCAAAGTCATTATTGTTAACACCGGTGCTCTTTATAGATGGTCCTGTCCCATCACCTACGATCTCGACTTTTGTGGCAAAGAGGACCAGCATCACTTGTTTTTCCGGCTGTTCCAGTTTCAGCAGCTCCACCTGTCTGTTACAGACAGCAAAAGAGCAAAATTAATGTACTCAAGCTTGTTGCTTTATTCGCAAATCACATTGTTTATGATTTGAAAGATGGAATCCAACATAAATAATATTATTGATAATATATTTAACATGTGGTTTTATTTACTGAGCCCCAAACACCTAACTGCATGCTCATTGTTTCCATGACATGACACTGTGTACCTCATCACAGCCTCCTTGATACACTCCAGCCTAGACTTAGCCTCCAGCGTCTCCCCACTTCGAGCCTGCTTCCATGCCGCTATAACAAACGGAGACAGAGGACAGGTTATTGTACTTGTCCCTTGGATGTTTTGGCAAACAAGGTATGTATTCTAGATATATATGTATAGCTTTTACATTACAAAAATTCTTTCAATGAGTTTGGGATTACACCCCTTTGCTTAAACACTTTATTAGTTTATAAATATATGATAGTCGTAATAGCTTCAGAGGTGGAACTAATGTTTTGACAAATATGGTTTTACAAGTAAATATTCAAGCTTTGTTCTCAGTATTACAATGTTGACAATTTTTCACACATTGCATCTGGAAGTTCTGTCACACTGAGCCTAATGTCACACACTGCATTTGTTAGTTCTGAAACAATAAACCCATTGTCACACACTGCATCTGGAAGTTCTCATACAATAAACCTAAAGTCACACACTGCATCTGGAAGTTCTGAGTGTCTAACCTTGTAGTTCTGGGACATCTACCTTGGAATCCATTGAGCCGCTGACGTCAATGCAGTAGACAATTATTCCTGGCGTGATCTTCTGCACAACTTCAGCCGCCTCCTCCTCTTTCTCTGTTGCTGGACTCAACATGTAGTCAAACATCAACTCTCTGGGTATCTCCTCCAAGGTCACGTCTAGTTCTTTGTTCTCTTTCCCGCAATACTCACTGAAAAAGTAAGTTACATATTAAAGACACATACGGATTAGTTTATTATAAACCGGTCTTCCTCAGTTAACCTGAGACAAAAATACAATTATGAAACTAAACTGTACAGATAGTAAAAGGAAAATCATTCTCTTCATTAAAGCTCATACAAGATTCAGTTCATTGTGAATTATTGTATTGAGAATATTCTATTAATTCCATTCTCATTGCCTTATAAACTACAAGTATAGTGTTGTTACCTATTGCCTAGTTAGCAATTTCGATTATTGGTGAAAACCCTGCGAATTGAAAAGTAGTTTGGCACTAACCAGGTCCACTGCCTTGCATCCCCATTGTCTATGAGGCTTGATGTCTGGCACAGAACGGCATCACACTTCCTGCACCGAACTGGATCCCCGGTCACAAGTTGTGGATCATCGGCCAGTGTACCCAGGGGGATGTGCACCACATTGCCATCTATCTTCTTTGTCTTGATGGGGGTCCTACCGGCAGCTGGAGGGGTATGATTTTGTATGCATCAATAAGCCTTTGATTTAAAGAATTGAAACCTTAATCTATTGTGTGATATAGGTGCAGGTGTGAGGTGAAGTGGCAGTGGGTGGGGTGGGATGTTTTCCGTGCTCTTTTGTAAACGTCTGTAGTTCCAACACCTTTAGCTCGTAAACTGACAGTTCTCTATGTAATTTGACACCATGGCGTTTGTCTTTTGTTCCAAAATTTGAAAAAAGTTATGATTGCGTTTCTTTTGCTGTTCAGTACATATTATAGTTGTTGTCGGTTCTATTAACCTTAGTATTTAAATTAACTAGAACCATGGTAGAACCGGGTTTTCTCTTTCATGAGACGTTTACAACGCAATTAATACATTTGTAAACTCACAAGTTCTCTTTTTCTCCATCAACCCAATTAAATTGTTATTACTAAAATAATAAGAATAAGTACATGTATGTTTTTTCGTTAACTTTCATTCAACTGGGCTTTCCGTCTCTTATAATGGTAGAGCCTACCAACCCTTAACCATGTTACCAGATACCCAAACATCAATGACCATTTGACCAACCTTCCCGTGGTAGTCCACCAGTTGCCCGTGCTTGTACTGGCGCAGATTCGGTTGCTGATGCTTCAGATTTCTTCTTCCTTTCTTTTGCCTCCATCTTCGGAAGACCTTTGACGTTGATCATCTTCTTGTAGGAATCTTCAATGGTGGGATCAAAGTTTTCTACAAACGACTCGTGCACTAGACGCAAGGTGACAGACGACTTGCCCACACCACCTGTTCCCATTGTAACAAGCTGTAAATCATGAACATTGGGTATCCTGATAACTTAGGCTTAACGTAGGAGGAATAGAAGATTGCATTGTCGACACTTATTAGGCAGAATGTGTGGGGAGGGGAGTGACAGTGTAAAGCAGTATAGAACTGGACAGTTATCATCATCATCGTCATCATAATGTTTTTCTAGATCCTCTGATACCTAATTTTGTATCATACAGATACATATTTCACTGGCTGTGTGAATATGAACAAAGAATATACAGCTACCTATAACAAAACACTCTCTGTGATTTTGGTTTACAGCAGATGAACTCACAAGAACATAGAAGAAATCAAAGACCAATTCTGTACCTTATATTCAATCCCTTGACGAGGGATGGTCCTGAGTAAGGCCTCTATAGCGTCCTTAACATTGTCCCCTGTTTTGGCCGATGTCTCCCTGAAGGGCACGTCCCTGGCTCTGGCCAGACCTTTGCCTTCTGCCTTGGAGACAACACGTTGGTTCTCTAGATCAGATTTGTTGCCGCACAGAACCTGTTTGATGTTGAATTAATAACATGAATATGTTTAATGCATTTGCACATATGAGATAAGAGACATTAAGCAAATAGTCATTCGGTATTAAAATGGAAAACTGGTAATAAATTGTACTTTAAATTCTTCTCAATCGCACCACTATTCTCACATTGTACATCCAAGATGATCTGGTTATGTTCATCTTCACGAGAAAACAAGTTCCTACATGGTCTCTGGTTTGGAGTGTTTGGTTTCTGGGATGATTATTTAAATAAGCGAGAATTTAAGTACTAACAGCATGTATTTTTTCCCCCTGTTTACTTGTTTCCAGGAAAGTAAACATGGCAGTGGCCTCATCGAAGGACTCCCTGTTCGTGATGTCGTACACGATGATGAAGCCTTGAGCTGACCGAGTGTACAGATCTCGCATTGCGGAGTACTCTTCCTGCCCGGCCGTGTCGAGGATGTCCAGCATACATTCCTGAAACAAAGATACTGACTGTAGTTACAGGATTTGTGTCCGCCTTGTTGAACACAACATTGGCAGTCTCTGCAGGCTCCTTTGAGTTAAGATTATGTAACGATAATGGCCAAAATTTCGTTTTTGATGTATACCCGATTGTTCCATGTAAAATATTTCTTTTCTTGTATTGTATTTATTTTCTTGTATTATATTTCCTTTCTTGCATTGAATTTCCTTTCTTGTATTATATTTTCTTTCTTGTATCTTATTTCTTTTCTTGTATCTTATTTCCTTTCTTGCATTGTATTTCCTTTCTTACATTGTATTTCCTTTCTTGTATCTGTTTTTCCTTTCTTGTATTATATTTTCTTCCTTGTATTGTATTTCCTTTCTTGTATTGTATTTCCTTTCTTGTATTATATTTGCTTATTGTATTATATTTATTTCTTGTATATGTTTTTCATTTCTTGTATTATATGTCCTTTCTTGCATTGTATTTTCTTTCTTGTATTGTATTTCTTTTCTTGAATTGTATTTCCTTTTTTGTATTATATTTACTTCTTGAATGTATTTCCTTTCTTGTATATGTTTTTCATTTTTTGTATTATATTTCCTTTCTTGTATATGTTTTTTCATTTCTTGTAATGTATTTCCTTTCTTGTATTGTATTTGCTTCTTGTATTGTATTTCCTTTCTAGTATTATATTTGCTTTTTGCATTATATTTCCTTTCCAGTATTATATTTCCTTTCTTGTATTGTAATTCGGTTCTTCTATTGCATTTCCTTTCTTGTATTGTATTTCTTTTCTTGTATTGTATTTCTTTTCTTGTAGCTAATTCTTTTATTATGTTTCCTTTCTATTACGATAAATACCCTGGACTCGTTCGCTGCCATAATTTCGTTTCGTCATCACTGTTATTCCTCACTTATAACAGAATTCCTTTCGCTCTTTTGATTGGACGTCTATATGTTTTTCATTTCTTGTGTTGTATTTCCTTTCTTGTATTGTATTTGCTTCTTGTATTTTATTTCCTTTCTAGTATTTTATTTGCTTCTTGTATTATATTTCCTTCCTAAGATTATATTTGCTTTTTGCATTATATTTCCTTTCTAGTATTATATTTCCTTTCTAGTATTATATTTCCTTTCTTATAATGTAATTCTTTTCTGGTATTGCATTTCCTTTCTTGTATTGTATTTCCTTTCTTGTACTGTATCCTTTCTTCTATTGTATTTGCTTTCTTGTATTGTATTTCCTTTCTTGTATTGTATTTCCTTTCTTGTATTGTGTTTGCTTCTTGTATTGTATTTCCTTTCTAGTATTATATTTACTTCTTGTATTATATTTCCTTTCTTGTATTGTATTTCCTTTCTAGTATTGTATTTCTTTTCTTGTATTATATTTACTTTCTTGTATTGCATATCCTTTCTTGTATTGTATTTCCTTTCTTGTATTGTATTTCTTTTCTTGAATTGTATTTCCTTTTTTGTATTATATTTGCTTCTTGAATGAATTTCCTTTCTTGTATATGTTTTTCATTTTTTGTATTATATTTCCTTTCTTGTATATGTTTTTCATGTCTTGTATTGTATTTCCTTTCTTGTATTGTATTTGCTTCTTGTATTGTATTTGCTTCTTGTATTGTATTTCCTTTCTGGTATTATATTTGCTTCTTGTATTATATTTCCTTCCTAGTGTTATATTTCCTTTCTTGTATTGTAATTCTTTTCTTGTTTTGTATTTCCATCCTTGTATTGTATTTCCTTTCTTGTATTTTATCCTTTCTTGCATTGTATTTCTTTTCTTGTAGCTAATTTCCTTTCTTGTATTGTATTTCCTTTCTTGTATTGTATTTCCTTTCTTGTATCTTATTTCCTTTCTTGTATTGTATTTGCTTTCTTGTTTTGTATTTCTTTTCTTGTATCTTATTTCCTTTCTTGTAATGTATTTGCTTTCTTGTATTGTATTTCCTTTCTTGTATTTTATTTGCTTCTTCTATTGTATTTCCTTTCTAATATTTTATTTGCTTCTTCTATTGTATTTCCTTTCGTGTATTGTATTTCCTTTCTTGTATCTTATTTCCTTTCTTGTATTGTATTTGCTTTCTTGTATTGTATTTCCTTTCTTGTATTGTGTTTGCGTCTTGTATTGTATTTCCTTTCTTGTATTGTGTTTGCTTTCTTGTATTGTATTTCCTTTCTTGTATTGTATTTGCTTTCTTGTATTGTATTTCCTTTCTTGTATTGTGTTTGCGTCTTGTATTGTATTTCCTTTCTAGTATTATATTTACTTCTTGTATTGTATTTCCTTTCTTGCATTGTATTTCCTTTCTTTTATTATATTTCCTTTCTATTGCGATAAAAACTCTGGACTCGTTCGCTGCCATAATTTCGTTTCGTCATCACTCTTATTCCTCACTTATTACAGAATTCCTTTCGCTCTTTTGATTGGACGTCTATTTCTGGCGTTGTGTTATTCAAATCGGGTTAAAAACGAAACAGTGTGGTCAAATGGGTATGAATAATAACAGAATGGAGATGCAAAACACTGGATAATCGAGGATGTGTTTATTCGACTGTTTGAATATATTTATTCATCTGTTTCAAATGAAATGTTAGGGATTTCGGGTTAGAATTGATCCCCAGCAACCTATGCTGTCGTGAGATCAGACTAAATGTATCAGATGGTCAGACTCCGTGGCTTGGTTGATTGCGTGTCATCGTACATCATCGTCATCGACGGCGTGGGTCGTTGCTTACAATGTCGATCACTGGATTGTGTGGTCCAGACTATTTACGGGCTATAATAGTGTGGCGTTAAACAACACGCAAATAAATACTAAATCTATCATGTGATAATGATGTGTGTTTTTATGTAATCTGTGACCTAAAGATCTTATTTTGTCGTTCTGTTGCAAGTTAACATCTGATTTGTCTCACCATCTCATCCATTTCCGTTTCCTCTTCTTCTGACGAGTCGAGATTGAGGATTTCATCTTCGTCTTCCCCAACATACACAAATTCGCTCCCGAAATCCATCTGAACAGATCTGCTATATGTAAAGAGAAAATAAATAGAGTGTCGAGTGAACTTTCTTGTTTCTTTCATCAAGTGAAAGGGGAAAGAAATATCTCCTTTTCACCCGTCACGAGAAAATGCGAGAAACATGGAACATCCTATTTATTATGTACTTTTTGTGTTGTTTTCAACCGGAAATTATATTATTCCATTACAAATGTAAAGCCGTGAGACGTAAATTCTCCCTACCTATCACACTTGGGCGGTTCACTACCCCTTAAATTGTGTTTGCAACTAAAAAAAGGAGTTTCGTGTTTGCAAAATCTGTTAAAAAATATAAACAAAAGTAACAAAAATTATTTTGTGGCTCGACAATTCTGTATCATTCATATAGATACGATTAAATACAAAATCATCTTTTACAAAAAAAATATACTTGAAAACTACCAAACAACTGTTGGAAGTGAAAGAATACACGTTGTGTAAGTAACAAAAATGGCGCTTTGGGAAAGGAACAGTCTCGGATTGACGAGTTAAGTAAGAAATTTACAGTGTACAACAAAACATTTTCAAGAAGAATATCAGCCTGAAGCAATATTAACACCATAAATGGCTATCTGTCATTATTTTGTCTTGTCAATGTGGAACTAACGTAAAAAGGAAGTCAACAGTTTGTGTAGAGGCTAGACACTTTCGATAAACGGAGACAGTTTGAGGGGAGGTCACTCTTGTATGACAATAGTTCCGTCAAATATAATCGATCAATATATTAACTCTGTTATGGTAATGCTGCGTTTGTTTACTTGTTATTTTGTTTAACGCCGCACTCAGCAAATTTCCAGCTATATGATGGCGGTCTGTAAATAATCGATCTGGACCAGGCAATCCAGTGATTAACATGAGAATCGATCTACGCAATTGAGATACAATGACATGCTTCAACCAAGTCAGCGAGCCTGACAACCTGATCCCGTTAGTCGCCTCTTGCGACAGGCAGAGTGGCCTTTACGGCAAGCATGGGTTGCTGAAGACCTATTCTAACCTGGCTCTTCACGAGTCCATTACACCAGTTCACAATCAAATAAATACTACGATTCAGTGAGTGAGTTAGTATGGTTTTACGCTGCTTTTAGAACTATTCCAGCAGTAACACGGCGGGGGAAACCAGAAATGGGCTTTTCACATTGTACCCATGTCGGGAATCGAACCCGGGTCTTCGGCGTGACGTGCGAACGCTTTAACCACTAGGCTACCCGACCGCCCCTGGCATAAAGGACGTTCAAAGACAATAAAATAATTGAACCAACAACAGTTCACAGTTTGGTATGCGGAATTGTCAAGCAGCTGGACACGAGTGGGTGGAACTCTTGAACCCAGCAGTGGTAACTCACTGGATGCCCTTTGTGTAATACCTACTACTACTACTACAATTCAGAATGAAAGCGGTTAAATCATAATGCCGTGATCAATCATAAATACAAACATGGTTAACGCAGCCCTACAACATGTCTCATGTACATTCATTTGACAGTTAAAGCGTTCTCATGGTGGATTTGTGCGCCTATGACCCTATGACCTGTGAAGATAAGCTTGTCGTGAAAGGCGACTAGCGGGATCAGGTGGTCAGGCTCGCTGACTTGGTTGATGCATGTCATCGATCCCAATTGCGTGGATCGATGCTCATGATATTAATCACTGGATTGTCTGGTCCCGACTCGATTATTTACAGACCGCCGTCATATACTGTAATATTGCCGAGTGCGGCGACAACAAATCAACCAACCAGCCAAGCGTGCGCCGCGCAACGATCGATAAAGAGATTTCACAACAGAGGGAAACATGAATACACCGAGACTCGTTGGCTGCGATTGCCTACCGTGTCCTTTCCTCGTTCAATATTAGATTTTCTATTTGGCCACACCAGGAAGCTACGATCGCCCCGTAGGAAAAGTTAGTGAATGTGAGCCGTGTGGTCATTTTGGGTCTCAGTTACATATTTTTCTCTAACAAAATACCATTCATTCACTCGGGTGACAACTCACTTTATGGCGACCTATTTTCAGTCTGTCACACACTATAGATAAAGAGGATAACTTCCGATAAGATAAAAAATACTCAAATAATAGAATCTTTTTCTTCGCAAATAGAATGTTTACATGGCATTTTCATCATAAGACCTGAATACGTTGCTGAAGTCAACAAAGCTTTATGTATCACAGAACTTTCTTAGTTAATGTAATTAGACTTTAATTAATAATTGCCGATGTTCCATGATTCAAAAGCAACGTCAAATATTAATATTTGGACAAAACAGTTGTTATTCAATGGTAAATAGTAATAGCACATTAAGTTAAATACATTAATAAATGTCGCACCGTGATCTATTTCCTATAGATATCATTTGAATATGTGTTTTAGCACACTTACCTTGTAGCAGTGTATGACTCCCTTCTAACTCTTGTGTGCGCTGTTCGGTAAGTGTCTACCGGGTGGGAAATACGGTCGCGCTGTTATATTGGTTAAGCTGAATCAGTGGCTATAAATAGACGCTCCAACAATTCGCGTGTCATATCGAACATATTGTTATATCTAACATTGCGTCACATGTCTTACATGTTACACAAGCTGGATGTCACTTTCTTACTTGCCCGAGAAGAGATCACCCGTTTAATAAACATACAGTTGTATTACACATTGTGTAATACCAAAACGCGTGCTTATGTTCTCTCGGAACACGTTTCACGAACAAATATTGAAAGCTCTCAACACCCCTTGGCTTATTCAAGGACATTGCGTGTGGAGATGATAGATCACTGAGAGGAGATTATGCACACTCGATGACCCCAGCAACCTTGTTGCTAGGCTTACATGTTTCGCCGATGGATCCAAGCTCCATGCAGCGATAGCCCGTTCGCGGAGCTCTCTATACTACCGAGAGTGTAACGAAGGTGTCACGCGCTGGGAAGGAGCTTGCGATGGATCTTGCTACAAAATTCCACATGTTACGTCATCGGGTATTGTGACGTGATTGTTAACTTTGAGGTGCAAGGCCTCGTTCCTCAAGGCGATCGGGGGCACGGGTGGCCCAGTCGTCTAAGGCGCCGCGATTCGCTGTGCAGAGTTCCGTCCCTTGGGAACGCCAGAAACCTATGATTGTGGGTTCGTATCCCGGTTCGCCCCGATTATGTTTCTAGGTTTGTCAGCACCATACCCGTGCTCGTAGGTTTCACCGAAGTGGTAAACGTCTGAGACCTGCATCACTTCGGGCTTTCCTCCAACATTAAGCTGACACGCAGTGATATAACTGGAATACTGTTAAAAGCGGCGTGAAATCGAACTCACTCACTCACTCAAGGCGATCGTATTGAACCTTATAATGTTTTATTGACTTCTGGAACTTCTTTTTAGGAGGTTCAACTTTCTAGTGAGTCAAAAGCACATGTCTGGTTTATAAACATGTTTAATCAACTAAAGGGGATTTACTCCCAATGATCTACTACTCTACAGTGCTGGTACAACAACTAGCTATAATAACTGTGTACATAGCACTTTAGTGGAACATGCTATAATGAAAACACATTAGATATATTGACTTACTGCTACAAACCTAGTTGACGGTAGTCTTTAAACAGCGCAGTTGGGACACCATGACATGCAACAACCAAGTCAACGAGTCTGACCACCCGATCCCGTCAATCGCCTCTTACAACAAACATGGTCGCCTCTTACGACAAGCATGGGTTGCTGAAGACCAATTCTAACCCGGATCTTCACGGGTCGACCATTATTTAACGATATCACATCGATGTAACTGAAGCGTTAGTTAAATTTTCTTGATCAAATCCCCGTGTTTTGATCTTGCCAATACGAGCTGAAATTCCGTATTTGTATTTCTTTTGCCGGATCCTTTGTAAATACTACAATCAATCAATAATCCGGAAGGTGTATCCATATTTTTAAGCTGAGATCATTCGGTAAGTGGTTGAGTGTGAGTGAGTGAGTTGGGTTTAACGCCGCTTTTAACAGTATTCCAGTTATATCACGGCGTGTCAGCTTAATGTGTGTGGAAAGCCCTAAATGATGCAGGTCTCAGATGTATTATATGTCCAATTCAACTTTGATCCTCTAATACATCACAAAGGAGTTGAGGCCATTTTAGCATGGCACATTTTGGGAAGACGCTGATGTGAGCATGTTGTTCCTTATGAGTGAATATACTTGTGTGATCCCAGAAGCCAGAAATATAGATGAAGCATCAAAGCCACCTGTACAAAACAAATACAGGCACAGCAAATTGTAGTTGAAAGCATGAGAAACAGTTCATCCACTTTGGACAGGATGACAGAAATACAGCCAAAACAGGCCGTCGTCAAAGGTGATGCCATTTGCTGTGCAGTTGCGTCTCTTTGGCACGCCAGATACTTGTGAGTGTGGGTTCGAATCCCGATTCGCCCCGATTATGTTTCTAGGTTTGTCAGCACCATATCCATGCTTGTGCGTTCAACCAAAGTGGTAAACATCTGAGACCTGCATTACTTCGGGCTTTCCTCCCACACCAAGCCGTGATAATTGGAATACTGGTCACAGCGGCATTAAACGCAACTCATCTCACACAATTTAATCACAAAATCAGCTTGGGGACAAAGGTGGTCCAGTTGTCGGGTTCAATCCTGGAGACATGCAGTGATCCTTGCTTCAAATTCAATATTCATCCTGGTTTTTTATGTATGACCGCCTCCGTGGTATAATGGCAGAGCGTCCGCCCGGAGATGCCCGGCCGCGTCATACCAAAATACGTTAAAAGATGGTACTTGTTGTTACCCTGTCTGGCGCTCGGCATTAAGCGGATAAAACAAGGACTGGTCGGGTTGGTGTCATAACACTGTCTGAGTGGGGTATTCTTGTTAAGCCGCGGCAAGGTATCTCAATGGGCTAGCACTTTAAAATCAGCATCAGTCCCGACTAGTACAAGAGGCACACAAACACGAGTGCATGCTCATCGCTATATAAGTGCAATAATCTTGGACGCGATCCGTTTTCACCTCACCTCAACTTTCATGTATATCATGGGCTCAGCAAAGTGCTAAAAGACACACATTAAGATGATATAACTGAAATGCTGATCACAGGCCATACGACCCGTGAAGATCCGGGATAGAATTGATCTTCAGCAACCCATGCTTGCCGTAAAAGGCGCATATGTTTGTCGTAAGAGGCAACTAACGGGGTCGGGTTGTCAGGCTCGCTGACTTTGTTGATACATGTCATCGATCCCAATTGCATGGATCGATGCTCATGATGTCAATCACTGGCTTGTCTGGTCCAGACTCGATTATTTACAGACCGACGTCATATAGCTCGAATGTTGCTGAGTGCGGCGTTAAACAACAAACAAACAAATAAAAGCGCCACAAAGCCAATCTCAAACATTCCACAGTTTCTTGTTGCAAGCATGGCATACTTAGGCTTGGTTTTGCACAAATATCTGGGTTGACACTTATGGGGTCAAACAGCTTCATACAGTACAAAAGCTGTTCCTTGGTAATCCCGCTAACACTCCCATCTAAATAATATTTTTAATATTCAGTTTTGACAGCCATTAGGACCTGTTAGCACCTTCTCAATTTTAGAACTAGGTGCTGACAGCGGAATTGTTTTGGGCTGGAATTACAATAGGCAACTCAAAACGAGTGGCATCTCCCTGAGGCAAGGGAGTTAACTGACTGTATAAAATGTACTATAAAATGTACCCTTGCCAAAATACAATACAGAACGTACCTGGTACAAAAAACGTCGGATAAGTCCATATTCCCCAACCCGAAACCAGTTCATGTTTAGTTCCAGTTCGCCTGATTGCGAATGCATGCGTGGATTACGGAATATTGCCGGAATATTAGATTAATGTACGTACGTCACTGTGTATGATCGTTTCCTATATGATACGCTGGTATGCAGGTTAAGAAGATAATACAAAAGTTTCTCCTGATGACCGTGTTCTGCCATGTTGAATTTAACCGCGGTTTGGCATACAGGAAGTGACGAATAGGCTACCTGAAGAACCAGTTACGCGCATTGCACCCTGCGGCCCTGCATCGGAATGGACTCTGTATTTGATTTTGGCTAGGGTACATTCCTATATAGAGAAACATACCTGGGATACATTTCTGTAATACCTGTGCCGATAACGACCCCTTCAGCCTCAATAACATTCTTCGAGATCAAAGATACGAGTCGTATGAGAAATGATGGCACAAGTCACAACGAAAAACAATTTTATTTGTGTTTCATATTCCTGTGTTACATATAAAACACTAAAACATTAGGTCAATAAAATGTATCAAAACAAAACCTAACAAAAAATGCGAACATAGCAGATGGCACTTGTGTACAAGATACTGTGATATAAACATGAGTAAACAGATTTCAATGAATAAAAAGCGACAAAAAACATTTCCATTAACAAGAAATCAATCCACTGTGTGATTCCGACTAAATCATACTTCAAGAATCACCATCAAATAGTGATGACCCCAGGTGTTCATGAAAAGGTGAGCATAGGGCATAAAAACATTATTCCTTAAATACATGTAAAACAGAACAAATATAAAGGGAACAAGTAAACTATATTTTTATTTCTATTAATTTGTTGTTTAACCCTGCACTCAGCGATATTCCAGCTACATGACGGTGGTCTGTAAATAATCAAGTCTGGGCCAGACAATCCAGTGATTGACATCATGAGCATCAATCCATGAAATTGGGATACATGTATCAACCAAGTCAGCTAGCCTGACCACCCGATCGTGATAGTCGCCGACAAGCATTGTCGCCACAACAAGCAAGGGTTGCTGAAGACCTATTCTACCCCGGAGCTTCACGGGTCACAAGTAAACTGGGAATAGTCTGTAAAATACACATCTTACAAAAACAATATAATATCACTGGACATAGTCTCACTAATTCCATCAACAGCAGCAGGAAGTGGGTGAGTATGGCTTTTACGTTGCTTTTACCAATATTCCAGCAATATCAGAGCGGGGGACACCAGAAATGGGCTTCACACATTGTACCCATCGCGGAATTGAACCCGGGCCTTAGACATGACGAGTGAACGCTTTAACAACTAGGCTACCCCACCTCCCCATCAACGTTAGCAACTTGTATAACAACATATTGCCTAATAGGGCCATCAGCTATAAGTAAACATACCTGGTAAAGACATGAAGACGTACATAGCTGTTTACATTTGTGATACAAATATTACATGGCATGTCTTGTTACTTACAATGAGTAAATATTGTCGAATCAGCATGCACAGATGCATCTATAACACATACATAGCATCACATAACAACATCGGAATAGTGCACAGGTCTAGAATCCTATTCTGACAACACGGCAGAGATATAGCTCGAGTGTTCAACAGAAGGAAAGATTCCATAGTGTCGGTTTCCTCCAGGGGCACTCCTGGTCTCAATATGCAGTCATGCAGGCTGACGATGATGAAGTTTAACATTTGTAATTCAAGTACGAGTCATAATTATTTTTGTCACTGACTTGTCGCTGCTGGACTACAGCAGCTTTCTTCTTTGCTCCGTGGAACCTATCCATATTGGCCTGGTGTGACCTGTGAGCAATTCTGTGGGATGAATCACTTGCTGTACCAAGTTCCTGAAAGAATAGGAGGACTTCATTACATGTGACTGGAGTGAGTGAGTGACTTACACCCCTTTTTGGCAATATTCCAGCAAAATTATGGTGGGAGACACTAGAAATGGGCCTCACTCATTGAGGGGAATCGAACTCAGGTTTTCGACAAGCTGAGCGATTGCTTTAACCACTGGTCCACATTTGTCTGGAGCAGTATATTATGATTACAACATTAGTGAACACATGGTCAAGTATGAGGTGTTTATTTGGGATGAAGAGAAAATGAAACAGTTCAGACTTGACCTGAAACAAACTACTAGGGAAATATTACAAAAACTATGGTGGTGAAAAAAGAAACGTTTGCACTGCGTTTTGTCTAAAATGGTCAAACGTGAAGTTTGGAAAGGCATTCGGAGACATCCTTCAATATATACAATATTTATATACAATATAAAATATATAAGATATATATAGACAATAAAGATAAGATAATATAGGACAAAAGATGAAATTTGAAAATACTACTTGGCAAAAGGTAGTAATGGTCAATGTTTGTGCTTTTCATAAAGTTATCGTGATTTCTAATAAGATTTTGTAAAAACCCAAAACTGTATTCGGAAGCATATGGTCTTAAATTGTTTCTATGGCAACAGAATACCAGTGGGACAGAAGTTCACCTTCATTCAATGATACAAATGACTGCTAAACCAGCTAAAACCATACTACACTCCGATAAGATACAACACATAATGATATATTTTAACTGAGATTTTTTAATACCAAAGATCTGAAATATTATCATGTGAAGTTGCTGTTCTTTTCACTCAAGATACGATCTGTTTTTCTTTGCTTTATTACAATTTATATTTATAATTTCAATAATTAGTATCTGTTAAATATATGCAAACAATAGCATTAGAATAAATTGACTGCACTTAAGAAATGGTATCTCCAAACAGAACAAATGTGATTCTAGCCTTTTTGTATATGGCATATGAAAACTACAAAGCAGTAATGTTTGGATAAATAGCAGCCTCAAATCAATGAAAAACATTTTTTCAGTTTCTACATAATGACGCTTTCACAAATAAAGTAATACCAACATATGATGTTATATATTTTAAATGAAGTATTTCAATCCAATTTTGTCAACTTAATCTTCAATAATAGTCCAATTGCATTCTAGTGACCTTGACCTTGACCTTTACAAGTTGACCTTGACCTTGACAACTGTAAGCTTGGAGGCCACGTGTGCCAAGAGTGATGATAATGTTTCAATGAAATGCTGTCCCCCTAATAAGTTATTCATTATTCTTTATTACTTACCCAGTCTTTTAAGTTGGAGGAAATGTCTGTTTCAAGTTCTTCGCATTCATTAAAAAATGCAAATTGTTCTTCACGTTGTTCCACTGTCTTTGCACCTCTCTTCATCATATTCTTGGTTGCCAATCTGAATAAAAGTAAAACTACAATTAAATAATGAGTTGGATTTACCACTACTTTGAAGACTACTTCAGTTGTATCACAGCATGACAGCTTGATGATGGAGGTCTATCCGAAGTGATGCAGGTCTTACACTTACACTCACTACTATATTGACACCTACATATACCAGTATGAAGCTGACAAACCAAGGACCCATGAAGATCCGGGATAGAATAGGTCTTCAGCAACCCATGCTTGCCGTAAAAGGCGACTATGCTTGTCATAAGAGACGACTAACGGAATCGGGTGGTCAGACTCACTGACTTGGTTCATGCATGTCATTGATCCCAATTGCGTGGATCGATGTTCATGATGTCAGTCACTGGACTCGATTACTTACAGACTGCCGTCATATGGCTGGAATATTGAGGTGTGCGGCATTAAACAACAAACAAACAAACTGACAAACCAAGAATCATAATTAGCGTGAAACGATTGAATCCTTAAACACAGGTTTATAGCACGTCTGAGGGATGCAGCCCTGCACAGTCAATTCCGGTAACGTAGATAACCGGGTCACCCATCAAACTACACTGATATTACATTGAGGTAAAGTGATGGAGTTTAACATCGCGTTCATGATTATTGCACTTATATTGCGACGTGTATGTACGTATGTGAGGCTGCTTGTACTGGTCTGGATTAATGCCAATTTTAAACTGCTAGTCCGCTGAGATACCATGCCACAGTTTAACATGAATACCTCACTCAGACACAGTATACTGACTCTGAGCCAGTCCTTGTTTTAGCCCCTTAATGCCGAGTACCAGACAGGGTAACAACAAGTATCATCTTTTAGCATCTTTTGGGATGCTGTGGCTTCGAAAGAACCCCCGAACTTCCGCTCTCCGGGCAGATGCTCTACTACTAGACCACGGAGGCAGTGATTGCAGTGAGGATGAATAATGTATGCTGATGGCAAATGTAAAGCACCATAAAAATCTTGTAGGTCTGTTGTGATCTTGTCATTACCCCAGTCTTAGGGGATTCTTAATGTCAAGTACCCTGGACCCACTTTTATTTCTACCACTGTATTTGCAAAGATATCCAGGTGATTATAGGTTAGGCAAATGAAGTTGAATTTACCATTTTAAATCATTTGGAACACAGAAATAATACTAGGATTTGCAATGATGGAACAAATTCTTTTTCGGCAATATATTAGTGAGTGAGTGAGTTTGATTTTACGCCGCTTTTAGCAATATTCCAGCAATATCACGGCGGGGGACACCAGAAATGGGCTTCACACATTGTACCCATGTCGGGAATCGAAGCCGGGTCTTCGGCGTGACGAGCAAACGCTTTAACCACTAGGCTACCCAACCGCCCCGGCAACATAGTAGATCACACAGTCCAACACCATGTTTGGGACCCTTGAAGATCCGGGTTAGAATTTGTCTTCAGCAACCCATGCTTGTCGCAAGAGGCAACTGACTGGATTGGGTCGTCAGGCTCACTGACTTGGTTGATGCATGTCATCATATCCCACTTGCGTGGATCGATGCTCATGATATCAATCACTGGATAGTCTGCTCCGGATTCGATTATTTACAGACTGCCATCATATAGCTGGAAAACTTCTGAGTGCAGCGTTGGACAATGCCCCCACACACACACACAAAATAAACAAAAAACATGTTTGGTTGGAAACCATTGGAACACAATGCCTAACTACCACACAATAGTTAAGTAAATAGTTTTCTATTCTGAAGCTACTTACAGTTGTGCCCTAGCCTCACGAGGGGCTCTGTTCTTTGCCATCTCAGCCGTCTTCTGCATCGTGGCCAATCCCACGACTGCCACATTGATGTTCTGATAACAAAGATAAAGGACGTGACCATCTTTAGAATTACAGTAAACTATGGCTTTAACGAACTCAAAGGGACAACTAACATTAGTTCGTTATAACCTTAGGTCGTTATAAGCATATGTACAGCATATTTACAGAAAATTACAATAACATAAGTTTGTTATATCTGTTGGTTCGTTATAAGCATGTTTGTTATAAACGTTTACTGTAGAAAGAAAATATGTTACTTTCATGGGTGATAACTTGTCATGCAAGTAACAAATCTCACAATCTCTCCTAACTACATCTACCATTTCCAGAATATCTATCCTTGATTTTCTGAACAAGTCTCCCATTGGAAGCCTAGCACTAGATTTATTATTCTCAAGCTGATCTCCTTTAGCCATGTTAACATCAGGCACTGATAAGTTTTTTTAATTTGTTTTCCAAATCTGATAAAAAGTTCATTTAATTTTTCAATTGAAAGTTTAAAAAATATCTTGTATTAATTTAATAATTATCTGAAGATTATAATGACCATTTCTAGTTATAAATTTAGTTAATAAATTTTCCCTATTTACCTTAATGGATGAGTGAGTGAGTATGGGTTTACGCCGCTTTTAGCAATATTCCAGCAATATCACGGCGGGGGAAACCAGAAATGGGCTTTTCACATTGTACCCATGTCAGGAATCGAACCCGGGTCTTCGGCGTGACGAGCGAACGCTTTAACCACCAGGCTACCCGACCTCCCCCGATGGATGAGTGAGCGAGTATTGTTTTATGCCACATATTAGGCTAAAATAAAATAGTCTTGGTTCTCAGGCATGCATACATCCTCATTAAGTCTGCGGCACGTTTCGTTTATATTTTTAAAACCCTTACATTTGAAAACAATGCGATCCAATATAGCGCGCAGTTATTCCCTTGACATGCACACTGGTTTACTGAGCATCTTGTGTTATGGTAATGGCGGCAATAGGAGTTTGTATGCTTGTTTATGTAGAGAGGCCCTTTCCCAGGTTGATGGTACACTGTACATTTGGTCATATACTAGTTTGAACAAGCGAAAAAAACACTTCCCACCCACACTATAATTTCAATAGTCATTGCCTGAGCACAAATTCTTTTATTTTTTTAAGCCTTATTCCAGGAATATGGTAACATGCATGACTGGAACCTTCAAACACTTAGCTACCAGACGCCCTCTTGCTCGATGGGAGCAGTATGTAATTGCACACTGTTTGTAAATAAATTGCATGAGTTCTTCAAACAGATGTCATGTGTTACCTCCTCCATGACCTTCCTGTCCTTGGTGAACTTGTGACTCTTGCACATGACACGGAGACACTTCATGCCGTTCTTGCGAGTGTAGGCGATCTGAACCTAGAACAGAGAAATGTGTCATTCATCAAATCTGGATACATCTTCACAGAAAGGCGAGCGAGTGAGTATGGTTTTACGACGCTTTTAACAATAGTCCAGCAATATCACGGCGGGGGACACCAGAAATGGGCTTCACACATTGTACCCATGTCAGGAATCAAACCGGGGTCTTCTGCGTGACGAGTGAACGCTTAAACCACTAGGCCACCCGACCGCCCCCTTCACAGAAAGGAATATATAGTTTTTGACTGTCTTCATCAATAGCAGTGTATTACTTTGTGAATGAAAGTCAAGAGGTCCTTGTCCAGGCAGATAACCCCAGGATGCCAGCATCAAAAAAAACCTCAGCACTACAATAGCATTTTGAAGTGGACATTGAGAATAAAATGCTTGAATTCAGTGATTCTTTCTACTTTTTATTATTGTGGTCCTTGCCGTAAAAGACGACTATGCTAGGTCACGTCTAGTTCTTTGTTCTCTTTCCCGCAATACTCGCTGAAAGGTAGAACACAATTCAATGTCACACCTCATGTCACTCAATGCATATTACAATGCTGTGCACCGTGAAGATCCGGGGTAGATTAAATTTTCAGCAACCCATGCTTGCCGTAAGAGGCAACTATGCTTGTCGTAAGAGGCGACAAACGGGATCGGATGGTCAGGCTCTCTGACTTGGTTGATGCATGTCATCGATCCCAATTGTGTGGATCGATGCTCATGATGTCAGTCATTGGATTGTCTGGTCCAGACTGGAATATTGCTGAGTGCAGCATTAAACAAAAAACACACAAAACAAACAAACAAATATTATTGTAGTCAAGTTCAGTATGGTTAATGAGACATTCTAGAACTTCAATTCTTTTCTTAATATGAGAATGATATATCTTCCTCATCATCGTCACACTACATGGACTATCTCACATCCCAGTTCTGATCCAGACTGGAGTCCCGACGGCCATAACAACATGCTATTTGAGTATTTGGGCTTTGGTTAATCATGTCCCACAATCACCATGGCAACCTTCATAGTGATCAATCCTGGTCCTGACAAAGCAGTGGTGGATATCATGAGCAAATATGAACCAGCTTATATGACAAACTGAGAGTTGTCCAAGGTATATATAAACATGCACACATCACATTTTTTGTCCAAAAAGCATGGGAAACTTTGGTTTTCACTTTTCTTCCTGAGGCAAGAGAGTTAACTGACCATTAAATTCCAGTTTCAACTCTTGCCGAACTAGCCTGGAATTATGGAGTTATCTATTGGCTGAACTAACGAATCAACATCAGGTTCGTAAAATGCCATGCAGATTTTGGTCGACTGCAGGATTTGCAAAGGGTGTGTAGCATCAATTTGGTGTCAAGAGATAGTTTCCAAATCTTTTCATGTTTTTAATCACGATGCTCAAGTGATTTGATGAACCCGAAGTAAGACCCGTTTTATCACAATATAGACTTGGATTATCGATCAGATAGTCTTGGCTGGTCGCCGCCATTTTGTTTAAAGTAAATGCAAGTGATATGAGAGGATGAGTCTTAGTCGTCAACAGGAGGGACATAGAAGGGACATTACATTAATGGCCACTGGTGGCGCTATGATCGAGCCCAGAAAAGTTTGGTAAGGGAGGAAACTGGACTTTTACAGTCAGTTATCTCCCTTCCCTCGGGACGTTGGGGTTTTCAGCTTTGGCATCCCCATCTGAAAGATTTGGGATGAATGAATCAAGGACAGTACCTGGAAAGGGATTTCATCAATTTCTGGGATGGTGTCCGGATCTTTGAGTTTGAAGTTAAATGTGAGGTCTGTGTCCTTCAGGGCGTTGCCCACCTCCTTCACCAACCTGCTGCAGTCCTGGAACAGAGAAGACATACTGTACCGTAATGTTTTTGTTTGTTTGTTTGTTTAACGCCGCACTCAGCAATATTCCAGCTATATGTCGGCGGTCTGTAAATAATCGAATCTTGACCAGACAATCTAGAGATTTACATCATGAGCATCGATCCACGCAATCAGGATACGATGACATGCATCAACCAAGTCAGCGAGCCTGACGATCCGATCCCGTTAGTTGCCTCTTACAACAAGCATAGTCGCCTTTTACGGCAAGCATGGGTCAAGGAACACCATACAGTAATGAAACACAGAAAGGGGTAACATGTATCTGTGTAAAAATGTCAAGTTTCTATCTGAAGTCAAGCAGATGATTTCAAGCAGAGGAGGAGTGAGTGAGTGAGTGAGTGAGTGAGTGAGTGAGTGAGTGAGTGAGTGAGTGAGTGAGTGAGTGAGTGAGTGAGTTGGGTTTAACACCGCTTTTAACAGTATTCCAGTTATATCACGGCGTGTCAACTTAATGTTGGAGGAAAGCCCGAAGTGATGCAGGTCTCGGACGTTTACCATGTCGGTGAAACCCACGAGTACGGGTATGGTGCTGACAAACCTAGAAACATAATCGGGGCGAACCGGGATTCGAACCCACAATCATAGGTTTCTGGCGTTCCCAAGGGACGCAACTCTGCACAGCGAATCGCGGCGCCTTAGACGACTGGGCCACCCGTTCCCCCTCAAGCAGAGGAACAAAAAAACAGAAGAACAACAGTGTGCTGAGACAATTAAACACTCTCCAAAACATAAAAGATTCAAAGTATGATTACCTTTGGATAACCTTCTTCAACAAACACAAGGGATGGATGCAGCAAGAAGGTAACATGAACTGATGAAGCCACGATCTTGTTCTGCCAGATGAGGCGCAGCTCCCGGACAATCTCCATGGGGTTAAGGACGTTGACGGTGCCGCCTGAAGCCAGTGCACATGCACTGACATGCTGCATCCCGACAGCCTCTCCCTCCACTGCCATGATGTTGATGACGATGTTCTTCGAACGAGCATAGTTGCCGATCTGGAATTACATAGAAATGTATATTTTTGAAACAATAACAGGTAATTAGATTTCCTTATCATGCTCACGCCAAATCCATCGAACATGACACATTTAGTCTGCATTGTTGAACATAAATATTCTTAAAACTGAATGTGCATCAGAAACTGAAAGGGTGAACTTAATCATGAAGAATACTCAATGGATGATAAAAAGATAAATAAAGAATTACACCTCAACTGCACTTATTCTGGTAAATATGATACACCTGCTTGAAACAGGATGAGTGAGTGAGTGAGTATGGTTTTGCGCCGCTTTTAGCAATATTCCAGCAATATCACGGCGGGGGACACCAGAAATGGGCTTCACACATTGTACCCATGTGGGGAATCGAACCCGGGTCTTCAGGGTGACGAGCGAACGCTTTACCCACTAGGCTACCCCTTCGCCCCTTAGGTGTAGATGCCATGGCGCTCAGAAACGACAGGGGATGTAAAATATCCACGACAATGTAATAGCATAGAAGCACATTTTCAAATTTGTATTTCCTCTATTATATTCATATTGAAGATACAGAAATCGGACATGCTTGTCTGTAATCTGATTTGCATACCGAGAACACTGATTAACTGATTAGAAAGTTCATCAGATCTTCATGCAGAAAGGTATCATAATGGAGTAACAGGTCTGAAAAAGATTGAAAATCTGACCTAATTACTGTAAATCTTGAAATTAACGCGAGCATGAATTAAATGCGAAAAATGCAAGTGGTCTTTGCTTGCATTAATGAAACTTCGCATTTATGTCTCGAAATTACTATCAACAATAAGACGGCCTCACTGCACACTTTGGATAGCGGAAATACCAACTTGAATATATACAAACATGGTTGATTGAGCAGCAGTTGTAACAAGTACATAACAATGTCATTCAAAGAATAGGTATTACACAGAGGGCATCCAGTGAGTTATCCACCCACTCGTGTCAAGCTTGTTGACAATTCCGCATACCAAATGGTGAACTGTTGTTGGTTCAATTATTTTATTGCCTTTGAACGTCCTTAATACCAGGGGCGGTCGGGTAGCCTAGTGGTTAAAGCTTTCGCTCGTCACGCCAAAGACCCGAAGCCGTGATATTGCTGGAATATTGCTAAAAGTAGCGTAAAACCAAACTCACTCACTCACTCACTCCTTAATGCCAGTCAACCAAGTAAACATATTAACTGTGTGTTGTTTTAAGGAAAACATTGTTTATTGTTTTTACGGAAGTGATCTACTCAGTGTAAATAAGCGATGCTATTTGCTTTTTGATTTGATAAGGTAAGGATCAGTATCATTCCATTGGGGATGGGGGGTGGGGGGGGGAGGATATTGAGCTGCATTTTTGGTAGGGGTCAGCAGACATGTTAATTTGGAGACACATCATTTCCAGATTTACAGTATTTATTGCAGCAGAATCACAGCTTACCTTTGTGTAGAATTCAGAGTCATGGGCACCGCCAGTCATGGAGCCAATGCCGGAGTTTGGAGCCCCGTCAGTACACAGCACAATCTCTGATGAAGGCACTTCACTCACAAATCCAGCACATGTTGCCAGTGCAGGGCCAAGTGCTGTACAGCCTCGCGTGTGCAAGTCTGCCACCTTCCCCATCAAACCACTGGAAAATTGTTTCAATTTTGTATTATACAAGCAATACTATTTCATATCACAGACAATTTTAAGAAATCTCGACTATTCATTTTGAATTATTACAGAAAACATATTGACATAAATTGTCTTAAATACATAGAAAAAAATCAAACATTTTAACAGTTCCAATTAATAAATTAAAATTAATAGCTTTAATTAATATATGACACGTTCTGAAACTGTTCCCAAGGCATTCACTTACTCATGAGAAAGTCGCAGAGGTTTAATCTCATTTTTATCTGCTAGTTTTTTCCCGTTCTTGATGAGTGCATCAAAGTTGTTCATGTTAACTCCAGTGACTGTTTTAGGTTGTCCCGTCCCATCACCTACGATCTCGACTTCTGAGTCAAAGAGGACGAGCATCACTTGTTTTTCCGGCTGTTCCAGTTTCAGCAGCTCCACCTGTCTGTAACACGACAAGAGTTTGCCATCATACATCCATGCTCGTTGGTAAAGACAACTAATATTCACATTAGCTTAAACTATTATATGCATAATCATATTAATACAGTTCATTTAGGAGATGTTGTGATTTGATACCTGTGACTGACCAATCAGAATCAAGTAATTATCAAATTCATGGTACAATATGTACATGTATTTAGTGATGAAAACCTGTATTTATCTAAGATAAATACCTAACCTGTGGTAAAGTTTACATTTACCTTGTGTCTATGCCATTTATGAAGATACCAACTTTTACATATCAATCAATAAGAAGTTATCGGACAAAATGCAAAGATGCTGCATTTATTATTCATTCTGTGATAAATACCATATTAATTTGAAACAAAATTGCTATTTCATTCCAGTGAAATCTACTGTGTACCTCATCACAGCCTCCTTGATACACTCCAGCCTCGACTTAGCCTCCAGCGTCTCCCCACTCCGAGCCTGCTTCCATGCCGCTATAACAGACACAAAGGATCATGAACAATTGAAAATCTTCCTTTACAACTGTTCAGTTCTCAAATCCAAGAGCTACATTCATTTTGCATCTTCTGCTAATGTCACACACTGCATCTGGAAGTTCTGTTGCACTAAGCCTAATGTCACACACTGCATCTGGAAGTTCTGTCTCGCTAAGCCTAATGTCACACACTGCATCTGGAAGTTCTGTTACACTAAGCCTAATGTCACACACTGCATCTGGAAGTTGTGTCACGCTAAGTCTTATGTCACACACTGCATCTGGAAGTTCTGTAACACTAAATCTAATGTCACACACTGCATCTTGAAGTTCTGTCACACTTAGTCTAATGTCACACACTGCATCTGGAAGTTCTGTAACACTAAGCCTAATGTCACACACTGCATCTGTAAGTTCTGTCACACTAAGCCTAATATCACACACTGCATCTGGAAGTTCTGTCACACTAAGCCTAATGTCACACACTGCATCTGAAAGTTCTGTTACACTAAGCCTATTGTCACACACTGCATCTGGAAGTTCTGTTACACTAAGCCTAATGTCACACACTGCATCTGGAAGTTGTGTCACGCTAAGTCTTATGTCACACACTGCATCTGGAAGTTCTGTAACACTAAGTCTAATGTCACACACTGCATCTGGAAGTTCTGTAACACTAAGCCTAATGTCACACACTGCATCTGGAAGTTGTGTTGCACTAAGCCTAATGTCACACACTGCATCTGGAAGTTCTGTCACGCTAAGCCTAATGTCACACACTGCATCTGGAAGTTCTGTTACACTAAGCCTAATGTCACACACTGCATCTGGAAGTTCTGTCACGCTAAGCCTAATGTCACACACTGCATCTGTAAGTTCTGTTGCACTAAGCCTAATGTCACACACTGCATCTGGAAGTTCTGTTGCACTAAGCCTAATATCACACACTGCATCTGGAAGTTCTGTCACGCTAAGCCTAATGTCACACACTGCATCTGTAAGTTCTGTTGCACTAAGCCTAATGTCACACACTGCATCTGGAAGTTCTGTGACACTAAGCCTAATGTCACACACTGCATCTGTAAGTTCTGTTGCACTAAGCCTAATGTCACACACTGCATCTGGAAGTTCTGTTGCACTAAGCCTAATGTCACACACTGCATCTGGAAGTTGTGTCACACTAAGCCTAATGTCACACACTGCATCTGGAAGCTGTGTCACGCTAAGTCTTATGTCACACACTGCATCTGGAAGTTCTGTTACACTAAGCCTAATGTCACACACTGCATCTGGAAGTTCTGTCACGCTAAGCCTAATGTCACACACTGCATCTGGAAGTTCTGTTACACTAAGCCTAATGTCACACACTGCATCTGGAAGTTCTGTTGCACTAAGCCTAATATCACACACTGCATCTGGAAGTTCTGTCACGCTAAGCCTAATGTCACACACTGCATCTGTAAGTTCTGTTGCACTAAGCCTAATGTCACACACTGCATCTGGAAGTTCTGTTACACTAAGCCTAATGTCACACACTGCATCTGGAAAATGTGTCACACTAAGCCTAATGTCACACACTGCATCTGGAAGTTCTGTCACACTAAGCCTAATGTCACACACTGCATCTGGAAGTTCTGTTACACTAAGCCTAATGTCACACACTGCATCTGGAAGTTCTGTTACACTGAGCCTAATGTCACACACTGCATCTGTAAGTTCTGTCACGCTAAGCCTAATGTCACACACTGCATCTGGAAGTTCTGTTACACTGAGCCTAATGTCACACACTGCATCTGGAAGTTCTGTGACACAAAGCCTAATGTCACACACTGCATCTGGAAGTTCTGTCACGCTAAGCCTAATGTCACACACTGCATCTGGAAGTTCTGTTGCACTAAGCCTAATGTCACACACTGCATCTGTAAGTTCTGTTGCACAAAGCCTAATGTCACACACTGCATCTGGAAGTTCTGTGACACTAAGCCTAATGTCACACACTGCATCTGTAAGTTCTGTTGCACTAAGCCTAATGTCACACACTGCATCTGTAAGTTCTGTTGCACAAAGCCTAATGTCACACACTGCATCTGGAAGTTCTGTGACACTAAGCCTAATGTCACACACTGCATCTGGAAGTTCCCACACAAGGCCTAATGTCACACACTGCATCTGTAAGTTCTGTTGCACTAAGCCTAATGTCACACACTGCATCTGGAAGTTCTGTCACACTAAGCCTAATATCACACACTGCATCTGGAAGTTCTGTTGCACTAAGCCTAATGTCACACACTGCATCTGTAAGTTCTGTTGCACTAAGCCTAATGTCACACACTGCATCTGGAAGTTCTGTGACACTAAGCCTAATGTCACACACTGCATCTGGAAGTTCCCACACAAAGCCTAATGTCACACACTGCATCTGTAAGTTCTGTCACACTAAGCCTAATGTCACACACTGCATCTGGAAGTTCTGTCACACTAAGTCTAATGTCACACACTGCATCTGGAAGTTCTGTTGCACTAAGCCTAATGTCACACACTGCATCTGGAAGTTCTGTCACACTAAGCCTAATGTCACACACTGCATCTGGAAGTTCTGTTGCACTAAGCCTAATGTCACACACTGCATCGCGAAGTTCTGTCACACTAAGCCTAATGTCACACACTGCATCTGGAAGTTCTGTTACACTAAGCCTAATGTCACACACTGCATCTGGAAGTTCTGTGACACTAAGCCTAATGTCACACACTGCATCTGGAAGTTCCCACACAAAGCCTAATGTCACACACTGCATCTGTAAGTTCTGTTGCACTAAGCCTAATGTCACACACTGCATCTGGAAGTTCTGTCACACTAAGTCTAATGTCACACACTGCATCTGGAAGTTCTGTTACACTAAGCCTAATGTCACACACTGCATCTGGAAGTTGTGTTACACTAAGCCTAATGTCACACACTGCATCTGGAAGTTCTGTCACACTAAGCCTAATGTCACACACTGCATCTGGAAGTTCTGTTGCACAAAGCCTAATGTCACACACTGCATCTGGAAGTTCTGTCACACTAAGCCTAATGTCCCACACTGCATCTGGAAGTTCTGTTGCACTAAGCCTAATGTCACACACTGCATCTGGAAGTTCTGTCACACTAAGCCTAATGTCACACACTGCATCTGGAAGTTCTGTTGCACTAAGCCTAATATCACACACTGCATCTGGAAGTTCTGTTGCACTAAGCCTAATGTCACACACTGCATCTGGAAGTTCTGTCACACTAAGCCTAATGTCACACACTGCATCTGAAGTTCTGTTACACTAAGCCAAATGTCACACACTGCATCTGGAAGTTCTGTCACGCTTAGCCTAATGTCACACACTGCATCTGGAAGTTCTGTTACACTGAGCCTAATGTCACACACTGTATCTGGAAGTTCTGTCACGCTAAGCCTAATGTCACACACTGCATCTGGAAGTTCTGTTACACTGAGCCTAATGTCACACACTGCATCTGGAAGTTAAGTGACACTAAGTCTAATGTCACACACTGCATCTGGAAGTTCTGTTACACTAAGCCTAATGTCACACACTGCATCTGGAAGTTCTGTGACACTAAGTCTAATGTCACACACTGCATCTGGAAGTTCTGTTACACTAAGTCTAATGTCACACACTGCATCTGGAAGTTCTGTTACACTAAGCCTAATGTCACACACTGCATCTGGAAGTTCTGTCACACTAAGCCTAATGTCACACACTGCATCTGGAAGTTCTGTTGCACTAAGCCTAATGTCACACACTGCATCTGGAAGTTCTGTTGCACTAAACCTAATGTCACACACTGCATCTGTAAGTTCTGTTGCACTAAGCCTAATGTCACAAAGTGCATCTGGAAGTTCTGTCACGCTAAGCCTAATGTCACACACTGCATCTGGAAGTTCTGTTGCACTAAGCCTAATGTCACACACTGCATCTGGAAGTTCTGTCACACTAAGTCTAATGTCACACACTGCATCTGGAAGTTCTGTCACACTAAGTCTAATGTCACACACTGCATCTGGAAGTTCTGTTGCACTAAGCCTAATGTCACACACTGCATCTGGAAGTTCTGTGACACTAAGCCTAATGTCACACACTGCATCTGGAAGTTCTGTGACACTAAGCCTAATGTCACACACTGCATCTGGAAGTTCTGTTACACTAAGCCTAATGTCACACACTGCATCTGGAAGTTCTGTTACACTGAGCCTAATGTCACACACTGCATCTGGAAGTTGTCCCACACTACGCCTAATGTCAAACACTGCATCTGAAGTTCTGAGTGTCTAACCTTGTAGTTCTGGGACATCTGCCTTGGCATCCATTGAGCCGCTGATGTCCATGCAGTAGACAATTATTCCTGGCGTGACCTTCTGGACAACCTCAGCCGCCGCCTCCTCTTTCTCTGTTGCAGGACTCAACATGTAGTCAAACATCAACTCTCTGGGTATCTCCTCCGAGGTCACGTCTAGTTCTTTGTTCTCTTTCCCGCAATACTCGCTGAAAGGTAGAACACAATTCAATGTCACACCTCATGTCACTCAATGCATATTACAATGCTGTGCACCGTGAAGATCTGGGGTAGAATAAATTTTCAGCAACCCATGCTTGCCGTAAGAGGTGACTAATGGGATCAGGTGGTCAACTGACTTGGTTGATGCATGTCATCGGAACCCAAATGCGTGGATCGATGCTTATGGTGTCAATCACTGGATTGTCTGGTCCAGACTGCCGTCATATAGCTGGAATATTGTGTGGTGTTAAACAACAAACAAATATCAATGCTGTAGCAATGAGGCTTACTTTTCCATCCGAAAAAAATATTATAAATATGTCAATTAAAACATTGGCACTGACCACATAGCTGAGAAACGATCTTATTGAGAATAATTTATCAATTCTCCACCAATGCATGATACAATTCTCAGTGCCTTATAAACTATAGTGTAAGTGATGTCACTTATAGTGGTGTCACTTGTTGCTTTCATAATATATTTTATGATTGGTGAAAAACCAGCCAATTAAAAAGTAGTTTGGCACTAACCAGGTCCACTGCCTTGTAGCTCCATTGTCTATGAGGCTTGATGTCTGGCACAGAACGGCGTCACACTTCCTGCACCGAACTGGATCCCCGGTCACAAGTTGTGGATCATCGGCCAGTGTACCCAGGGGGATGTGCACCACATTGCCATCTATCTTCTTTGTCTTGATGGGGGTCCTAGGTCCAGGGGGAGGGGGAGGTGGAAGGGGAGAGGAATTTGGAGGGCTGTATTTCTCTTTTCTTCTTCCACTAAATACTCTCTTCAGGCTGGACATGACGCCACCCTTCTTCTTGACTGAAAGGAAATAACTTCATAAGAAACCTTGATGTACTGACTGACATTAAACAGCAAATGTGACCTTATGGGTGAAACATCACATTTTTACTTTTCATTAATTTTAAAACTACAGCATCATCTGAAGACAAAATCAAATTCACAAGCTTCAATTCATTATGTATTACAGAGACACATGACAGTAACACTCAATTGCCAACTTATGGTTGCTGAAAGGTTTTGTAATAATGTTTTTATAACATTACAAACTAACAAGAGAAAAATAAGAAATGATGGCGATCTTCACTGAAGCAAGTTCCCATCAAACTGTCTTTATGACATCACAGCCCAATTGTATCTTAGCACCCATAAGGTACATTTTCTCCTGGTGGGACACAAATGAGAAAAATAATTTTTGACAATAATTTTGTTTTGTGGGAGGAGTGTGCCCTTGCTAGGCAAATTTGGAAAAAGTGTTATTTCTTTCTAAATGGGATTATTTTAAGTTCTTATATTTTCCTAAACTCTGAGGCATTGTAACAGTAAATTTAACATTGGATGAAATTGAATGATGTTAAACCCAAGCATCAATGCCTATTTCTCTATGTTGGTCCTGTTATCAGTGAAAGTCTCCTTACAAAGCACATAACAAAGTGGGAAATGCTTAATTCATATTTGGGATTTTTTCCGACATTTACGGTAGACTTGGGGCTGATATGGGCCTGGAAGCAAGTCTAGATAAATCCCTGCTTAATGGGTTTTCAAGTGATATTATTTACAGCTGTTTGGAAGATTAAACTGATAGCTCCTGAAACATTACTGAACAAACAAACTAAGGGATAATGAATATTTTTGGGGAATTTTTTTGTAGTGAAGACTGAGCAACCACATTTCTTAAAAATATCCCCCAAAGTATTCAGGATCCTAACAATTTTTGTTCAGTATATACTTGAATAAGCAATCAAAATATCTCAAAACTGACAAAATGTTACATAAAATGGAGGCCATTGGCAAAGTATGCTATAGTCCGAAGACCAATCCCACCTTTTCCCACCCCTATAATAAATGACCAGTCCCTTAAAACTTATTCATCAGTCATTTAAGGGTAATTTTTTTTTCTCTTTTGCCATGCCAGTCCTAAAAGTTAGACCCAATGTTGAAAGCTTTCTTCTCACATTCTCTGGGATCATATCTTCAGTGAAATAACGGTGATCCTTGTTTCCAGACTGACATGGTTATAGTCCTGTAATCCTGACAAATTTATTGAAATTCTTACAAAATCTGTAATCGGTAACACAATTATTGCAATTATTTGAAATACATTGGAGATAATGAGACATACCCCCGTATGAGGTAGCGCTTTGTTGTAGTCCACCAGATGCCTGTGCTGGTACTGCTGCTGCGGACTTCTTTTTCCTTTTTTTGGCCTCCATCTTGGGAAGACCTTGGACGTTGATCATCTTCCTGTAGGAGTCTTCTATGGTGGGATCATAGTTTTCTACAAACGTGTCTTGCACTAGACGCAAGGTGACAGACGACTTGCCCACCCCACCTGTTCCCAGGGTAGCTAGCTGCAATGTTAAAGTGGAATGACATTAAACAGGGGCGTAACTAATGGAAATTAAAATGTTCACTTCACAGACTGCTTTTTGAATCAGGAACACACAAAATAATTTAGACAACAGAGTGAAATCTGTGCCATCACTCGGAAGAACACATCACAAGAAGCCCCACTCATACTTTTATCTGCCAATCAGGACATTTATTCTGTTATCGGGTGTGGCCTATATTTGAAAACATATACCGGTATACCAGCAGAAACCATATACCAATATATGGTCTTTGACACCTGACACCAGAACACCAAAAACAATTCCTTGATTAACCAATCTTTTGTAAGTCCTGACTAAATCCTGAACCTGTTCAGGTTTCACTAAATATGATTTCATTTCTCTTCTGTGCATGAATAGCCTCTCTGTACCTTGTATTCAATGCCTTGACGTGGGATTGTCCTGAGTAACGCTTCAATGGCTTCAGTGACGTTTTCCCCTGTTTTGGCCGATGTCTCCTTGAAGGGCACGTTCTTCTTGGTGGCCAGATCGTTACCCTCCGCTGTGGAAACAACTCGCTGGGCATCCAGATCAGACTTGTTACCGCAAAGAACCTGTATAATATAAAAAAATAAATTGAAAACATACATACACCTCTTATTTGATAGCAGAGTCTGGTAAGGGACTGGTCATCTATTGTAGGGGGGGGTGGGCCAGGGAGTCAGGGAGGGCCACCAAAAATTAAGGGGAGGGTCATAAAAATTAATACACATATTTGCGGAGAGTGATGAAAATGGACAGTTTATAATTAAATATTGAGTGCTTTTGCGTTTTGTCTTTTCGGAGAGGGTCATGAAAATAATGTACAAGGACATGGGGAGGGTCGTCCAAAAATATGACAAGCATTTGGGAAGGGTAATTATTTTCAGTACATTGATCTGACTCCCTGTACTAAATGATCGGTTCCTAAGTGAAAGTGTTGATTTTGATGCCAGTTTTACCATTCCTCCAGCAATATCACAACGGGAGACATTAGAATCTGGCTTCACTCATAATAACCATGTGGGGAATTGAACCCTGTCAGTCTTTGGAGTGCCAAATGAACACTTATACCACAAGCTTAGGCCACCGCCCTTCAATGTGAAATGAACCATATTAATGTACACAAATCTCTTTCCTTGATGACTGTGTCATGGTACTGACCACTGCAAATATGATCACTGCTGGTGCCATGAAACACCGTCTTTTGTCTGGTTCAGGTGGGATTATTTTCTATTATGATATAACTGTAATATTGTTCCCAGTGAAACACATTTACTCATTTACTCGAAAATAAAATATTATACCCACAGCATGTATTTTTTCTCCCTGTTTACTTGTTTCCAGGAAAGTAAACATGGCCGTTGCTTCCTCGAAGGACTCCCTGTTCGTGATGTCGTACACAATGATGAAGCCCTGAGCTGACCGAGTGTACAGATCTCGCATTGCGGAGTACTCTTCCTGCCCGGCCGTGTCGAGGATGTCCAGCATACATTCCTGAAACAAAGATACTAACTGTAGTGACAGGATTTGTGTCTGCCATGTTGAACACAACATTGGCAGTCTCCGCAGGTTCCTTTTGGTTAAGATTATGTAAAGATAATGGCCAAAAGTTCGTTTTTCATGTATACCCGATTGTCCCGTGTAAAATATTTCTTTTCTTGTATTGTATTTATTTTCTTGTATCTTATTTCCTTTTTTGTATTGTATTTCCTATCTTGTATTGTATTTCCTATCTTGTATTGTATTTCCTATCTTGTATTGTATTTCCTATTTTGTATTGTATTCCTATCTTGTATTGTATTTCCTATCTTGTATTGTATTTCCTATCTTGTATTGTATTTCCTATCTTGTATTGTATTTCCTATTTTGTACTGTATTCCTATCTTGTATTGTATTTCCTATCTTGTTTTGTATTTCCTATCTTGTACTGTATTTCTTTCTTGCATTGTCTAGGATGTCTAGAATACATTCCTGAAGCAATCAGAATTGATTTATCTTTTGTGGCAGCCATATTGAAAATCAGATTTGTTAAATCATTTAAAGATCTCACAAGTTTCAGACAATGAATCTACATTGTTGTATTTGACCACTGCAATTTAAAAGATCAAATTCTAAATAAATGCAAACAAATAAAAAAAACATGCCGACATCAATACTATGTGTTCACAAGTATATCAGGTATAATTCTAGAGTAGCAAAGAAAAAGCAAACAGCTTAAATTCAGACTTCATAAACAAAACAGTTTTCCAAAAATGTCCAATAAGAGATTCTAGGGTATCTCCTCCAACACCCCATCAATTTTCCAGGGCCAAGGCAGCAGTTGCCATGACACCCAAAATGTACCATGAATGCCTAATCACTGTTAGGCCACACTTATCCTTGAACTTTGTTTACAAATCCATTGGCTCCAAAAAACATGAAATGTGAAAAAAAAGCAGTTGGGTTTATATTCCACCGACCAGAATGAAGTAAAATGTTAAAAAAACAAAAACTCATTTTCTGCCGCTATCAATATAAATATATTATTTATCATATTTAAACCAGTTGAAAAATTATCGTAAAAACTCTCACCCACATTTATCTTTTTTATATTTCATTTTTTATGCCTACCGGTACATAACATTTTGAGAAAAGAAAAAGTTGAAATTTGGATGTTTCTTCTTGAAACAATCAACCAAAGTCATTAGTATACCCGTCATAGTATTATTAAAGCAAATTTATTAATATAATTTCGTTTGGATTTTTAATTCAGGGACATGTTAATTAATACAAATTTTGTTATCAATTTGTGTATTTATCTCTCATCTGTCATGGCTGTCTCACCATCTCATCCTTATCGGTCTCCTCATCTGATGATGGGTCAGAGTAGACGACTTCTTCCTCGTCATCTCCAACATATACAAAATTGCTACCGAAATCCATCTGTAATCAATAAAAACATTTTAATATTGCTATTGCCAAATACTAATTACACACAAGTATATTGTTTCAAGGGCTTGACTTGTCTAATCCTCTTACAGCCACTGAATCCCCATCCATGCCTCAAACAATCTCATTAAAATCAGAATCTAAGTTCTCGCTTTAGCGATAGCGAGAACTTAGATTTGATTTTAATGAGATTGTGCCTCAAATGGCTGGCAAAACAAAGATTTTACAAACAAATAAATTGTATCATTGATATTCCAAGAAATGTCATGCCTGTTTGGTGACAAACAATATAAGAGATTAAAAGTGTTAAGGGGTGGTGGGATAGCCTAGCGGTAAAAGTACCCGGGTTTGCAAACCAACTACCCATCTTAGCCTCCTCTGCAAACTAACTACCCATCTTAGCCTCCTCTGCAAAACAACTACCCACCTTAGCCTCCTCTGCAAACCAACTACCCATCTAAGCCTCCTCTGCAAACCAACTACCCATCTTAGCCTCCTCTGAAAACCAACTACCCACCTAAGCCTCCTCCACCAACTACCGATCTTAGCCTCCTCTGCAAACCAACTACCCACCTAAGCCTCCTCCACCAACTACCCATCTTAGCCTCCTCTGCAAACCAACTACCCATCTTAGCCTCCTCTACAAACTTCCCATCTTAGCCTCCCCCACCAACTATCAATCGTAGCCTCCTCTACCAACTACGCATCTTATCCTCTTCTACCAACTACCCATCTTAGCCTACCCCACCAACTACCAATCTTAGCCTCCTCCAGCAACAAACCATCTTAGCCTCCTCCACCAACTATCCATCTTAGCCTCATCCACCAACTACCCATCTAAGCCTCATCCACCAACTACCCATCTTAGCCTCATCCACCAACTACCCATCTAAGCCTCATCCACCAACTACCCATCTTAGCCTCCCCCACCAACTACCCATCTTAGCCTCCTCCACCAACTACCAATCTTAGCTTCATCTACCAACTACCCACCTTAGCCTCATCCACCAACTACCCATCTTAGCCTCATCCACCAACTACCCATCTTAGCCTCATCCCCCAACTACCCATCTTAGCCTCCTCTGCAAACCAACTACCCATCTTATCCTTCTTTGCAAACCAACTACCCATCTTAGCCTCCTCTACAAACTTCCCATCTTAGCCTCCCCAACCAACTATCAACCGTAGCCTCCTCTACCAACTACACATCTTATCCTCTTCTACCAACTACCCATCTTAGCCTACCCCACCAACTACCAATCTTAGCCTCCTCCAGCTACTACCCATCTCATCCTCGTCTGCAAACCAACTACCCATCTTAGCCTCATCCACCAACTACCCATCTTAGCCTCCTCCACCAACTATCCATCTTAGCCTCATCCACCAACTACCCATCTTAGCCTCATCCACCAACTACCCATCTTAGCCTCATCCACCAACTACCCATCTTAGCCTCATCCACCGACTACCCATCTTAGCCTCCCTAAAAACATCCCATCTTAGCCTCCTCCACCAACTACCCATCTTAGCCTCCTCTGCAAACCAACTACCCATCTTATCCTACTTTGCAAACCAACTACCCATCTTAGCCTCCCTAAAAACATCCCATCTTAGCCTCATCCACCAACTACCCATCTTAGCCTCATCCACCGACTACCCATCTTAGCCTCCCTAAAAACATCCCATCTTAGCCTCCTCCACCAACTACCCATCTTAGCCTCCTCTGCAAACCAACTACCCATCTTAGCCTCCTCTACAAACTTCCAATCTTAGCCTCCCCCATCAACTATCAATCGTAGCCTCCTCTACCAACTACTCATCTTATCTTCTTCTACCAACTACCCATCTTAGCCTCCCCAACCAACTACCAATCTTAGCCTCCTCCAGCAACTACCCATCTTATCCTCGTCTGCAAACCAACTACCCATCTTAGCCTCCCCCACCAACTACCCATCTTAGCTTCCTCCACCAAATACCCATCTTAGCCTCCTCCACCAACTACCCATCTTAGCCTCCCCCACCAACTACCAATCTTAGCCTCCTCCACCAACTACCCATCTTAGCCTACCACACCAACTTCCAATCTTAGCCTCCCCCACCAACTACCCATCTTAGCCTCATCCACCAACTTCCGACCTTAGCCACCTCCACCAACTACCCATCTTAGCCTCCCCCACCAACTACCCATCTTAGCCCCCCCACCAACTACCCATTTTAGCCTCATCCACCAACTATCCATCTTAAGCTCATCCACCAACTACTCATCTTAGCCTCTTCCACCAACTGCCCATCTTAGCCTCCTCAACCAACTATCCATCTTAGCCTCCTCCACCAACTACCCATATTTGCCTCATCCACCAACTACCCATATTTGCCTCATCCACCAACTACCCATATTTGCCTCCTCCACAATCTACCCATCTTAGCCTCCCCCACCATCTACCCATCTTAGCCTCATCCACCAACTACCCATATTTGCCTCCTCCACCAACAACCCATCTTAGCCTACTCTACCAATCACCCATCTTAGCCTCCTGCACCAACTTCCCATCTTAGCCTCCTCTACCAACTACTCATCTTAGCTTCCTTCACCAACTACACATCTTAGCCTCCTCTACCAATGACCGATCTTAGCCTCCTCCACCAACTTCCCATCTTAGCCTCCTCAACCATCTACCCATCTTAGCCTCATGCACCAACTTCCCATCTTAGCCTCCTCTACCAACTACCTATCTTAGCCTCCCCCACCAACTACCCATCTTAGCCCCCCCACCAACTACCCATCTTAGCCTCATCCACCAACTACCCATCTTAGCCTCCTCCACCAACTTCCCATCTTAGCCTCCCCCACCAACTACCCATCTTAGCCTCCTCCACCAACTTCCCATCTTAGCCTCCTCCACCAACTTCCCATCTTAGCCCCCCCACCAACTACCCATCTTAGCCTCATCCACCAACTACCCATCTTAGCCTCCTCCACCAACTTCCCATCTTAGCCTCATCCACCAACTACCCATCTTAGCCTCCCCCACCAACTACCCATCTTAGCCTCCTCCACCAACTTCCCATCTTAGCCTCATCCACCAACTACCCATCATAGCCTCCTCCACCAACTACCCATCTTAGCCTCCTCCACCAACTACCCATCTTAGCCTCATCCACCAACTACCCATCTTAGCCTCCTCCACCAACTTCCCATCTTAGCCTCCTCCACCAACTACCCATCTTAGCCTCCTCCACCAACTTCCCATCTTAGCCTCCTCCACCAACTTCCCATCTTAGCCTCCTCCACCAACTTCCCATCTTAGCCTCCCCCACCAACTACCCATCTTAGTCTCCTGCACCAACTACCCACCTTAGCCTCCTCAACCATCTACCCATCTTAGCCTGCACCCTACCTCACCCTACCCAAACTCCATATACACCCCAATCTATTCTCCCATATTGTCATCTTTTACCAGGGTGACCAGTAAGCATAAAGATTTCACTTTACAAATCTGTACATAAGTATGGACAACACCCATGTCGGGAATGTCTGTCCATTCATGCGTACAGTAGTTATGGCATTAGTTAAGGCATGCGGTAGGCCTAGGGCAGTACGACATAATAGTGGGTTCGTCAATACTCCCATAACATGGCAAATCAACAATATAACGTTGCTTATTCCTGATAATAAATTCATGAATGCGTAATGTATAGCGCGATGGGTAATAGTATCTAGTACAATCTACCGTCAATAGATAATCAGTGATTTCACAACAACCCGGCAGTGTTTCGCGTGGGTCGAGAGCGATCGAAGCTCAACACAGGCCAGATCGACGTCTCACCTTACGTCGTTATAGGAACGCGCACTTGAGTCTAAAGACATGCGGTTGTCTTCCAACAGTATATGTTACTGAATTAAGCATAAATTCGCATTGCCCCAGTTCACATCATACTTAGCGATCTATACAAGTGCCCGTCGTAGACACATATATATCCGCTTTTTGTTCCTAAGCACAGGACCATGTAACTAATGATAAACAAACTCGCAGACGAGGCCGAAGTTCGGCCTCAACACATGTACATAATATTGTGTGTCAGTCACTGTGAAGCGATGACAGTTGATTATTTGAACGATGCACACTTGCAGAGCCAACATACCTTATTACTGTGAATGTCTTCCTTCCAACTCAGGTGTGTTTCTCGTTTGACAGATCGGCAAAATCCTCTTTCTGTCGAGTTGTTCGTCGCGTTTATATATTGAACGTCATCTGTTATATTTAGCCTAGCAATTTGATTGGCTAGACTGAATCAGTTGCTATAAATAGATTCAATAACACTTCCACGTGGTCAGCTAACGCGGATCCGGTTGAAATTGTGCAAGCGTGTGTAGTAGAACTACTACGAACCGAAAGCAACTATCCTGAAACAGATGTAGTACACATTTTGAAACCGTACAAAGAATTAATTATTGTACAACAATATTAAGCCATTAAAATGTATTGTGGATGTGAATAGCCGTTTTCTCAAAATCATTCTGAGACAACGGTGCATTTTACAGATTTTCAACGGGTTGCAAATATGGCGGGGTCGGGGACAACTGAAAGTGGGATTCGTGTGAGGGTCGGGGCAATCTCATTTAAATCAGATCTTAGTTATCGCTTTGTTTAACGGTAGCGAGAACTAAGATCTGATTTTACTGAGATTGGGGTTACATTTGAGGGTTGGGAATACTGTTTGGGGGTAACGGCGGCGGGTATGTTTGTACTGGGTGATGGGTGACATTGCCAGCTGCCGTAGATTGTTCGTCATCCAGAGTTTCTAGAACTGGCTCACACCGGTGTCAAACATTTCGCAGTTAGAACTTAGGGACTGGTAATTTATTTTAGGGAGGGGGACGATGAAATTAGCGGGTGGAGGGGTGTTAATAAAATGGAGGTTCAGCAAAATGTTATACAGTCCAAAGACCAATCTCACCGCTTAACTCACCCCTATAATACATGACCAGTCCCTGACGTGACAGACACCAATTTAAATAACACGCCACTGGCATAGATCTCAAAGAGTTTACACAAAACGGAATTATCATGAATCAGGATAAACACATGCCGAACAACGGGGCTTGTTCACATGCTTGCTACTGTTGCCATTCAGTCAATTCTTTTGTGTGGATACAAGCTAAACATTTCCTCGTGTGCTACCGACAAAATATTACAGACTGTCACAACTGCGCAATGTTTACTGCGTGGGTATATTTCACGGGAGGCTCAAGGGGAATCCCCTAACTTGTGTTTTGAACAGTGAACATGCCAAGCAATGAGACGAACTGACGCCACGCTGTTAGTGATTGACTAAGTGAGTGAGTACGGTTTTACGCCGCTTTAAGCAATATTCCAGCATTATCACCACGAGGGACAGAAATGTGCTTCACACATTGTGCCAATAGGAGGACTCAAACACGGGTCTTCGGTGAATTGAACGAACACTTTAACCACTAGGCTACCCAGTGTGATAGGACCACTTGAGAATTAAATGTCCCCTCTGTTACCAAAAACTGAAGAATTCTCATGAAACACGATTTGAAATGATATTGAAAGCAATTATCTCCTTTTGTGTCCAGCAGGAGATCAAATTTGTTTTACTGTTTTATATCTTAGTGTCTGTCTTCGTAACTCAGAAGATATTAAACAATCGAAGTAGCCGTACTGTTAAATTCCACCAAATAAAAATAGGTATTTTTATACCGTTAGAAATAACCGAGTTAATGAGGAGATAAACATACTGTGTTTTCAGTGTAGAGCTAGGTTACCTGTAGATTTAACCGCGCGAAATTGAATTTGTAACTGAACGTGCAGCTTGAGGTTTCGAATATGAGCATTTCTGATTAAATGCAGTGTTTATATACTTACCTGACGCTACACACTGCCGTAGGTGTAGCGTCAGGTAAGTATAAAAAAATAGCATTTCTGATTAAATGAAATGTTTTTATACTTACCTGACGCTACATCGATAGCCCTGTGTAGCGTCAGCTAATTTTAGCGCGGTTAAATCTACAGGTAAGCTAGGTCTACATTAAAAACACAGTATGTTTATCTCCATTCTACCCTGACGGATGCCACCTTCACATACACGGATTTTTCTTACGAGTCCTTCGCACAAATTCACGTATCCTTACGATTTGGTCACTTTTACGACCGATTTAAGAGTTGTTACGAGTAATTACGAGCTATTTACGGTTTATTACGGATTATTACGAGTTATCACGATGTATTTACGGCAAACTTCCACGATATGTTACGGTTAACTACGAGCAACTTACGGGCATTTTACGAGCTTTTTACGGATTGTTACGAGTATTACGGAATGTTACTATTCATCGAAGCTTTTACGTGTTAGTTACGACCTATTTACGTCTTGTTACGAATAGTTACGAGTTAGTTACGAGTATTTGCGAGTCCTTTTTGAAGAGCAGGAGACTTCTTGTTGACTGTCTTCTTCTTTGGAGCCATGCTTGTAGATATTGTAGAGCAGATATGCAGAGATGGGACTTCTATGACTTCTTAATATCAACTGAAAATGAAGTGTTCGATTTTGCAGCTTTTATACCTTTCCCCAAATCGTAAACAACACGTAAGCATTTGTAATAATCCGTAAACAAAGCGTAAAATGTTACGAGTCATTTACGGATTCTTGCGAGCAGTTTGCGGATGGTTTACGACTCTTACGGATTGTTACGAGTCATTTACGGATTCTATCGAGCAGTTTACGGATGGTTACGTGTTGTTGCGAGCGGTTTACGATTCTTACGGATTGTTATGGGTCATTTACGAAAAAATGAATCCGTGGACAATCGTAAGATGATTTTTGACATGTCAAAAAATGTGCCTCTCTCTTCAGAGTGTCTGCGAGTTGTTGCGAGTTGTGACGAGTTTCTTTACGGATGCTTGCGATTGACTACGAGTTGGCGATCAGTAAGAACTCGTAAGAAAAATCCGTGTATGTGAAGGGGACATTAATAAAACGGGAACTCTTGGTGTCAGCAAATATATGGAGTGAAGCGGCATTGGTTGAGTCCAGTGTTTTGAGTAGGTTTATCGATGTGAATTACGGAATCACTGACAACAGCCTTTAAACAAAATATGGCTGCGCTCCTCGTGGTTTATTCTCCCGGCAGTGTTTTATTGTACGATAAACAACTGCCACTCGTTTTTTTCTCAAATAAAACACGCTTCGTTTCATCACGGCACGCTTGGATTTATTGCGTAGCTATCTTATACTGGCAGAAAAACCATGCCAGGTGTACACTCCTCATGTGAGTAGTTAGTTCCTTTAGAGATTACTTACATCCTTTCAAATCAACAACGTAAATAAAGTGACATCGGACACTCCCAACTTGATCGTTGGCCTCTTACTATAAGCAAACTTGCTCAATTTCAATTCCAAAAGGCACTTGGTCTGCCTGAACGACATGGAGCAGTCCCAACTCTTCTAACATTAGGGGCGGTCGGGTAGCCTAGTGGTTAAAGCGTTCGCTCGTCACGCTGAAGACCCGGGTTCGATTTCCGACATGGGTACAATGTGTGAAGCCCATTTCTGGGGCCCCCCCTGCCGTGATATTGCTGGAATATTGCTAAAAGCGGCGTAAAACCATACTCACTCACTCTCTTCTCACATTATGTAAACAGTGTTCTGTGCTAGCCGCCCTATATCTTTACACACATATGTAAGCGAGGTTATCACATGACGAAATGTCTAACAGCAGGGGAATTTGTCAGGAGGTCCACTGAGTGTGTAGAGTGAGTGAGTGAAATCCACCCCAGTGGTCTTGTTCTTGGTCTGGGTGATAGAATATTGTTTTAGCTTCAGTCGGCTCGAAAACAACTACATCACAGCAGCCTGTTCATAACTAATGGTGATGATTTTTGTTTGTTTGTTGTTTAACGACGCACACAGCAATATTCCAGCTATGTGACGGCGGTCTGTAAATAATCGAATCTGGACCAGACAAACCAGTGATTGACATCATGAGCATCGACCCACGCAATTGGGATAAGATGACATGCAAGCCTGACCACCAAGCATGGACGCCTTTACGGCAAGCATGGGTTGCTGAAGACCTATTCTAGCCCGGATCTTCACGGGTCTAATGGTGAGGAGCATATGGTGGATGGATGACTGGATCAGCCAGGTCACACAGTGAAACTTCCTGGTTCAAGTTAGGTTGGCTCGACAGGTTCTTTATGTGTGAGTGAGTTGAGTTGTATGACCCTTGAAGCACTATTTCAGGCCCCTATTTCAGTTTTAGATTTATACTGGTGAAACCAAAGAGCAACCGTATGTTGCTGACAGACATTCATCAAAACTTCCACTCAGCAATACATCTATACGGAAGCGACCTGTAAATAATCAGATCAGGTATCGTATCAGAGTAAAAGATCTGATCTTAATGATTGGTTCTTAGTATAACTCTAGCCATATCCAGTTGGGCAACGCCATGAAATGGGTTTCACACATACTTCACGTATTTAGGGCTACGCGTCATTACGCTCAAGGGGCTGAAACAGAATTAATTCCGTATTTTAACAGGCCCACGTACTTAAATTCGGGTATCTATTTGGGAGTATCTTCCTGAAATTAATAAAGTTAATATGTGGCGATGCACTACACGAGGAATATCGTAATGTGCATTCGACTGTAAGTTAAAGCTCAAGGTTTGCATTCTATCAAACTATTTCCGGTTCAAAGTTAAAATTCATGTTTTATATTTTCTCAGTTAAAACAACGTAACAGTTTGTGATTTTTTTCAGCAAAGGGCGTTCCCTATTTAGGTAAGAAAGCGTTAGCACTTCCGAAATTGAGCCATGGGCTTAATTTCGGATAACATATCTTAAATGAGAAAGTGCTATTTTCCGTAATTAGGCTGGAGGGCTTAAATCCAGGAAGTCCCGGTAGTACCAGGCCTAGCAAAAGAACGCCATGACCACTGTGCTACCTCCCTGCACAGAGGGAAGACAATGACAAAACAAATAAAACATCAAACTCTAAATAAAATGGATCCCTTTTTATTGTGTTGCTATTATATTATGAAAGATCTGCGGTACAATGACACTGGCATACAACTATACATCCATGGTGAGCTTACCCATTGATGTTTGTTTGTTGTTTAACGCCACACTCAGCAATATTACAACTATATGGCGGCGGTCTGTAAATAATCGAGTCTGGACCAGACAATCCAGTAATTGACATGGTATGACAATTGGGATACCATGACATCCATCAACCAAGTCAGCGAGTCTGACACCCTTAGTGCCTCTTACAAGCATGCATTGCTGAAGACCAATTCTAACCCCAAAAGCTTACCCATTGAACCATATGAGGACAACATATATTTTTATAATGTTTCCCCTATGAAGTCAAAACTCATCTCAGTGCTTACATAATACTCAATTTTGATAACGATACCGACATATTACCCATAAGGGTAGAATGATAGTGCCTAGTAAGTTTCGATTCTTAATGCTTATCAGTCAATTGAAGCCGACCACCTCCGTGGCCTAGTGGTAGAGCTCCGCACGGAGTAGGGAAGGTCTGGGTTTTGATCCCCGGCCTCATCATATACCCCAAAAAGTTAAAAGATGTTACTTTTTGTTACCCTGCCTGGCACTCGGCATTTAGGGGCTAAATTAAGGACTGGTCGGCTCAGTGTTAGTAGATTGAGTCAGAGTAGGGTATTCATGTTAAACTGTGGCATGGTATCTCAGTGGACTAGCACTATGAAACAGCACTAGTCCATACTAGTACAAGCAGCCTCGTGTGGCTATATAAGTGCAGTAAAACCCCTCAGGACGTTAAACCCCATTTCACCTCACCTCATCTCAATTGAATTAATTTTTGTTGAGCAAAAACTGATGTGAAGTCATCCATTGTTTATGATGTCACAAATTGATTACATTACGTCATCTGAACAATAATCTGCCTTCAGCGAAGTTCCTTTGTAGGGTTGCCATTTCCTACTTTTTTTTCTCCCTTATAATATCAATGAGTAATACCGTATTCGACGTAATAAGCGTCCCGCTCCAATAAGCGCCCAGGGCGATATTTGTTTATATATTGGCAAGTGAACAATCCCAATTAGCACCCCTTCCAACTGATCAATGTACACAAGACTTATTTATTCGCGTATAATACACACTCGTGTGTTAAATGCACCCTTAATTATGGGCAATTTAATTCTGGAAAAATATATCTGTCGTACATAAACATTTCAGGTTGTCAGCTTAAACCACAAAATTTATCTTTCAACTCTGTTTTTTACACCAAAATAATATTCGAATAAGAGCCCCCTATTCCTAATTTTGCGAGCGCCCTGGGCGCTTTTTACGTCGAATACGGTATGTAGAATAACCTACTCGAAACTTAGAATTACAGATTATCTGTCCCTTGTGAATGAATCCTAGAGGTGACTTGTCAGAAGGCTTGAGATTAACACCACACTGGAAAAGACAATCCCTAATAGCTCATTGGTCATTTTCGAAATATTTTATACTAGTTAAATGTGTGGTCCTTAGCAAATGTTGAGTAGTATATATATATATTAGGGCTGTTATGATTCACTCGCGTATTCAGTGAATCAAACCGTATCAATTCATGAATTGAATTCGTTATTCGTCGTCACTCGAATCGAATATTTACGAATATGCATTCATGTGCATCTACATACCCTGTACCTAAAAATATCCATGAGAACATATTATATGCAGAGATTTCTTTAAAGACAACACTCATATATATAATTTGACAGTATTGTGGTCCCCGGTCATTGTCGTATTTGAGCAGATACTGGTACCTGGATAAATGAAGTGTATAAATGTATAATATATTAATAATTATCCAACCATGTCAAATAATTTATGTTGTTATTTTTCACTGAATGTAATAGATTAAAGATCAACTGCTGACTTGTTATTGTATTCATGAATAAATATTCGTATTTGTTACCACATATTCATGATATGAATCATATTCGCCTCATAGTGCATTCATTGCAGCCCTAATATATATATATATATATATATTAAGCAACAGGTTTGGTGTATCATGGTCTATCACAGTTGATAGTAATACAGGTCAGTTTAAGTTGTATTGTCAATTGGTTAGGTTTTGTCAGTCACTCCATTCACAGAGCTTCCTCCCACAAATGGCTGAGAAATCCAATTAGCAATGTCATCATGATATGTGAATGCTGTTTAAGCCAGCTGTCGGAAATATCCAAACTTTATCCTGGTGGCCTGTGGTTGTTGTTTGTTGTTTATGTCTCACTCAGCAATATTCCAGCTATATGACAGAGGTCTGTAAATAATCATGTCTGGACCAGATAATCCATTGATTTGTATTATGAGCATCGATCTACACAATTGGGATACGATGACATGCATCAACCAAGTCAGCGATCCTGACCACCTGATCCCGTTAGTCGCCTTTTACAACAAGAATGCTGAAGACCTATTCTCCCCCAGATCAGGAAAAGGACCTGACCTCATCCAGAATCCCCATACAACATTCATATTTTTTGCACAATGTCATATTATTATTAGTGATGGAGAGGGTTTGATTATGGGAGCAATTTACATATTTACATAACATACCATGTGAAAAAAGCTGGAATATATCCATTAAATGTGAATAACCAGTGTACATTCTTAGAGGTTATAATGACAAGCAATTACATGGGAAACCAGTGTTTGCATATAGATAAGTCTGTTCCCTACTTGGCAATTAGTAATTGTCAGTTTGAGCTTCCAGTGTAATTCCTTTAAAACAACATGTCTTATTCTACAAACAACATAGGGTTAAGATGTTTCCAGACAGTGGCCAGGTGAGCTAAGTATTAGATTTGGTTCCTCTTTAGCCTTATTTCTATTTCCATTTTCATCTTGGGATTCCACGATCCCCGACAACGATACACGTTTTACAATTTTAACACATTCAACATGATTTCTCCCTGGAGACGAGGGTAAGAGCTTATGTCCTGAGTTGGAACCACTTTCCTCCACACTGTCACTTTGTGCATCAATCTCCAACATCTGTACCGCATCTGTCACACTGTCTACATCGTTGACACAATAAGCTTCTGTGTCCTTTCTTTGACCAGGCAGATCCTGATCAGGAACACCATCATCAGGAACATCATCATGTTTGTTTTCCTGGAACGCATCAACATTTTCACCTTGCTCAATCTTTTGAGGTTCTTTTTCGGGATGCTCCTTGTCCTCTTCCCCTTCCAATGGGACATACTTGTCCAGCAGGGGGAGAACTGTCCGTGCAAGCTGGGAACCCTCGGCTGAGATGTGAAACAGCCGTTCCAGAGTTTTACAGAAGCAGGACGTCACAGCTTCTGTTTTGTGGAAATGCCGTAAAAGGTCTCCCACAACCTGACCAAGTGGCACTAAGTCCAGACTGGCTGACTGAAACAGAACATGAATGGTCTTAAACAAAGTCTTCTAACTTCTAACTTTAACATGTTAACTAAACAAATTAACTAAAAGCTACTTTGAGATGAGGTGAAAGGGGGTTTAACGCAGCGTCCAAGATTATTGCACTTATATTGCGACGTGCATGCACACCAATGCCAATTTTATAGTGATAGCTCACTGAGATATCATGCCGCAGTTAGCATGAATACCCCATTCAGACACAGTATACTGACTCTGAGCCAACCAGTCCTTGTTTTAGCCCCATAATGCCGAGCACCAGGCAGGGGAACAACAAGTACCATCTTTTTAACATCTTTTGCTATGATGTGGCCGGGGATCGAACCCGGGCCTTCCACTCTCTGGGCAGACACTCTACCACGGAGGAAACCAAATTTGAACAGTAGTGATATTAATCTAGGTTGACTAACTATGTGTCCTTGGCATGCACGTTGGGGGCACAGGTGGCCCAGTCGTCTAAGGCACCGCGATTCGCTGTGCAGAGTTGCGTCCCTTGGGCACGCTAGAAACCTATGATTGTGGGTTCCAATCCCTGTTCACCCCGATTATGTTTCTAGGTTTGTCAGCACCATACTCGTGCTCGTGGGTTTCACCGAAGTGGTAAACATCTTAGACCTGCTTCACTTCGGGCTTTCCTCCCACATTAAGCTGCCACACCGTGATATAACTGGAATACTGTTAAAAGCGGTGTTAAACCCAACTCACTCACTCACTGGCATGCAAATTTATTCAAAATTGGGATTTTCTTTTTATTCTTAAATTCAAAATTCAGGCATTTAAATTTGTTGACACATGCATGATGTTAAAGCATATAAAGTCAATGCAGATTTGGATCGGGGAACTATTAGGAAATACAGAACAAACCGTAGCTCTGCGCAGTGACAAGTCAATATCAAAATCGTTTACAGTAAGCAGCACAGGGGGTTACCTCCCAGTTTATATTTTCACAATGACATATTTTTGCCCTGGTCCTTTTAAAACTGTAAACCATAAAAATTGAAACATGTCCACGAATACAAAACATTAATTTAGTCTTTTAGTATTTGTTGAATAATGCCAGAGTCAGCAACTATTAAAGTTACAGTCTAGGCCAGGCACACCTGTATGATGCTGACAACCAACACAATCAGAGCGAACTGTGATTTGAACCCATTATCATAGGTTCCTTGTCTGCCTAAGGGATACAACTCTTCACAGCAAATTGTGGCATGACGTCTTTGGCCCCCTCACCCCCTCCCCTATATGTATAAACATTGAGCACCTGTGAGATCTTGATAACCCTATGACAGGCATCCCTGAACGTCGAGGGCTCGGTGATCTTCTCCTCCAGCAGACTAATGACGAACTGCGTGTAGCTGGACCTGGCCTGCTGAAGTCAATTAAAACACAATGTGTTATGTTTCACACAAAATTTAAGCCATCAAGGTTGAGGCTTTCTACACGCTGAAGGCAATGACCACACTTGTTAAGGCCAAAGTGTGCCTTTAAATAGATTTACTAGGACATTGATACTTCCCACTGTCAGAATGACTCCAACTGTACATTATCTGATAGCAAAGTTATTAAATTGTGGCTGCAAGTTCAAGACTTTTTATCTAATGTTAGGCCTTTATCAGACCAGATTGACAAGTGTGAGGCCTTTTCTAGACCATATTGTCAAACATGAGGCCTTTTCAAGACCATATTGTCAAACAAGGCAAAGATTGCCAAGTATTAGGTCTTTTCTAGACCAGATTGTCAAACAAGGCCTTTTCTTGACCATATCATCAAACAAGGCCTTTCATAGGATTGGTTGGTTGGTTTGTTGTTGTTGAATGCCGCACTCAGCAATATTCCAGCTATATGAGTCTATAGAGTCTGTAAATAATTGAGTCTGGACCAGAAAATCCAGTGATTAATATCATGAGCATTGATCCTCGTAAAAACGTATGACTGTCAAATTGTCACGTTCATACACTTATGAATGTCAATTTCGCTGTCATGTGACTGACCTCTCGTCCGATGGAAACACTGTATATGATATTAAAAAATTATAGGAATACGCTGCACATATCCCCTCAGAAATGTTACCAGCCACGGGAAAGCAGACAGGCTGCTATTTCTGTCAGCAATTGAAACTTAACATTCATTCTGCATCTTCAATTATCAAGTTATGAAAATAAAGAACATAGATATGTGACCTTACATAATATGTGCCAACATCAAGTTTTCAAAATGAAGATTTTAAATTGCCATTTGAGAACTACATGTATGTACCTGCGACTTGTGACTCTTGGACAAGCCATGGATGACTCTGGCACAACACAAACCATCAAACTCTGTCTCCTTGCCCAGCTGCTGCCTCCACACACTGATGCACCGTGCACAGATCTCTGTAGACACAGCACCAGGCCGCTCCAGCACTGAAGAAGGGGGAATAACTCTCAACACACATTATATAGGTCACAGACACTTTCGACCCGTGAAGATTCCAGGGTAGAATAGGTCTTCAGCAACCCATGCTTGCCGTAAAAGGCGACTATGCTTGTCGTAAAAGGCGACTAACGGGATCAGGTGGTCAGGCTCGCTTACTTGGTTGATGCACGGTCATCAATCCCAATTGCATGGGTTGATGCACATGATATCAATCACTGGATTGTCTGGTCCAGGCTCGATTATTTACAGCCCGCCTTCAAATAGCTGGAATATTGCTGAGTGCGGCGTTAAACAACAAACAAACAAACCAACCACAGACACTCTCACTCTGACCTGTTGTGACGGATTGATTATTGCTATTTGTTTGTTTATTGTTTAACGTCCCACTCAGCAATATTCCCACCATATGACAGTGGTCTGTAAATAATCAAGTCTGGACCAGACAATCATCGGATTGACATCATGAGCATCGACCTACACAATTGGGATACGATAACATGTATCAACCAAGTCAGCGAGCCTGACCACCCGATCCTGTTTAGTTGGTCGCCTCTTACGACAAGAATAGTTGGCTCTTATGAAAAGCATTGGTTGTTGAAGACCTATTCTCTCCCAAATCTTCACTGGCTCTAGCGGCTATTCAGTGACCTGCTGTTGTGATGACTGCATAAGGTGAGGTGAAATGGGATTTAACGTTGCGTCCATATTATTGCACTTATATAGCGACATGCATGCATGTGTGTGTTTGGCTGCTTGTACTAGTCTGGACGGAGGCCGATTTATAGTGCTAGCCCACTGAGATACCATGCCACAGTTTAACATGAATACCCCCATCAGACAGTATACTGTTCCGAGCCGACCAGTCCTTGTTTTAGCCCCTTAATGCTGAGTGCCAGACTGGGTAACAAAAGTAACATCTTCTAACGTCTTTTGGTATGACGCGGCTGGTGATTGAACCCCGGACCTTGTGTTCTCAGAGCTGATGCTCTACCACTAGACCATGGAGGTGGTCAATGACTGCATAAGTTACAAGTCAGTTCATGTGACATATGCAAAGAGTGACATTGTTTGACTGTAAGACAGGTACCTGGTGGAAGAACTGCTGGGCCAGTGAAGATCTAACTGTGTCTATTAAGTATTTTAATAGTTTTATAAACAAGCACATGTATATATATATCATTTTGTACAAATCAAGTGTTTTTCCAGAGTGAAAAACATTTAAACGGTAGGAGTTGCCTCCCCTAGGACAGGATTGTCCGGTTTTTAGTTTAGCATACTTCCATATCGGGTGGCTGGCAAGCATACAGTGAGCAAAATTTAATAATCAAGCTATTTTTGTCATTTTCAAGGATTTTTCAAGGTCGACATTAACAATCACGACTTTTCAAGGGGGACCTTAAAATTCAAGGCCTTTTCAAGCCTGTATGAATCCTGTATAGCCCTTGCCAAATTGCCTAATAGTTACCGTACCATAAAAACGAGTAGAAATTTGCCATTTTGAAGAGTTTTGCTACATGTTATCATTAAAGGTGAGGTGAAATGGGGTTTAACGTCGCATCCAAGATTATTGCACTTATATAGCAACGCGTGTGTGTGGCTGATTGTACTAGTCCGGACTGATGCTGATTTAAAGTGCTAGCTCACTGAGATACCATTTTTAAACGTATTTTGCTATTACGCGGCCGGGGATCGAAACCCGGGCCTTCCGCTCTCCCAGCGGTCGCTCTACCACTAGACCACGGAAAAAAAATGTTAGTTTCTATCACTGTAAATGCTGATACTCTTTAAATGTGCAGGATGATTCAAGAAAATATTGCATAATTAATATCTAATATCAACAATTTCATTGAAGTGTATCTGATACCAAAGTTATGAGCACTGGTTTACACATTTATATCCCGACTTACCAGCTGTGATAGCTAGGTTGAAAATCAGCTGAGCCAAAGATTTGACTACAAGTGGCACAAGATCCTGCAACAAATATAGAACAAGTTGAAGAACCAGAGCAGAACTTCATGTATGCCATGGCTCTCTGCATCAAAGACGTTTACATCAATAGGTGAGGTGAAGTGAAATTGGGTTTAACCTCGCGTCCAAGATTATTGCACTTATATAGCGACGTGCATGCACGTGTGTGTGTGTGTGTGTGTGTGTGTGTGTGTGTGGCTGCTTGTTCTAGTCCGGACTGATGCCGATTTATAGTGCTAGCTCACTGAGATACCATGCCGCAGTTTAACATGAATACCCCACTCAGACACAGTATACTGACTCCGAGCCGACCAGTCCTTGTTTTAGACCCTTAATGCCGAGCGCCAGACAGGGTAACAACAAGTACCATCTTTTAACGTCTTTTGGTAGATCGAACCCCGGACCTTCCGCTCTCCGGGCGAACGCTCTACCGCTAGACCACGGAGGCGTCTTTACATCAATAAAAATTTGTACTAGTGTGTATACTATCATGACGTTCACACAACACAAGGTGGGATGAATGTACAAAGATAACAACATTATGACAAAGCCAATGACATAGGATTAATGTACAAAGATAGAACATAATGACACTTACTAAGCATTCACCTGACGAAGGAGCAAGAAGTAGCTCTGAAACGTCGTACAAAGAACAATAGAAGTTGCTATCCATAAAAAAGTGCATGCATTTATGTTCTCCCAACTTCTTAACGCCTTACAAAGACTGCTTTAACAAGTGTTTTTGAAGGTCTTTCTCTAATTCATGCTCGCTCCATCTTCGTTCCAACCACATCCTATATTGCCTCAGTGAGTCCTACCTGTCTCTCCACCAGGGCTGTGTTGGCCTCAGACAGCAGGTCCAGACACCCAGCTAGGTCCAACTGGGAGCTCGGGTACAGCAGTAGACATCTTATCACGTCCTGGAACAGTTGGTCAGCCTCAGTGAACGAGTCAGTGAATGATGGTGTACATCAGTGAGCCGCAGTGAACGAGTCAGTGAATGATGGTGTACATCAGTGAGCCGCAGTGAGCATATTGGAGTTTATGTATTACAACTACTACACTGCTGCCTGTTGCTAATCAAAAGTTAAGTTGCATCTCCAGACAAGCATGTGGTACCTAAGGCTAAAAAAAATAAAATAATTGGTTCTCAGGCATTTTTGTTGTTGTTGTTCAAACTAGTATGTAACCAAATAAACAGATGTGTAACCAAATAAACAGTTTTGGGAAAGGGTCTCCCTACATAAATGTTGTCCTTGATGAGTAAAATACTGGAATACAGTATTTGACTACCATCTGACTTGGAATATTTAAGGATTTAAAAAAAAGAAATTTAAAAAAAGAAATAAAAATGAAACGTGCGACAAACTTTATGATGATGCGAGCTGTGCCTGAGAGCGAAGACTATTTTTTTTTTAGCCTAATGCATTTGGTTTTAAATGAAATTTAGCAGTGTTTAATCAATGATGAACCACCTCAAAATTGATAAAAGTGTATGGTGACAGAATTATTTTAAACTGTTACTACTGTGTCATAGATTTTTTACTTTAGTACTGCAAGTATTGATTGTATAATGAAGCTTGCTCAAAATCACCAATGAGTTCAATCATGGATTTATGAAGCGAGCATCCATATTTGAACTATGACCTCTTATCGGAGTGACAGTTGTTTTAACACATACACTGCCGTATTCTGAAGGCCTGCGAAAAACTATTGTCGTGGCATGCAATTTCAGAGTAAAGTACTGCTATATAAAGAACTTTCTTGATGTCCTGTGTTTAACTGACAGAAAAGCGTCCTTTACCTTGATGTCACAGATGATGTCAGACAGACCACGAGTGTTCTCCTTGTGTCTGCTAATGTCCGGCTTCTCTGTGGCTGGGGCAGTCTGGGAATTTTGGTTGCCAAGCAACAGATGGGTACAGAGGAAACGACTGCTGGATCCTGTAAGTTCAGTTTGGATCACACCTGGAATTGACAAAATGTACAAACTGTACCGAAATATTTTCACAACATTTCTGCTGAAGCAATGTGATACGACTCACAGACTACTTTCGCTGACACCCACTTAGTGTGATATTAGTGCTGATCCAATGTGTGATATGACTTACTGAATACTTTCACTGACACCCACCTAGTGTGATATAAGTGCTGATCCAATGTGTGATACGACTAACTGAATACTTTCACTGACACCCACCTAGTGTGATATTAGTGCTGATCCAATGTGTGATACGACTAACTGAATACTTTCACTGACACCCACCTAGTGTGATATTAGTGCTAATCCAATGTGTGATACGACTAACTGAATACTTTCACTGACACCCACATAGTGTGATATTAGTGCTGATCCAATGTGTGATACGACTAACTGAATACTTTCACTGACACCCACCTAGTGTGATATTAGTGCTAATCCAATGTGTGATACGACTAACTGAATACTTTCACTGACACCCACCTAGTGTGATATTAGTGCTGATCCAATGTGTGATACGACTAACTGAATACTTTCACTGACACCCACCTAGTGTGATATTAGTGCTGATCCAATGTGTGATACGACTAACTGAATACTTTCACTGACACCCACATAGTGTGATATTAGTGCTAATCCAATGTGTGATACGACTAACTGAAAACTTTCACTGACACCCACCTAGTGTGACATTAGTGCTGATCCAATGTGTGATACGACTAACTGACTACTTTCACTGACACCCACCTAGTGTGATATTAGTGCTGATCCAATGTGTGATCCGACTTTCTGCCAGATGACTTGAGATATCTGCTGCCATGGCAACCACTGAAGTTGACTGTTCCTCCGGCAATAGCAGCTTGAGTGCAGCCAGTGTTTTCTTCTGGCAAAATCTGAAGAAACGTTTCAACTAATGCAAACCTTTCTCTTTAAAGATCCCATCTTGTGTATAAGTAAAACCTATGAGTGAGTGAGTGAGTTGGGTTTAACGCCACTTTTAACAGTATTCCAGTTATATCGCGGCATGTCAGCTTAATGTGGCAGGAAAGCCCGAAGTGATGCAGCTCTCCGACGTTTACCACTTTGGTGAAACCCACGAGCATGGGTATGGTGCTGACAAAACCAGAAACATAATCGGGGCGAACCGGGATTCGAACCCACAATCATAGGTTTCTGGCGTGCCCAAGGGATGCAACTCTGCACAGCGAATCGTGGCGCCTTAGACGACTGGGCCACCCGTGTCCCCTAAAACCTTTGAGGTTGGATGTTAAGATCATATCGTATGGTACATCTTGTTGGGATAGACTCAAACCACTTACTGAAATGATGTATTTGTCAGTGTTTAGCAGTCAATACTATTCAACATCTTGGCTTTATTATTCGAAGTCCATTAATCAGTCTGATCAATTAACATGAACATTTGACATAAAAATGAAACTTGTGGGGACTTTTTAAAAAACAAAAAAATTGAGCTCTTCTTTTCTTTCTTCATATCATAAACATATTCCTACACATGTTTCACAAAGGAGTTCACAAACGAAACATTAAACATTATCACTGTTGGGAATCTAACCTAGACATCCACTTCAACTGCTGTGCCACCTCACAACCAGCATAACACCTGTGTTTGTTTGTGTAGATCTGGGGGCCGGTGTACAAAGTGATCTTAGCGCTAAGGTCATCATAACTCACAGACTTACGACAGTAGTAGCGCTAGGGTTGTTTTGTACAACGTCACCCAGGACACCATGCCCATATACTAACTCTCTCTGTTCTCTGTTGACCAGTGTCTTGAGGTCAGCGTAGACCAGCGGCACCAGTCTGTTCACCTCCTCGGACTGCAGACCCTAGACAGACAGAAGCACATAAGCAACATCAGCATGACAACACAGACATGGTTGTATACACAAACGTTCTACATCACTTGTTTTAGTTTGTTTTTTGTTTGTTATAATCCAGCTGTATGACGGCGGTCTGTAAATAATCGAGTCTGGACCCGACAATCCAGTGATTGACATCATGAGCATCGATCCACGCAACTGGGATACGATGACATGCATCAACCAAGTCAGCAAGCCTGACCACCCAATCCCGTTAGTCGCCTATTCTACCCCGGATCTTCACATGTCTACTACATCACTCGTAAACACATGAGGCTGATACGTGGTCTACTAGTGATGCATGTTTATTTAAAGTAAAGCAATTAGGATGTGATTGTTTGTTTGACCGAGAAACATCGAGTAAAAGCAGATTCAACAAGACAATTAAAGAAAAAACTGACACTGAATTTTATCTACAAAATTTGTCTTGTAAATGTAAAATAGTTTAGTTCATTTCAGACTTTCAGATTTCACCGTCTATCTATAGGTAGAAACAGGTAGATGGCAGAAGAACCTGTATAAATATCCATTAAATGATACTGCAGTAGAAAACCCTTTTATGCATTTAAATGAAACAAGAAGGTTCTTATCTCTTTATTACATCAATCGATCATCACTTTTCAAAATGACCAAGTCATTCAATTTAAAGACCCGTGAAGATTCCGGGATAGAATAGGTCTTCAGCAACCCATGCTTGCCGTAAAAGGTGACTATGTTTGTCGTAAAAGGCGACTAACGGGATCGGGTGGTCAGACTCGCTGACTTGGTTGATGCATGTCATCGATCCCAATTGCGTGGATCAATGTTCATGATGTAAATCACTGGATTGTGTGGTCCAGACACGATTATTTACAGACCGCCGTCATATAGCTGGAATGTTGCTGAGTGTGGCGTTAAACAACAAACCAAAACCAAAAAACATTCAATTTAAAAACATATCTACTCTTAGGAAACTGTCTCACTTCTTGTACATTTTAATGGAACAACTATTGTATCTTTTGCTGCCACATCACAAATAATAGACCTCTGCAAGCACGCCATTATTCTATGTTCATAGCCTTGAGTGAATACAGGTCTGTTCTGTTCTGTTTTTATTAGCATGTATAACGCTGAACTCAGCAATATTACTGCTGTTTGGCAGCGGTCTGTAAATAATCAAGTGAGTGAGTGAGTGAGGTAATGCTTTACGTCACATCGGCAATATTTCAGCCATATCGTAAATAATCAAGTCTACACAAGACAATCCAGTGATTAACATCATGAGCATTGATTCACACAATTGGGATACGATGACACGCTATCCACCAAGTCACCGAGTCTGACCACCCAATCCGTTACGACAAGCAGGTAACATTTCTGTCGGGCTGCATGATAATATGTCTGAAAGCAAGCAGATAACTTTAAAGATGGGCAGGCAGCAGTTATGGGTGACCTGCCTGACCGTCTTGTTGGGTCTTAAAATTATTTCAAACACTGTCATGTCATCACATCATGGCTTCTTGGCTCAAAACTTGCAATAAAAATAGTGAGTGAGTGAGTGAGTATGGTTTTACGTCTCTTCTTCAGGGTCTTCAGGGTGACGAGCAAACGCTTTAACCACTAGGCTACCCGACCGCTCCCAATAAAGATAGGCAAAAGTACAGGTAGTGGTAGACTGTATGACTGCATAATTGCCTATTGCATTAACAATTCCATTGAACTATGACACTTGTGTCAGGGATGTGTGAAATTTTGAGAGATGTCATTTCACTCCTAGAGTATTCATACAGAGAGAGAGGTGTTTGATAGAATAAAGGGCATACAATTTTATTATCGTAATCAAAACTTCCTGTTGTAACACCAGTACTCATCTGATTCACTGAGACTGGGGATTTCTCCCGATCAAGAATCCCATGATGGTCAAAACCTGGCTTTAGTTTGAAACATGTTTCACTGACCACTCTTTACCACGAGGGGTGGTCGGGTAGCCTAGTGGTTAAAGCGCTGCTCGTCACTCCGAAGACCTGGGTTCGATTCCCGACATGGGTACAATGTGTGAAGCCCATTTCTGGTGTCCCCCGCCGTGATATTGCTGGAATATTGCTAAAAGCGGCGTAATACCATGCTCGCTCACTCACTCTTGACCACGAGTGAGTTCTATTTAAGTGTTATCAAGGCATGTCAGCTTAAAGTTAGAGGAAAGCCTGGAGTGATGCAGGTCTAAGATTGTCAAGCTCATAGAACACGTTACCATTTTTCTCTTGTCTTTGTCCAGCAGTTTTAACCTTTCCTTCAGATCCTTGACCCTTTGTTTAGCTGCTGTCAACTGCTTTGGAAGGATGGAGCTTCGAAACTGCTTGATGAAGTTGGACGCAGTTCTCTCCCCTACAAACTCCACAGTACGTTTGAGAGACGATGGATGGTTGTGAAAGAAATTCTCTTCCAGCTGAGTCTGTAATTAAGAATCTATTGTCAGGAGGTTTGAGTTGGATTTTATTCCCCCTCCCCCCCAAAAGCTGACAGAACCAGGATCATAATTGTGGCAAAACCAGCATATCCTGTTGCAACTAAGGGATGCAACTCTGCACAGTAAGAAAATATTGGCAGGAAACAGGCTAAAATGTATGTAAACAAGCAAAATCTGTGATATCAACTTATCTGGCCATTGGTACAGTAAAACCCTCTTCATCCGACACATTTTCTGATTAACTCATCATTGGTAAGTATCGCTGGAAGGATGTCTTCCAGACTGTGTCACTATGTTTACTGCATAATTAAATGACCAATATTACATGGCTTGTCATCTCTCATTGACTATCTATGTTTCATCCATCTATGTGAGTGAGTGAGTGAGTGAGTGAGTGAGTGAGTGAGTGAGTGAGTGAGTGAGTGAGTGAGTGAGTGAGTGAGTGAGTGAGTGAGTGAGTGAGTGAGTGAGTGAGTGAGTGAGTGAGTGAGTGAGTGAGTGAGTGAGTGAGTGAGTGAGTTATAGCGCCACCAGTGGATCCAGTTGGATTTTTCACTGCTTTAAACGTTTTCCAGTTATATCACAGCGTGTCAGCTTAATGTGTGAGGAAAGCCCTAAGTGATGCAGGTCTTAGCATTTACTACTTTGATGAAACCCACGACAAACCTAGTAACATAATCGGGGGGAACCAGCTTTTGAATCCATCTACATTAAGTTCCTTTATGAACAACTTCAGCTGTTGTCTCACCTGCAGCTGTTTCTGGGTGAAGGTCGCCGACTGCCCGGTGTTGGCTGCGGTAGGGGTGATCTTCCTGATGGTGCCTCGAGTGTTGGTCCCCACAGCAAACTCCATCATCAAGTTGCGCATCTCGGCTGCAGAACAAACCATGACACTTTGGAGAAACATTCCCAATCTTACTCTGATCTACTGGATCACAAGACGTACCATCAACAGATCGGCATCTTGCCAGGCAAGGAAGTTAACTGACTATATATGCCCAGTTTCCTCCCTTGCTGAACAACTGGATCACAAGACGTACCATCAACTGATCGGCATCTTGCCAGGCAAGGAAGTTAACGGACTATATATGCCCAGTTTCCTCCCTTGCTGAACAAGACTGGAATTTCGATTATAGCGCCACCAGTGGATCTTACGAGTTTTGTCCCTTCTATGTCCCTCCTATTGACCAATCTCACATCACTTCCATTTGCTTCAAACAAAATTGTGGCGCCCAGTCAAGAAAATCTATATTATGAAAACACAAGTCTTACCTCGTGAAGTGCATCAAATCATGTGAGATGCAAATATTTGGAAAATATATGTTGATGTTGAGTTGGCGATACACATGCTTTACAAATCTTGCAGTCAACAGAAATCTACACTTGGACTATACATAGACTCGTTGGTCTAGCCAAAATATAACTCCATAATTCCAGCCTAGTTCGGCAAGAGTGGAAACTGGATGTACATAGTCAGTCACCTCCTTTGCCTTGGGAAGATGGAGACCGGTCCTCGAGATAGTGAACAGTCAGGGACTTATCTCGGATGTCAAACAAAGTGCCCTTGTTAAACAAATTGGAAAACAACAACATGATTTTGTTCGAAATTGGACATAAAACTGAAAGACTCTTCGTGTTTTTGGTCCTGTTATTGGAGGAATGCAAGTCACCTCTGCCAAACATTAACACGACTTGGCAAATATTTAATTCCAAATTGGGGAATAATGCAATTAGTTACTTGAGAAACTACAAGGAGTTATAATAAAACTGAATATGTAGTAGTCTTAAAGTTATCTGCCAGACAGTCGCACAGGTTGAAGAAAATTTCATGCAGACCAGCAGAAATGTTACTAGCAACGGGCAGACGGGCAGGCGGGCAGACGGGCAGATGGACAGGCAGTTATTTGGGACACTGGACGAACATGGGGCTAACATGGGAGGCTGGGGGCCTATTCTGCCCTGGCATCCACACAAGGGACAGGTCCACAAGTGGGAGGAGAATGTTCACTGACTGAAAATCCTGGGCTTTGGTTTCATCTCCACATCAAGGCCATCATCCCGAGGCAAGAGAGTTAACTGACTATAAAAGTCCAGTTTCCACCCTTGCCGAACTAGGCTGGTATTATGGAGTTACATTTTGGCTGGACTAACGAGTCTATGCATAGTCCAATCAAAATCGCAGATTTCGGTTGATTGCAGGATTTGCAAAGCATGTGCACTGACATCTCGTTGTCAGCAGATATTTTCCAAATCTTTTCATGTTTTTAATCAAGGTGCGCATGTGATTTGATGCATTCCGCGATGTAAGACCCGTTTTGTCACAATATAGAACTTGATTATTGATCAGATCGTCCTGACTCGGCGCCACCGTTTTGTGTGAAGCAATCGCAAGTGATACGAGAGGTGGAATCTGATTGGTCCGTAGGCGAGGTTTAGAAGGGACATATCTGGTAATAGCCACTAGTGGCGCTGCGATCGAGCCCAGTAGTTCCAGCCTAGTTCGGCAAGGGTGGAAACAGGACTTTTAAAGTCAGTTAACTCTCTTGCCTCGGGAAGATGCATCAAGGCAGATAAGACAGATTCAGGATTCTGTACATTGCACAGGAGTTTAGCATTGAAAACTGTTTCATTCAGAATTTGTTGTTTCGTTTGAAATGTTTAGAATGCCTGTATGTACATAGTATAGTGAGAATGATACTTATCAACACCAACCCAACGGTTTCAGATAATTGTACCGTCATTACTCACCCACGTAAGGACAGCATGTGTACAGAAGATCCTGTGACACAAGGTCAAGGTCATCCTGAAAACAAAAATTCAATCCTGCCTGTACAATGATATATAATACTACCTGTTCCTTCAACTGGCACAGAAAATAATCAATGCAGATTTTACCATGTATTCTTAAAGAATTCATTTGCATGTATTTAAATTATCAATGTTATTTCATAATCCATCCAATTTGAACAATTTATTGTGTTTTATCATTTAAACAACTAGGTTTGCATTTTTCTTTCTACCTGACGTCCCCACCCCCTTGCTCCTCCGTTAATTGAATGGCTGGTCCCCCCAGACAGGTGCTGCTACTCACCAGAGGTAGAAGCTGTGTGGTGTCGCCCCTGTCACCTCTGTTCTCCTCCTCACTTACTTCCTTAAAGAACAGACCGTCGGGCATCATCGGGGTCTGGAAGAGGTAGCGACTTAGTGAACATGTGTGTGTGTTGTTTGCTGCTGCACTCACGCCAGTCTGTATATAATGGTGTCTGGACCAGACAATCCAGTGATTGACATCATAAACATCCTTCTTGAAGTTGGTAAGTAAGAAAATGTACAACTTTATGGATAACAACTTCTTGATTATTGCATATAGCGACGTTTCAATGTAGATTCCTACATCGGCTCTTAAGCTTGATGTATGTGAGTGAGTGAGTGAGTGAGTGAGTGAGTGAGAGAGAGAGAGAAAGAGAGAGAGAGAGAGAGAGAGAGGGAGGGAGAGAGAGAGAGGAGAGAGAGAGAGAGAGAGCACATGACGACAAGATGACAAGAATATCACCTTCTTGGAGGTCAACTTACATCAAACAGCCAGCTTATCAACACGACCACCATCAGGTTGCCATAGAAACACTGGTTTGTGGACGCTCTCTCCCATGATATTCTGCAAAACAATACCCAGTCTGTTTCAAGGAAGATACAGTTCAAAACTATTTTCACTCAAACTAATCAACATAAAAAGTATCACCCTTCAAAATGCCATCAGATGTGAGTAAATGAGTGAATATTTTTCAATGCCCCAGTCAATACTTCAAGCAGAAATTACAAAATGTTGCTAAATTTTCCAACAAACACCATTAAATGGACTACGAACAGCAATTTGCTTTTATTATTTCTTGTAAATGGTTCTTTTCCCAAACTGTGTATAACCAAACAAAATTTTTCTGAATAAAAATCTGTCTGCAAAATAACAAGTAGTATTGGCAGTCATGAGTTGTCTCCCCTACCTGAGGACATGTCGGAGGCCGGACAGGAAGCGCTGGTACACCTGCACCGTGGGAGCGATTGAGTCCATCTGGGAGGCGAACTCCACCAGCCAGGGTATGGTGAGGACAAGTCTCCGGGAGGAGATGGCGCCGTGTACCGTGGCCACAAAGTCCAGGGGAGACGGAATCTGGGGAAACAATTTGTTGGTTCCAGTCAGCACAAAACATCTCGTCAGCCACAACACAAAACACAGTTTTCTGTGAATTGAACTGTCCAGCTGGATGAGAGACCAGCCATATTCCATTATCTCTTTCACAACTTCATGTCATTTCATTCAGAGCATCAGATAAGCTGTGTATAATATGCAAAAATAAATCAGAATAACCCAATTAATTTTGAGTTGCTTACTTACAAATACATCGCTATATGGCTGACATAATGCCGATGCGACGTTAAATTTTAACTCACTCACTTACAAAATGTAACAAGAGTTTGCCACGAATGTGGCTATATCCCCCGCCCCTGTTGCAGAATTTATGACATAATTAAATCTAAACAAACCCTAACCTTTTTTAACCAAGGTGGAACTTGTCATGGAAATTGTAAAAAAAAGAAGAGTTTGGAACCTAAGTCCATCTTGTCGCCATTGAAACATAAATTTCTAAAATTTCTAAATAGCAAAAGGCACCAGTTCAGCATGTATCTGACAGACCTGCAAAGTTTCATGAAAAAATATTGGACGGTTTCTGAGTTATGATCTGGAAACGTAACGTGACGGACAGACGGACGGAGCCCGTTTCTATACCCCCAGCCAACTTTGTTGGGCGGGGGATAAAAAGAAGTTATGTGTAAGTATAATCACATCTGAATCACAGGGCTCAATTTAAGAACCTGGCTTAATTTGCACCAGGTGAAAGTTGATATGAAAAGCTAGTTGCACTGGACAAAACCAGGTTGCACCCTGGTCCCATAAAATCATCAAAGTTGAAATATAGATGCATTAAATAAGTCTAAATAAGTAAAATCTCAGATCTCTGATGACTGTGTAATTATGAATTACACATAATACAGTTATTAGTTATGTACTATATGGTAAATACAACTTTGAGGAATTGAGTGGGTTCAAAGATCGTTGTTGTATCAACAAGTAAGGGTTAGTAAGACACAAATTTGAATTGTTTTACATGCACTTGGTGCATGCATGTAGACATAACTATTAAGATGCATTTTTTAACAATAGGTTGCACTGGTGCATGTTTTATATCGATAAATCAAGTCCTGGAATCATAATTGGCTCAGAAAATATCTGGAGCCCTGGGCATTACATTGACAGACTAAGTAATTTCTAATACTCAAAATTAGTTTGTGAAGCTGTCTAAGCATGCTCCAAACATACTGTGTTCCTATGAGCAGTATAGCTGGCCCGCATGGAGTCGGGCAGCGGTTCTGTGGTCTGGTATGGCAGGAATGTCACAAAACCCAGGAATTTCCCCAGAAGCCGCAGCGTCATCAAACAGGAAGCAAACAACTCGTGCTGATCCTAATAAAGATAAATATGAGCATTTCGGGATAAATGCAATGTTTTTATACTTACCTGATGCTACACAGCTTCAGCTTCTCTACTTTCTACAAACAGACAGTACTGGAACAAGGGTGAGGTGAGGTGAAATTGGGTTTAACGTCGCGTCCAAGATTATTGCACTTATATAGTGACGTGCTTGTACGTGTGTGTGTTTGTGTGGCTGCTTGTACTAGTCCGGACTGATGCCAATTTATAGTGCTAGCCCACTGAGATACCATGCCGCAGTTTAACATGAATACCCCACTCAGACACAGTATACTGACTCCGAGCCGACCAGTCCTTGTTTTAGCCCCTTAATGCCGAGCGCCAGACAGAGTAACAACAAGTACCATCTCTTAACGTCTTTTGGTATGACGCGGGTGGGGATCGAACCCCGGACCTTCCGCTCTCCGGGCGGACGCTCTACCACTAGACCACGGAGGCGGTTACTGGAACAGAGAAACAGTTGAAACAGACTATAGCCCGTGCCCCGATACCCACGAGTTATCCCTGGAGAAGGTGGGTGCCCATCCTGGGAGAGATGCATTGACAAACAACACGATAAAAGCAAGATGGCGACTGGCGCGAAAATGTGCTCATGTGTTTCAACTGTCTCTCTGTTTCAGTACTGTCTGTTTGTATAAGGTGGGAAAGCTAAAGCACTGTGTCGCATCAGGTAAGGAAAAACATCTCTGAAAATCTCTGAAAATGACAACAAAACATAACCAAATGATGACAGGGTTGATTAAGTGGAGTGTAATATGATCAACATGTTTAAGGGGGTTCTGATAAATATCTTGTTTTCTGATCTTTTTAACTTTGTCTGAGATAGAACTAACACTTCACTGAAAAGTTCATTATTTGAATTTCTCTTGTGAAAGTTCACCACCTCTTTTGATATTCACAGAGGAAATATTCATTAAACAACTATATGACTCCTGAATTTTGAACATGAAAAACAAGAAATTCCTGTGAAACTCCTTACCTCCTCCTCCTCAGTCTCCGAGCTGGTCGAAATGGTGCGATCACCGCTAGACGTCCCAAACTCTGTGTTGTTCAACTGTACACAACAAACGATGCATATCAGTGGGTGATCCGCAATATCACTGCAGCTTGTGAAGACTCAATTCTGGGCTCAGCAGAGCATCATGGTATGAGGATGATACAGGCAGTCACACAATGTAACACCTATCTTTGTCAGCTCTTACGAAATGTATGATACAGAGTGCATACCATCTTCCCGAGGCAAGGGAGTTAACTGACTATTAAAGTCCAGGGACATAACTCGTAATAGCCACAGGTGGCGCTGCGATCGAGCCCAGAAATTCAAACCTAGTTCGGCATTGGTGGTAACTGGACTGTTACAGTCAGTTAACTCCCTTGCCTCGGGAAGATGGGTTTATACACAATTAGCCTGACAAATTTCCAGTTTTTTTCCATGTTTGTTTCCAGGGTATTATGTCAGTTTTCCATGACATCATATCAGTAAAAAACACAACAGAAATAACAAACATTAAGAGTATTAATTCCGAATAACATAAAAACAGGCCAAATGGAGAAATTTAATTATTTTCCAGTCACTGATATCTCACCAGAAATATAAAACTGGTATGAAAATATAAGTTTTCCTTGACTCTTCCTTGACCTTTTAACAATTATTTATTTTCCCAAATTATTTCACTCCTGGAAAGATCGTACCAAAATTCCAAGACTTTTCCGGACTTCATGTCCTTGGACTTTGTTCCACAAAGATTTGTTTGTTTGTTTGTTGTTTAACAACATTCCAGCCATATGATCACAGTCTGTAAAAGATTGACTCTGGATCAGACAATCCAGTGATTGACATCTTGAGCATCAATCTACGCAACAGGGATATGATGACATGCATCAACCAAGTCAGCGTGTCTGGCCACCAAATCCTGTTAGTCGCCTCTTACAAGCATAGTCGCCTCTTTCAGCAAGCATGGTTTGCTGAAGACCTAATCTCTACCCGGACCTTCACGGGTTGTTCCACAAAGATATTTCATTGGATTGACTATTGTAATTCTATATTAAAGTGTAGCTTATGGGAGTTCTTATGTTGTGATTGCCTTGTGAAACAGGGGTTTGTCCCCGGATCCCCTAAAAATCAGAAAAAGAATCATTCTAGTCTGTGGGAGGAAAGCCTCAGTAACGCAGGTCTCAGGTGTTTAACACTTACGAGAAACCTACTGGCACCGGTTTGGTACTAACAAACCTAGAAACACAATCGGGTCAAATCGGGACTCAAACCCACAACAATAGGTTTCAGGCGAGTTCATGGGATGCAGCAGTGCACGGCGAATTAGACGACTGGGCAAGCCGTGCCTCCTCAAGCAGTTATAACCAATGATGACCAGTGTTATGGCTTTGTAAAGGTCACTTGCATTTCCAGCGGTAGAAAATAACAGTTTCAGTCCACTAGTCCTTATAATAATAACAAATTGCAAACCCCCTAAAAATGACAAATTTCTACTAGTCCTTATGATACCTTTACTATTGGGCAGTTTGGCAAGGACTATAGGACTAGTGCCAATTTCTAACGCTGCATTTCACTGATAAAAGGTTTAAAAAAAAGACGAACAAAAAGGCTTCAGTGCTCACCTTTCCACCATTACAGTGAATGCACCAGTGAATAACAATTTAAGAAAGTATCAATTTTGAATAATTTTCCCAGTTTGCATGCCAAGCACACTTAGTTTGAAATCCTATATAAATACCTGTGATTGGAAAAAATCGGTCACCAAAAAATAATACCTCAGTAACCTTGGCAACCAGGGTATTAGTCAGATGCTGGTTGAAGATAGCATTGCCAGCAGCTGTGATGAAATCCCGGAAAAACTCCTGGTAGCCAGTAAAACTGGGTGTCGGACACGGCCCGCCCAGGCTGAAGGGCTTGATGAAGCGCTCCTGTAGTCTGGAGAAAACACACAGGACAACATAGTCACACTTTAAATCTTGCAATCCTATAATCTGGAGAATATACACAGGACAACATAGTCATACTTTAAATCTTGCAATCTTGCAATCCTATAATCTGGAGAAAATACACAGGACAACATAGTCACACTTTAAATCTTGCAATCCTATAATCTGGAGAATATACACAGGACAACATAGTCACACTTTAAATCTTGCAATCCTATAATCTGGAGAAAATACACAGGACAACATAGTCACACTTTAAATCTTGCAATCCTATAATCTGGAGAATATACACAGGACAACATAGTCACACTTTAAATCTTGCAATCTTCACCTAATAAACTGTTTATTTTGATAAGGAGATAAAGCTAGATTATTTGTAGATTTAACCGCAGTAAATAGAATTTAGAACAAACATATAGATTTGTTTGTTTGTTTGTTGTTTAACACCGCACTCAGCAATATTCCACCTGTGTCGGCAGTCTGTAAATAATCGAGTCTGGACCAGACAATCCAGTGATTGACATTATGAGCATCGATCCACGCAATTGGGATTCGATGACATGCAACCAGTCAGCGAGCCTGACCACCCGATCCCATTAGTCGCCTCTTACGACAAGCATAGTCACCTTTGACAACAAGCATGGGTTGCTGAAGACCTATTCTACCCAATAAACATATAGATTAAACTTGGTCTGAGGATTTGATATTGCATGATAGGACAAAGAGTGTCATGCAGTTTGTTTAGGATAAATTCAGGGCTCGATTAAAGAACTTGATCTAACTTGCACCAAACAAACCCAACCTGTACCGATAAATTTGTCAAACATAGACGGATCTGCTACCAGTGTTGGTTCATGCTGACATAAAGGTAAGGTGGCATTTTGCAATAATAGGCTGCACTTGTGCATGTTTTATACAGCTAAATCGAGCCCTGAAATATCCATGTATGTTATGTAAGGGCAATGTAATGTTGTGGAGGTAATAAACTGATCTGGGTTCATGGTAAATGAACACTTCATATAAACGCTCATACAGTTTGGCCCTCACTATGCAGGTTCATACTGCAATAAACTCACACAAAGTGAAAGTCAACTCTTATAATTTTTTATATCACTTTTTTTCACCTCAAAGGATGTAGGTGTAGATCTATACACAATTTCATTTAGTATCCAGTGTGACTTCATGTTTACTTTGACAGCCATACAACAACCAGCTGTATCGCGGAATAAAATAGTTAAAGAGAGGTGGCGTGAGAGTATGTATGCTCAACTTTCTCTAAAGGAACATCTGTTGTAGTTTGTTTATATCAAATGTATTAAAAAAATATCATCATTGGGAGAGAAAGGTGTGTTAAGAACTACCTCACTAAGTCATTCACAACGACAGTGCGTCATAATACATTTACATCAAGTACAAGACACAAGTACAAGTACAAGAGATTTCCGAAGTTGTTAATGTACCTGTGGCAGTTACATGTGTTGGTCATCATTGATCAGGTGACTGCGAGCGACTATAATTTTGGCAGAGTGTGCAACGTATACACATTACTGAGAGATAAGTATGTGCAGATGTAGTATTGACGCTGTTGACCACCGTTACTCCTAAATATAACGGCTTGCAGTCACCTGACCGTCAATTCTTGTCCGGATTGTAACCACGCGATTAAAACTCAATGATCATGTTTATAGCTAAGAAAAGCGTATGTTGCAATTTTTGGCATTACTGAAGTACTATTCCTTATCTTGAGAATGGCTTGTTTTCATTTTACAAGTATTACCACACATGTAGCTATCTTCGTTAATTAATCATTGCGATATTTCGTGATTCCATTTCAAGTGGCAAGGACTACAGTTCCATGTGATGTTATTACAAGAGAATCATGTTATGTTCCCCATTACTTGTATATATTCATGTGGAGTTAGAATTTTCCCAAGTGTCTACCCTTTGTCTTTCTATCTTTTATTTTATTATTTCTCCCCAGGGGGAGTGGGCCAGTCCTGGAAGTACTGCAATACCAGGTCAACCCGTGGCAAGGAGAAGCAAGCTCTCACTTTGCCCACAACCAAAAATCAGTTTAATATCGATGTCACAATGAAGGACGTATCAGATATTAAGCTGATAAGAACAGATACTACACTTTGATCTTGGCCATTTCAGCCGCAAAGCGATACCGACCCCAGAAAAGTGGACATCTATATTGTCAATGACTATCAATCTCATTTGGAGTGTACTGGTAGAGTCGGGCTGAGATATATAAATGTTTATTCCATGATGCAGGACATAAACCTGTCCAGTTACCATGGCAACTGGTCCCAGTTGAATGTGATTTTATTACATCCAGAAGTTGTCAAGTTAAACTCAACAAACTAACCAAACCAACAGGAAAACAATGTCAGTGAAAGTTCAGCTATTAAACCTGTGAAATGTTCGCCCGACGTTTCCCTCAACCTGTGCATACAGACAACGTTCATTACGTAGTGAGAACGTCAATAACACCGTCTACGTTTCCCTCAACCTGTGCATACAGACAACGTTCATTACGTAGTGAGAACGTCAATAACACCATCTACGTTTCCCTCAACCTGTGCATACAGACAACGTTCATTACGTAGTGAGAACGTCAATAACACCGTCTACGTTTCCCTCAACCTGTGCATACAGACAACGTTCATTACGTAGTGAGAACGTCAATAACACTGTCTACGTTTCCCTCAACCTGTGCATACAGGCAACGTTCATTACGTAGTGAGAACGTCAATAACACCGTCTATTAAAAGAATACAGGCAATGCTTCAGGTGTGACAATGTTTCTAGGTTAAGACCTGGGGCTGTTTAATACTACAATTACAGTATACACGGTACAGAATTATCTAGTTTCAGGTTTTGGATCACATCACTCAGATTATCCCCCTCAAATCTGGGGTGTTTGTTATTCAATACATTCAATACCCTGTATATCATCTTGTAAGTGGTCGGTTGGGGAAACAGCTTTACATCCATATGAAACTGGACATTAAATAATGATCTTTCAGGGGCGAGGTGGGGTGTTGTTTTAGAACATAACTATACAACCAACCAAAGTAATCTATTTATATCAGGACCAGCCTAAAGCAGAGCACAAATAGTTTTAGCATTATACTGTATTCTGACTTCGTAAGAATGGTCTGATAAGTTCACAATATAAAAATATATCTTAAAAGTTACACATCCATTTCATAGATTTTGTCTCATATTCTTTCCATAGGTCAAAATGGTTCCGATACAATTGTTTCAGCAGAGAATGTGGTTCCTGTTTTGTTAATACATCAATTTAGAAATAGGATTAATTGTCGCTTTAGTGGATTCCTGTATTTTCATTTGTAAGATGTTGTTATCGCCACAATCAGATGTATTCCACCTATATGATGACCCGTAAATAATCAAGTCTGGACCAGACAATCCAGTGATTGATTTTGTGAACAACGATCCACACAATAGGGGTACAATGACACGCCGACAACTAAGTCACCCAAATCTGACCACCCCATCTTTTTGGTCGCCTCTTACAACCCGCATAGGTTGCTGGGAATCTAGTCTTACCTGGAATAACTACGGGGGGATCATCTTTATTTAAGTGACTGACACTCACTGAAAGCAGAGATTAGGCTGACATTGGAAATTCATGTCACAATCTTACACCACGTCAACATACAATATTGTCTTACATATATCAACTGAAATGTTAGACATTGTTTCTGAACAGTCTGTGAACATTACTAAATGTAGCTTTTTGAAATATCAGCCCCTCCTAAAAGTTTATTATCAAACTTTGTTTTACTCTGAGGACCATTTAAGAGGAGTGTCAATCTCCTTGCTGAAGGGGGAATTCTATCTTTTATTTATTTATTTCTCCCCAGAGGGAGTGGGCCGGTCCTGGAGGTACTGCAATACCAGGTCAACCCGTGGCAAAGGCGGAGCAAGCCCCTGACTCTTCGCCGAGTACCAAAAATCAGTTTAATATCGATGTCCCCCAATGGGGGACGTATCAGATATTAAGCTGATAAGAACAGATACTACACTTTGATCTTAGCCAAAAGGCCGAGAAGCGATACCGAGATATGGTGCATTTGACAATTATACCTGCGGTCATATTTTCTGAGGTTGGGTATATTCCAGTTTTCTTTTTCAAATTTAAATTTTGGGAAAGTAGGATAAACTTATCAATATATATACACAATATTGGCAGAAATTATATCTCAATTATGATTAAATTTATTTTATTTTTTATTTCACAGAGAAGGCTATAATAAAAGAAATGTGTGAATCTATGACTGATATCGGGCTGTCGCTAACACGCTTGAACGTACAGTGGAGGCAGCCGTTGTGCTATAAATAGCTAATGACCTACTTTAACCTCAACCACGCTCAACAAATGATAACAGCTCTCTTGCTTCTGATACCAACTGAACCTGAGTATAAAAAGCAAAAAACATTGTGGAACTTCTATGGTTATTACAAACAGAAATTTGCTTGAATGTTTATGACATAGTTTGAACAAATATATTTCCTTCAAATAATCAGATCATTTATGTTTAAACTTGGTATAAAAAACTTAAGATGTATTTTATGATATTTGAATGTTTTATTATGTTTACTGTAGAAATAAAATATGAAATTATATTTTTAAAAAGTTGTTAGAAAGTTCACACTCAGACATATTCTACTTCGATTTGTTGATGGGTCAGACAAAGAAATTCTAAATATAGCAACATTTCAAGGGAGATAAATTAGATCTTAAACTGAATGAAGTTGCTCTATAATCTCAAATTATTCACTCACAGGCTTATCAAACTTAAACTGTCACCTAAACAAAAAATAACCCGTCACACAATCTTTGCTACTAGGCCAATGATGAATGTGAAAAATTGTATTTCTTATCCTTATTATTTATAATCATTTGTTGTTATGTAAGTGTCAGTATTAATTTTGTTGTAATCTGATGTATTCACTGTAAAATACACTAAACCCACACTCTGAAATACTGTCATCAGAGATTTATCTCCACCTACTCAAAGGCAGATATTCGGCCCCAAGTCTGCAATACTGTCAACAGAGATTTATCTCCACCTGCACAAAGGCAGATATTCGGCCCCAAGTCTGCAATACTGTCAACAGAGATTTATCTCCACCTGCACAAAGGCAGATATTCGGCCCCAAGTTTGCACAAAATGTCAGTGAAACTTCCCAAATTGAAATTAAAAATTTCTCAATTCTTGTTAACATAATTATGACTGATGTTATGTGTAGGATAAAACACAAAAAGACGAGTAACCAGTTAAAAAATTTTCAAAACAAGACATCCCTACTTGCTATGATACCTATAAACCAGATGTTATTAACTGGAGTAAAATAAACACACTATCTGCAAATCTGATGAAGAAAACATTTTATTGACACTTTTACCAATGGCAACGAGGATACAAGGTCATCACGGTTATAGTGAGTGACTTGGGTTTTACGTATGTTTTAACATTATTCCAGTTTTTTTCATGGCGTGTCAGCTTAATGTGCGAGGAAAGCCCGAAGTGGTGCAGGTCTCAGACGTTTACCACTTTGGTGAAACCCACGAACACGGGTATGGTGCTGACAAACCTAGAAACATAATCAGGGCAAACCTGGATTCGCACTCACAATCATATGTTTCTGGCATGACCAAGGGACACAACTGTGCACAGTGGCACCTTAGACAACTGGGCCTACCGTACGGTCGTACCCCCTACCGCAGTTATAGGTGATCTTTGTACTGGTAGTACGATCTCCACAAATGGAACCAAAAGACAAAAATGGTGTCATTTTGGAATTCAGCAATGTCATTATTAAAACAATTATTCACTTCATTATGGTCACCTATTTTCGATCAGGTAGTTTGACGCCAGAAGAACAAGTACCGCTTTAACCTAGACCATGGCCTTGAGAGGGAGAAGAGACAATTTCCGTCATGTTAAGGCCAAGATCTAGTTCCCGTCTTTGAATGTATTTTTGGGATATCAAGTTAGTGAGTGAGTGACTAAGTTGGGTTTAATGCCGCTTTTAACAGTATTCCAGTCATATCACGGCGTGTCAGCTTAATGTGGGAGGAAAGCCCCAAGTGATGCAGGTCTCAGACATTTACAACTTTGGTGAAACCCACGAGCACGGGTATGGTGCTGACAAACCTAGAAACATAATGGGGGCGAACCGGGATTCGAACCCACAATCATAGGTTTCTGGCGTACGCAAGGGACGCAACTCTGCACAGCGAATAGTGGCGCCTTAGACGACTGGGCCACCCGTGCCCCCTGGGATATCAAGATTGTTGGATACCTTATTTAATATATCATAAACTATTCTACATCCCCTCCTCTACACCAAGTTTTCAAGGAAATATGGTATTAAGGGCAGATGTAACTCCGATGTTAGGGATATATTCCTACACTTGAGATATTGTTTTAATGCTTGGATAAGACTAGAGTATTCCAGAAGATGTGTTTTACAGTCGTATATATGTTTAAGGTTTAAAAATTTCCACTTTCGTCTATCAAATCAATTATAAGATTAATACCTTTTCCAGCGTAATGTTTTATAATATACCGGAGTGTTGACAAATTCATGCCAACCAGAAAGTGAATGGTTATCAAAATGCTGTTTCACATCTAAATTTCATATGTGAAGGAAAGACAAGTCCGGTGTGTATTTTAAGTTGTAAATCGTTATACAAGCATCCACAGATTCTCTACAGTTTTTGAGAATCGAGAGGAGCCACCAGCTTAAACAAACACGATGGGGATAATCCCTTGGCCAGCTGCTGGACACCACTAAAAGAACTGCCTGGTTAATAGAAGTCACTGATAAATTTTAGGAAAGCAATGGCTTTTCTTTTTCGGTTCATCTTCCCTTCACTAACCCACTAGGTCCGCTTACCCAGACAGTTCGCCCACGATCACGGTGGTGTATTGACAGTATATCTTATCGCCTAAACTATGATCTATATATTGCCATGTCCTAAAATATGTTCCGTGATTCAATGACATAGCTGGGATGATGACCGCTTATATTGTAATATTAAACCACTTGATAGACGATCGAAATGAGTCAGTGGGATCAGCCGATCGTTCATTCCAGGTCGCTTTGTTGACGTTTTGCAATTTCTCATTTCACCTTGTTTACCAATATATGTCAACCAATCTGATTGTAAAAAACAATTGTATCTGTTCACAATACCCAAAACACCAGTTTATATAATATTTACCTCATATTCAAAATAAATAATAACTAAGCTGCTTAAAAGTTCTGTCCTTGTACAATTCTTCAATGCTAAATGTTGAAGAGTTTACCATGGTCACCATCACTGTTGAAAGGATAAATGCAAGGCACTAATAATTCTAATGAAGAAACAGAAACTTACTTTTTAAATTTTTCTGGGTTTGTCTTCTTGAGTTGCGTGAGCAGTGTGACTGTTTCATCCTCTCCGTCACACTTCACTGACTTGTCACCTTTGCACATCTGGGCAGGGGGAGAAAATAGGCAATATCAGTTTAGCTTCATTTAGACACCCAGTTAGCCTAAGTTCCTAAATAATTAAAGATTTATCAAAATAATGCCAATATATGTCAGATCAAGTCTAAAGTCAATCTTTATTGACAAAATTGTTCATCTTCTTCATAGAATGAACATCAACCTTTCCAATTTGATTCAGTTTGAGTTGTAGCTCTGTGGCCAAAGGCTTTACTATGTGTCAAGTCTGTATGAATAATTGTTATGAAATTCTGAATCCTTTCAAAGAAAAATCATAACTGTTATAAGCAAGAGTTAACAATCAAAATGAACCTTGGTAGTTTCACCCAGTGATCAATATTTGGGTAACACAGAATCAAGCAAGTCACTGAGCCTGCCCAACCAATCCATTTGGACACCTCTTATGTTTGTTTGTTTGTTTGTTTGCTTGTTGTTTAACACTGCACTCAGCAATATTCCAGCTATATGACGGCTTTCTGTAAATAATCAAGTCTGGACCAGACAATGCAGTGATTGACATCATGAGAATCGATCCACGCAATTAGAATACGATGACATGCATCAACCAAGTTAGACCAACCGATCCTCTTACAACAAGCATCGTTGCCTTTTACAGCAAGAATGGGTTGCTGAAGACCTATTCTACCCCGAATCTTCACGGGTCGGTCAACCCTAACGACCAGCATAGGTTGCTGCGATCTGTGAACCGTGAAGCCAAGGCACTGAGTCTGCACATGAAACTTTACTTCACGCATTCATGCATGTGTGTGTGTGTATGACGTGTGTGTGTGTGTGTGACGTGTGTGAAGTGTGTATGACGTACATGTGTGATGTGTGTGTATGACGTGTGTGTGTGAGAGACAGATGTGTGTGTGTGTGTGTGTGTGTGTGTGTGTGTGTGTGTGTGTGTGTGTGTGTGTGTGTGTGTGTGTGTGTGTGTGTGTGTGTGTGTGTGTGTGTGTGTGTGTGTGTGACATGTGTGTGACGTGTGTGTCTACGGTTTTATAGTGCTCGCCCATTGAGATGCCATTCCTCAGTTACTGGTAGGGTTAAATGGGGTTTAACGTTGCATCCAAGATTATTGCACTTATATAGCGACGTGCATGTAGGTGTATGTGTGTGTGTGTGGCTGCTTGTACTAGTCCGGACTGATGCCTATTTATAGCGCTAGCCCACTGATATACCATGCCACAGTTTAACATGAATACCCCACTCAGACACAGTATACTGACTCCGAGCCGACCAGTCCTTGTTTTAGCCCCTTATTGCCGAGTGCCAGGCAAGGTAACAACAAGTACCATGTTTGACATCTTTTGATATGACGCAGCAGGGGATCAAACCGCCGACCTTCTGCTCTCCGCATCAGTTTAACATGGACACCCTAATCAGAAACATACAGACCCTGAGCAAACCAGTCCAGGTTTTATCCCCTTCATGCCAAGCACCATCAATTAATATATTTTGGTATGATGTGGCTTGGGAATGTAGAGAATCGAATAATCGACCTTCAACTCTCTGGGTAGACACTATCATTTGGTGGTAATTATTAATATGTAAACATTGAGGTGTTCAGGATACACCTGCCTCATGTACTGATCCATATCGAAACTTGAGCCGCGATGTGCCACCTCCTTTGTACTGTTTTGGCATTAACTTAGCATTTAGAACAGTATGTCTTTCACTCAATTTACACTCATTCTTATCATGGTGATGGTCTGTTTGTTTGTTTGTTTGTTTGTTTGTTGTTTAATGCCTCACTCAGCAATATTCCAGCTATATGACAGCGGTTTGTAAATAATCGAATCTGGACAGGAATCTCTGATTGATATCATACGCAATTGGGACATGCATCAACCAAATCAGCAAGACTGACCACCCGATCCCGTTAGTCACCGACATGCCTGGGTTGCTGAAGACCTATTCTACCCCGGATCTTCATGGTACAGTGATCCCTCGCTATTGTGCTCTTCGATAAAGCGCTACCTCGGTTACTACGCGCGGTAACGCATGGCTCCCAAAATTTATGTACACTTTTAATACTGAGAGTTTTACACAGACATGATTGTATTGTTGTTCGTTGTCCATTTGCACATAACGCTTCTCATTGCATAATCAACCGTTTATCGCTGACACGGCGGTCATTCCTTTTGATTCGGATCAAGTAACCGTATCAAACAAATTAATCTGGCTTGAATGAGTATCTATATTTATATGAATGTGTATGAATGCGTATAGTGCTGGTCAAAACTCTCGTTTTCAGTATTTTAAGCAACATGTCCAATCAATGCCACTGAAACACTCTGTACTTGTGTAATGAATTGTGGTTGGCTCTTCACTCATAGCATCTGTTACTACCATTATCGATCCATATTTTAATGTAAGTAGACTACATTCACATTGAATGTGGCAGTTAAGGCTAGTAAATAATAACAAAAGGCGAAAGCATAATAGATATATATATTTACACTATGAACGGTAAACAACTTGTATCATTGCAATGTGCGAGACAAGGCGAAGATCGTGAGATTGGCCGAGCGCGCTCCCCCACCTCGGCCTCGGTTAAACGGCTCATCGTCTATAACGCCCACCAATTATTTGGACCCCATTGTTGTTTAATGATGCATTCGGCAATACTATAGCAATTTGACGGTGGTCTGTAAATAATTGAATGACCAGACAATCCAGCGATTCATATCTGATCATAAGCATCGATATATGCATTTGGGATATGATGTCATGCTTAAACCAAGTCAGCAAGCATGACCACTGGATCCTGTTTGTCGCCTCTTATGACAAGCATGGGTAGCTGAAGACCAATTCTAACACGGATCTTCACAGGAGGAAATGCATGGTTGCCGAGTGTCCCACATCTTCACAGCGTGAGACCAAGTAGTAAATGTGGGTTATTGCAAAGTTTCACATCCATCACTGTCAAGAAACTTAAAGTTGACCCATTTGTCCAGCCCTGATGCTAGTGCAAGAGGCCTGGAACTGTCCCATGACGTACTCACCACAATAAGCTGCGACAGGAAGAGGCGGGCAAAATGAAGATGATTGGTCAGGTCTGTGCGGAAAGTAACCAACCAGCGGATCCGCTCCCCGTGGACATCCACCAGTGACCAACCAGTATTCTGGCGCTTGTCTTCCCAGTCTCGTATCAGTTCGTAGAATACGTCCCTGGGGAAAAATGAAGTACACTGTGTCAGAAACATAATGTCTTTGGTAAAAGGATTACCATGTTCCCATTCTGTGAGATACTTTGACCCTTAAGATCATGGTAAGTAGAACATAACGAAGTATGTGAGAGTACTAGCCTCGGGTCATTTTGTGGATTTGATCCTGGGATACTGAAAATGTTGAAGATGCTTCAGATGAAACAGGTGAGGTGAAATGGGGTTTAACGTCGCGTCCAAGATTATTGCACTTATATAGCGACGTGCATGTACGTGTGTGTGTTTGTGTGGCTGCTTGTACTAGTCCGGACTGATGCCGATTTATAGTGCTAGCTCACTGAGATACCATGCCGCAGTTTAACATGAATACCCCACACAGACACAGTATACTGACTCCGAGCCGACCAGTCCTTGTTTTAGCTCCTTAATGCCGAGCACCAGACAGGTTAACAACAAGTACCATCTGTGACTTTAAGATAAATGATGGACAACAAATATAGAACTGTCTTGTTTCCAATTAATTTGTCACCTCTTACGACAAGCATAACATAAAATGTATTCCAATACTCCAGCTATGACGGTAGCCTGTAAATAATCATCTCTGGACCAGACCATCCAGTGATTGATATTGTAAACAACAAACAATACTGTCGGGGTTTGTTGACACACCATCAACCATGTCAGCAAGTCTGATCAACCAATCCTTTGGTCGCCTCATGCAACCAGTATGGGTTTCTGGGGACCTGTCCTAAAAAACAATCCCCCTGGGTACTAATCCCTTGAAATAAAGCATTTCTCTCACCTTTGTTTTTTGAACTGATGGAAGCATTTATCATTGGGAAAGCTCTTCCTGTTGTCCGTGTCGGCCTGAAATGACACGCCACCTATTGGTGACCTTGGGAATGACAGGATACTCTGAAAATACAAACACAAATATCAACCTTGATTTGTGGTCCACAAATCTGCTTTCTTGCATACGAAGTCAATTAGCAAATTATTTATACAGTTTAAAGTCCACACCCTATTTCTACTGTAAGGTATCAACGTCTTCCAATGAAGTTTAAGACTGCCTTACAATACTCAAAAGCATCCATATAAACAGACTTACAAACAATGTTATGACAAACTTCCTGGCTCACAATGAATATGTGGGCATGGCCAAAGTTTGGCACCATATTATCCAGCTTATTTGCACACCAGCAATAAGGACTTATGTTGACAGTGGTGTGAAATATATCTCAACACTCATACAGTTGTTATTTCATGACAAACAATTTTCAACAACAATTTGCCTCATTCACAATCACTGGACCCCAGCATTATTGGACCCCTTCATGTAGGCCAGTGTTGGCCTTGTCGTAGGCCTCTCTTGTGCTGTACCTACCCTAGCAGTGTTGGCCTTGTCGTAGGCTTCTCTTGTGCTGTACCTACCCTAGCAGTGTTGGCCTTGTCGTAGGCCTCTCTTGTGCTGTACCTACCCTAGCAGTGTTGGCCTTGTCGTAGGCTTCTCTTGTGCTGTACCTACCCTAGCAGTGTTGGCCTTGTCGTAGGCCTCTCTTGTGCTGTACCTACCCTAGCAGTGTTGGCCTTGTCGTAGGCCTCTCTTGTGCTGTACCTACCCTAGCAGTGTTGGCCTTGTCGTAGGCCTCTCTTATACTGTACCTACCCTAGCAGTGTTGGCCTTGTCGTAGGCCTCTCTTGTGCTGTACCTACCCTAGCAGTGTTGGCCTTGTCGTAGGCCTCTCGCAGCTGCTGCTGCAGATGAGGGGAGAACTCCGTGATCCTGGTGTTGTCTGTGAGGAACCGGAGAGTACTCTTGTCCAGCTGACTCAGGATTCTGGACACCACAAACATTTGCATCTTTTAAAGTACAAGGCAGACACACTTTGCCAAGAGTTAAAAAGAAAATAATGCATCTAATGCACCTAAACCAGATCAGTTCATTTCTATACATTGCCTGACTGTCATCCAAAATATTATTGTAACAAATCTGGTAGTAATACAGAAGAATGTTCCATCAACATTGACTTAAAGTTTCAAAAAATATAAAAATGTCCTAAATCATATATTGTCTGTAAATAGTCTATTCCAAATTACTTCTCAGTGCCATGAAGGTCAAGAGTTGGTTTGGTTTGGTTTCTGTTTTACGCCCCTCTCAGCAATATTCCAGCTATATGACGGCGGTCTACATACAATCGAGTCTGGACCAGACATTCCAGTGATTGATATCATGAGCATCGATCCACGCAATTGGGATCGATGACATGCTTCAACTATAACAGCGAGTCTGACCACCCGATCCCGTTAGTTGCCTCTTATGAAAAGCATAGTCGCCTTTTAGGGCAAGCATGGGTTGCTGAAGAACTATTCTAACCCAGATCTTCACGGGTCAAGAGTTGGGGGTAAAGCAAAGTTTTTCACAAATAACTACGAATGAAAGTATGAATGATCAGCTTCTTGAATACAACTGCAGTGATGTTTCGGTGTAGATACAGTTATCAAGCAAGTGATACACTTTGTGAGCAAGTAACAACAGTGTTATTTGTTGCAATTTGCATATCCAACTTCAAAATACAATGATCTGATAATCCAAAACGTAAAAACTTCTGCAAAATTATGTGCTGACACCAGTCAAATGCAACAGATGCACAAGATCTTGCAGCAACACATCCAGTAACCTGCGTACCTGACCTGCTTCTCCATGATGGTGACAGCAAAGTACACGGCATTATGTACGGAGGAGAAGTACTTCACTTCATCTGACTCTGCAACATGACAACAATAACAAGTCAATCTCTGAAAAATCAAATCTTTGGCTGATATGAAGGCTCTCTAACATGTCTCAATCAAGATCTGAGGACACCTCTATAAAAAGGTCCCATTAGAGTAAAAGATTTGATCATAATGAGATTGCTAACAAGTGTAATAACTCACAAACTAATGGTACAGGTTCCATGTGTGCAGAGCTCCAGATAAGCTGCGTATCTGCGTGAAATATGCATTAGAAATGCAGAAATATGCAGTAAAATAAAATCCAAGCGTATCAAATACGCAACGAACATTACAGATACGCTACAAAACTAAAACTTGTGCGTATCATCAAAATATTGTGAAGTAACCCTGCGTATTTGATTAGCAAATCAGCAACTTATTTTGAAATTATAAACAGGCATTCCGTCAACCTTGCCAAACTCCACGATGACAGTTACATCATGATCATTTGCCATCACACTTTCTTGTGGAAGTATCGTGGTAATTTTGAGTCCTATAAAGCTCTCGAACCCACACGACACCAGTTTGCAGGGACTAGATGAATAGTGTTTTTAAATATTTAACTTAAATACCCACATGTGTAAAAACTAGTGCATGGGTAAAATACCCACAACACCAAAAGCTTATCTGGAGCTCTGATGTATGCCTGCGGTGTTTTACCTTGACTTACAAAAGTGGGGGTCCAGGGTCCCCTTGCACCAACTGATCTTAGCGCTAAGACTATCGTAAGCCTATGTTAATGTATGGGAGTTATGATCATCTTAGCGCTAAGATCGCTTTGTGCAAGTGGGCCCAGGTGACTCCAAATAATGAATTTTAAGGATCCTTGCAGACAATATGAGGGTCCTGTAAACATGGTAAAGTATTAACATGGTTTAGTGTACTGCACATTTTGATAATTACTTTAGAGCCTGGAATGAATCAATCTTCATGTTGACAGTGGTCATGATTGATGGATGAATTGACAGACACCCATTCTCTTGGTGAGGTGAAGGTAAAATGAATATTACTGTGCGTTCCTTGGGACGCAGAGTATTCTTTTTCTGCGTCGGGTATCTACATTTGTGCATACTGAACGCACAATTCTGAGAGTCATAAAACCCTGCACATGGTACAAAAAGCTTGTCGTCAGAAGGAACTAAAATGAGGATCAGTAAGTTACAATGTTATGCATGTGTGATCCTTGAGTGTATTCATTACCTGGTATCAAGGACTAATTTGTCAGGCCAGACTCACCCTGACTGACATCTTTGTCTTCCTGGACCTCCTCACCTACCGAGGTGAGAAGCTGGGTGAGGAAATACAGCTCCACCGTCAGGTTGGGGAAGAGATAATCTGTGGAGGGGAGACAACTCCAGTAAAATGAGGCTCATCACTTAATATTTGTTGTTTGTTGTTTAACGCCGCACTCAGAAATATTCCAGCTATATGACGGCGGTCTGTAAATAATCGAGTCTGGAGCAGACAATCTAGTGATTGACATCATGAGCATCGATCCACACAATTGGGATACATTGATATGCATCAACCAAGTCAGCGAGCCTGACCACCTGATCCTGTTAGTCATCTCTTACGACAAGGAAAGTCGCCTTTAACAGCACGCATGGGTTGCTGAATATATCATCATATTAGGGGTAAATTAGTATGGTTTCAAGGTGCGTTAGGCAATAAACTTCAGGGCTCGAAATTAGAAAAAAATCAGGTGTGCCCAAGGGCACTGGTCCTGTTTTTCAGGTGTGCCAATTTCAGTTTAGGTGTGCCTTGTCTCTATTACCCAATAATCATAGCAAATAGCGATCGTCACAAATAATCACTTCCGTTTGAAAAGCAAGACCAACGTAATATTCATGATACTTTGTGCCAAATTCCTAGTGTAGTTCCAGAGGTTGAATCAGTGCCATGTGTATATTCATTAATTTATGCTGAGATTCACACACACAATTATCGAGTCCAGTAATTCCAGCCTGGTTCGGCAAGGGTGGAAACTGGACTTTTAAAGCCAGTTAACTCTCTTGCCTCAGGAAGATGAGTCCAAAGCAACCTATACCAGATCAGGTTGATCACAGACTTATCCAGGATTCGGGGGCACGAGTGGCCCAGTCGTCTAAGGCGCCGCGATTCGATGTGCAGAGTTGCGTCCCTTGGGCACACCAGAAACCTATGATTGTGGGTTCGAATCCCGGTTCGCCCCGATTATGTTTCTAGGTTTGTCAGTACCATACCCGTGCTCATGGGTTTCACCGAAGTGGTAAACGTCTGAGACCTGCATCACTTCAAGCTTTCCTCCCACATTAAGCTGACACGCCACGATATAACTGTGATACTGTTAACTGGCGTTAAACCCAACTCACTCACTCACTATCCAGGATTCCAAACTAAGTGCCCTTGGCAGGCAAATTTGAAGATAAAAAGGGTTATTATGCTCTCATTGGCCAGTGAAATATAAGTCACCGGTACAAAGCCATAATTGGTTATTATCATGAAACATGTATTGGGAAATTTGTAGTTCCAATTTGAAAATATTTACTGATGTTTGTGCTTCACACCTGGGCAGAATATCAATCTCTAAGCAAGCCCAGATAAATCTTTGTTGATAGTGGGTCATTGTACCACAACGGCTTGGGCTGTTGTTCATAATATCAATCACTAGATAAGCTATCCAGATTTTTGGACATCATATAACTGGAATTTGCTGGTTGAGGTGTTACAACAAGCAAAACAATATGAAAAGTTGATAAAATCATGAAAATGTTGCAATTTGTCTCTATCAAAAGACTGAGGTGAAATTCAAAACAATGTGTTGAACTTGGGGTACTGAATATCAAACTGACCCTTAACATGACCGTAGCAAAATTCTTACACAACAAAAACTTCCTACCTGTCAGTGCCCTGGAATATAGGTCTGCCATGACATCAAGAGCATGTTGGTGGGTCACCTGACTCGGATCAGCATGGACGTACTCTATGTGACTAGCTTTCCTCTCCAGGACTGTCTTGGTCGGCGTGACACATGGCACGGAATCCAGGTCAGACTTGGCAGACTTTGGGGAAGCGCATGGATCATTCTCTATCAGTTTCTGTCGACGAAGTTTTTCTTGCCTGCAGTTAAACATTTTAGGTCATAATTCAGGTGTTTATCCAGAATTCTAAACTAAGTGCCCATGGTGGGCAAATTGCCCCGAGGGTCACCGAAAAGCGCAGTTCTTCATTGCTGTTTGTTTGTCAGTTGTTTTATGCCGAACTTAGCAATATTCCAGCTATATGACGGCGGTCTGTCAATAATCGTGACTGGACCAGACAATCCAGTGATTGACATCGTTAAATTCATGAGCATCGATCCACACAATTGGGATATAATGACATGCATCAACCATGTCAGCGAGCCTGACTACCTGATCCCGTTAGTCACCTCTTACGCATATCTTCATTGCTACTACAAAGAAAACTTATGATAGAATGGATAATCAACTTCTTATCTATTTTATTCTTTAAACCGGTAAGTTCTTATATTTGTAAATTCAAATTATCTTAACATAAAAATTACATTGGATTCACTGCAATTAAAACCAAGCATTAGAAACCCCTCCATTTGTATTGGTCTTGTAACAGTGATATACAAGTCCTTGCTCAAAAGCCATAACACATGTCAAAATATATTAAAAGGAATTGGGAAATTATTGATTCCAATGTAGAAGTTGACCCTTCATAGTGTGTATATTTCCACACCACACAGGGGTATGCGCTTTTATTACCCTGGTAACTGAATCAGTGTGCACTCAACAATCATTCTCAGCTCCCTGGGGAGTATACAACCCAAGCTGCCTGTTAGGCACGAGAAGGTTAACAACCACATTGCCATCTCATCCTTCCAGGTACCCATTCACTGCTGGGTGAACAGAGGCACATTTCGAACAAAGTCACTTGCCCAAGGAGACACCACATGTGTAACATGTGCTTCTGTGTGGGGCAGGACCGAAGACCTTGAAACTCTCAGACGCCAAGCTGCCAACACGCAGTCACTCGTCCATGGACTCTACGAGATCTATGTTGCTTAATGCTCTAAATGCCACTGTCGAACCCATTCGACAGGCGCATAGTCGAAGGACACCCCCAAATGAAACTCGCTATAACTGTTTAACGAGTAGGCTTTGCATATATTTTAAGTTACGTATGGTATGTGTAACTGCTCAGCTTGCAAAATATCAAAACTCTAAGTTAGAGTTTTACCTAAATTTACCTCTAAAAGAAAACATCGCAAGTAGGAAAGCAATGACTAAATTTATCAGCACACAAGTTGTGACACAACTACCAGAAACGGCCATTGTTGACTTTTGGCACATCACGTTGAGCGGCATGCAGTCCGATATTTTCTTTATCATATTATCATTTTTCATATTCGATCCTAATTTTTTGTTTGCTGACGAAAGGAAAACACTCAAGTTACTTGATTTCTAAAAATGAGCAAATTTCAATGAAATTAATTTTAAACAAAAACAATCTGAATCGTAACATCATCGATTGGATGGAACTTGTACGATCAGGCACCTGTTTTGTGACCTTTGCTCTGCACATAGGACCATGTGTTTTCCAATCAATCCAGATTTCGGGTCAAGTATCAGCCTCTCGGCAAGGTCTAGTAAAGTAACCCCTGTAATTTACCATTATTTCTAAAAAGGAAGTTTTCGAATGAAAGAGTCATGTGACCATGATGTGTGATACATATGATCACGATGATGTGGTAAATGATTAACATGATCAAATGTATTTGCTGTTTTTACCGGAGTAGCTCCCTCTCTTCCATGAGTGTATGCTGGGTAGTTTTGCCACCCCACGCATCCCCCGAACCTCTCACTGGGGGTGACACTTCCATCACAGCCGCAGAGAAGGGAGATGATCCCTGATTGGTTGACTTTGTCACTGGAGTCGGATTAATTCGCCGTGGTTTCCGTTTTTCAGACGATCTGGAAGAAGCGAATGTCAAGGGAACCATGGTTACACATGAAAAAGAGGATAGTTGTGAAAGAGCTTCTAATCATCACTAGTTTGGGGAAGTTTTTGCAAAATCATGTTGATGATAGGATCAGCCCAACCGATTTTTTGAGAAACATAAGACAAAACATGAAATTGTTGTTTGTAATTTCAATTTCACATGCATGTTTGAGCATGTCAAACCAATTTAAAATCAACATGATGAACATGAAGTTGTTTGTTTCTTTATTATTTAACGCCGCACTCAGCAATATTCCAGTTATATGATGGCAGTCTGTAGTCAATCAAATCTGGACCAAACAATCCAGTGATTGACATCAAGAGCATCGTTCAACGCACTTTGGATACGACGAAATGCATCAACCATGTCAGCGAGCCTGACCACCCGATCACGTTAGTCGCCTCTTACGAAAAGCATAATCGCCTTTTACGGCAACAATTGTTTGCTGAAGACCTATTCGCCCGGGAGCTTCACGGGCCGATGAACATGAAAGGGTACTTATGTTGAAATATATGCATGAATAAAGATTCAAGAAGACTTGAGATAAAACTAAAGCCAAAACCTGCGAATGTGTGTCCTCACGCTTTAATTATTATCATGATTATAGCTCGGGACAAAACAACACTATACATGGGGGTAGGGTAAACTGTAGGTCTTCAGCAACCCATGCTTGCCGTAAAAGGTGACTATGCTTGTCAAAAGGCAACTAGCGGGATCAGGTGGTCAGGCTGGCTGACTTGGTTAATGCATGTCATTGATCCCAATTGCATGGATCGATGCTCATGATATTAATCACTGGATTGTCTGGTCCAGACTCGATTATTTACAGACCGCCGTCATAGTCATAGCTGGAATATTGCTGAGTGCAGCGTTAAACAACAAACCAACCAACCAATCTTAAACATGACACAAAGACTTAACTACATGATTACAGTATCATGATACCTGATAGATGATTTTTCCTCTATCTTCTTGGGCTGTTGATATTTTGGTCCTGAATAGTCACCACCTCCTCCAACTGCATCAAAGTCTTCAGCTGCAGCGACAGCTTTGGCAAAGGGAGATAACCCTAGCTCCTGGGGACACTTAGTCACAGGGGTTAGAGTTATTCTTCGTGGTTTGGATGCTTCTGGAGATTTATTTGGGACACTTTTGGTATCACTGAAACATAACAGTTAAAAAATTTGAGCAAAATCTTCAAAAGCTTGTAATGCAAACAAGTTCATTACATCAAATAATAGAGCTATCAAATACATGAAGCAGTAAGCACACAACACAGAAATAAGCTAAACGTAAGCACGATAACCTAAAGCTAAAAGCCATAAATTGTACAGAGTAGATCCACACAGCCATACGACATCATATACATAATTGTGAATGATGAAGTATTTCAATTACTGATGATCAGTGTTGTGTTTGAAAGGGTATGTGAGGTGAAATGGGTTTAACGTCGCATCCAAGACTATTGCACTTATATAGCGACGTGCATGTCCTTGTGTGTGTTTGTGTGGCTGCTTGTACTAGTCCGGACTGATGCCGATTTATAGTGCTAGCTCGCTGAGATACCATGCCGCAGTTTAACATGAATACACCACTCAGACACAGTATACTGACTCCTAGCCGACCAGTCCTTGTTTTAGCCCCTTAATGCCGAGCACCAGACAGGATAACAACAAGTACCATCTTTTAACATTTTTTTATATGGCGCGACCGGGGATCAAACCCCGGACCTTCAGCTCTCCGGGCGGAGGCTCTACCACTAGACCACGGAGGCTGTCGTGTTTGAAAAGGAATCATATGACTTGCAACATACATGTAAAGGTGTTCAAATTTCATACGTGTGAAAGTACAACAGTATATACATTAATAACTGAGATTCAGACCTAAAACGGTCGCCAATGCGACCTAAATTTCAATTTATCCACTGTCTTAAATTCAGAGGTAGCCAAATGACTACCTTGAAAAATATATTGTAGCGACTAAATCTTATTGCTACACATATGTAGACACAAAAATATATAACAGCTGATCTTGGAAAACATCTGCTAATAATTGTACTTGCAAATAATTCCTCATAAAGTCGACAATAAACGGAAATACATTTAAATATTAACTTAATTAGTATTTTATTTAACTCAATTTCACTGGCTCCGCAAATTCAAGACCGGACATAAACTATCATTTAAAAGATTTAAAGTATTTTAGCTCATTCAAGTGAATTTTCTCTAAAGCATATTACAACTGCTTTACAAATGACCTAAATTTCAATTTGTCCACTGTCTAAGATTCAGTGGTAGCCGAATGACTACCTTGAAATATATCTTGTAGCGACTAAATCTTATTGCTACACATATGTAGACACAAATTAAATAACAGCTGATCTTGGAAAACATCTGCTAATAATTGTACTTGCAAATAATTCCTCATAAAGTTGACAATGAACGGAAATACATTTAAATATTAATTTAATTAGTATTTTATTTTAGTTGGCATTGCTCATTGGATAAGCAAGGATATACCTATATAATCTAGTAGCATATGTTACATCATTTTTCAAGTCACAAATAACAAAAATCAAGTACAGTTTCTACTAATATACAATTCCAAGACTAGTGCTATGACTTGTACATGTCATAATAGTTATTTGATATAAGATAATTTCAAACACAGTGGCCTACCTACAATATTGGCTTGACTTCTTGATTTTACCACTAACTACCTGGAAAAAATACTTTTAGCCATATGGCTACATGGTAAAATGCTAAAGTTTGGGGCCTGACATTAACTAATTTCTCAAAGAAACTATTATTGAACCTTTTTTCTCGTTTTTCATCAGCTCCTCCCACTGGAGGAAAATCATTCATGCTGATGAGGCTGAAAACAGGAGAGCTTCTTTCCCTTGCATCCTCATTACTTCTGATGAGGGGTGATCCCCCTTTCTTCCTCCCTGGTGCTCTACGATTGGGGGGTTGGGCAGTTGGAGACGGGGATGCTTCTCGGGATGAATAGGGAGATCGTCGTCTTCTTGAGTTTCCAGATTCTGGTGTCAGGAGAAACTCACCCAGACAAAGTTTCTGTTTTGTACGTTGAGCTTCTGGTGTTTGAGACAATGAGGATCTACGTCTATTTGGCGTGTCACCATCCCATCTTTTTCTGTGATAGTCATTATGAGACATTCTATCGCTGCCACCAAAACGATGATGGATATGGGCAGAATCGACTGAAGAGTTGGGGGAGAAGAGGGGACTAACATTATCAATGTCCGGTCGGAAACAATCAGCAGGACTGTCTGAAAATAACTGAACTCTTTTTGCACTTGAAGTTGCTCGTTTTTGAACTGGTGTCTCCACTTTCTGTGTGCTTGGAGTTTTAACTGGGGATGTATTACTTGACTTCGCATTCTGTAATAGATGCAAAGTTTGGTCCCGCAGAAAGTTTAAGAAAAATGCAATGAATTCAGTTCGAAGATTGTCTGTGCTTTCAATTCCTCCAGGAAGTTCATTCTGCAAAGTAATTTTTTAAGCATATAGCAGATTTATTTGGAAACAAATATAAAACAACAAAGACTCGTGAAAAAGTCCATTCCTGTTAAATTAAAGCAGCTGTATAGTGAACAACTAAATGCATTGCTTGTATCTTGTGATAACATGCGTGGCCACAAATCTTTTTTTCAACTCAATGTCACTGGCTCCGCAAATTCAAGACCGGACATAAACTATCATTTAGAAGATTTAAAGTATTTTAGCACATTCAAGTGAATTTTCTCAAAAGTATATTACAACTGCTTTACAAATGATCACAATATGGCATATCGAAACTCTTGACTGTCACATTTGTCGGCAAAAAATACATCTCAAAATAAACTTTGCCACATAAAACGGCAAGCTAAAGAAAAGGATCAACTTTACGTATTCTTTGAGTAATGTATCAGTCCAGTTCTTACATTGTTCGATTTGTTCCCCAACCAAGTAACGAGTGCTTCGGCAGACACCTGTTTATTCAGCAGAAGCTGAAGCACGGTAGCCATTTTGATTACCCCGCCTTTCAGGAATGGGTTGATACTGAAATGTGCGTCGGAGAAAGATTCGAAATTAGCACACACAAATAATTTAACTAATCACTGAATGTTTGTGTTATGTAAACGATACCACATTCTTTCATATAAGATGTTGTGTCCTTGTCAGTTGATTTAGAAAACATGATATTTGATTAATGCCGAATAAATACGACCGGTGTTCAGACGAAAAGACCAACTTTAAAATCACCACATCCCGCGAATTTCTGTGTGTGTTCGGTTGGATAATGTATTTAGACGTGTAAACTTAATTAGTGATTTCAGCAAAAGGTTACAAATTATGTTTATCGGATGTCGTTGAACTACGTAATTAGATTAGATTACGACAAACGAAATAAAACAAAGTAAGATGTAAAAATGATATGAAAAAGGCAAAACCGATAAAGCGACCGCATCGATCTCGTGGCACATTTCATATTCCGTGGTACATACAGGTCAACAATATATATATATATATGTGTGTATAAAAAATAATAGCTAGTCCTTGTAAAGGAATATATATGTTATTGTAATGGCCATTATTATGAATGTCCAAATATACCATTCAAATTCACACTTTTGAAGTCATTGTTTTTTTCTTCAGAATTGGGCTTTTGGAAAAGTAAAGATTGTGACGGTCATAGCCTGTGGCTATCTGCATATAAGTATATTCCTTGTTTATGCCTTTTCAGATTCTTGCTGTTTGGAAGACGACATATTGTTCGAAGAATACTGAAAATTCAATGCTTGAAATTATTAGTGTTTTTTCCCCGTCGAAATAGTGTCCCTTCCTCTCACAGTTGGAGCAGTCATAAATTATGGATACAGAATTTCATCCTTCTTGCAATATATTCACTTGCTATTTTGTTATGCACAAAGAATTAAGTCGATTAACTGTTGACTTCCTCGCAACATAACCATAATAAAATAATGATGATACTCCACCATTCAAAAAGAACAAACTCAGAAAACGCGGTCTACTCTACATGCAAGTACATTTATAGTGTTGCCAAGTGTGGGCGGCTATATCTCTCAGCATGGCAGGACAGGTTTGGTCCATATCCAAAATTAAGGCTCATGGATACATCAACGAAATTCTACCACACGTCCCCCCAATTGCAGCCAACGGCAACGGTGTATTCCAGCAGGACAACGCTCGACCGCATACAGCACGGATCATAAGAGCCTTTCTACACAACAACGTTGATGTTCTCCCCTGGCCCTCCAGATCCCCATGTTCCCGCGGCAAAGGTGTTAACTGACTTTGTGAGAAAGTCAGTTAACACCTTTGCCGCGGGAAGATGCCAGATCCCCGGATCTGAACCCGATAGAGCACCTGTGGGATGAACTAGATAGATGGCTGCGCCGACGCCAACCATAAGCCCAGATATACGTATGAGGTGAGGTGAAATGGGGTTTAACGTCGCGTCCAAGATTATTGCACTTATATAGCGACTGCATGTACGTGTGTGTGTTTGTGTGGCTGATGCTAGCTGCTAGCTCACTGAGATACCATGCCGCAGTTTTACATGAATAGACCACTCAGACACAGTACACTGACTCCGAGCCGACCAGTCCTTGTTTTAGCCCCTTAATGCCGAGCGCCAGACAGGGTAACAACAAGTACCATCTTTTAACGTCTTTTGGTATGACGCGGCCGGGGATCGAACCCCAGACCTTCAGGTCCCCGGGCGGACGCTCTACCACTAGACCACGGAGGCGGTCGATAAACGTATGATGTTTATGGGGTACTATAGATACAAACAGACAACCTCGATTTGCATGTGAATGAACAGGAAAACGTGATCACTGATAATGATATTACCTCACGACCCGTTGGCGTTTCATTTAGGATATTAACAATAGGTCTTGAGCGACAGTGTAAAATACAAAAGTCTCAGTACATTTCCGTATCACTCTCCATGACGAGTGTGTTGTTGTTGTTGTTTTTATTATTTGGGATCTTACAAGGATACTTATTTTGAAAACTATTCACATACAGTCTTTAGTACGAAAGATTTCCGCGGTCAACTCCCATTTAACAGAGTGTATCAGTCAATGTTCACCTGTAGCCGTCTCTAGATATTTTCTTTTCTAAAACAATCGGAGCAGTGACAACTGGTGTGCATGTTATCACCAATGATGACACCCGATATTCAATCGACAGTAAACTACGGTTATAACGAACTCAAAGGGACCACTGATTTTAGTTCGATATAACCGTAGTTCGTTATAAGCATATATAACAGCATATATACAGCAAATGGCCGGAACCAAAAATATGTTCATTATATCCATCAGTTCGTTATAACCGAGTTCGTTTTTAACCGTAGTTTACTGTACATCACATTTGCCTTTGACCATACATGGTCTTAATGTGACTACAATGTGGCTGACATCCAGCCAAGATCAGGGAAGTCATCTATCAGTCTATTAGTCAATGTTAACACCAAGTCATGATCAAGGAAGTGAGAGTACGTGACTCACATAAACCTTGTCATATCTAATGTTCACAGCCTCGTTTCTATTTCTTCCCCACAGATATCTACACGTCTTCTGCGCACCATGGTTTAACTTTCTCCGACTGAGCCTAGTACTATACGAGTTTAAGCATTATTCAAGAAACAACACGGCGGGAAAAAAAACCCGGGCTACACCTGTACACATGTGGGGTATCCAATCCGGGTTTCAACCAAGAGGCTAACCGAAAGTTCCACGCAGAGTGTCAAGGTCAGTGTCTGACGTTACCGTTCTCTGTTGTGTTTCAAGGATGTCAATGCTTTTTTGTATGATACTCGATCTTCCTTAATGATTAATCTGGTTCTGTGACCTAATTAGAACATCAAAACTCGATTAGACATTCATTTGGGAACTGTGTGAATTACATGAATCTGGTATGCATGTGTGACGTGAATCTGGTATGCATGAATTACATGAATCTAGCATGCATGTATGATGTGAGTCTAGTATGCATGTATAACGTAAATCTAGTATGCATGTATGACTGAGTGAGTGAGTGAGTTGGGTTTAACGGAGCTTTTAATAGTATTCTAGTTATATCACGGCGTGTCAGCTTAATGTGGGAGGAAATCCCGAGACGATGCAGTTCTCAGACGTTTACCACTTCAAACCCACGAGCACGGGTATAGTGCTGACAAACCTAGGAACATAATCGGGGCGAACCGGGATTCGAACCCACAATCAAAGGTTTCTGGCGTGCCCAAGGGACGCAACTCTGCACAGCAAATCGCGGCGCCTTAGACGACTGGGGAACCCGTGCCCCCTATGCATGTATTAAATGAATCTAGTTTGCATCTCTTACATGAATCTTTGTCAGATATGAATCGAGCATGTATGTATGACATCATCTTCCCGAGGCAAGGGAGTTAACTGACCATAAAAGTCTAGTTTCCACCCTTGCTGAACTAGGCTGCAATTTCTGGGCTCGATCGTAGCGTCACTATTACGTGATGTGTCCCTTCTATGCCTCTCCTGTTGCCCAATCAGATTCCGCCTCTTGTATCACTTACACTTGCTTCAAACAAAATGGCGGCGCCCAGTCAAGACGATCCGATTAATAATCGAGATCTATATTGTGATAAAACGGGTTTCACATCGCAAAGTACACCAAATAACGTGAGGACCTTGATTAAAAACATGAACAGATTTGGAAAATTACTGTTGATCCCGTGTTGGCGGTGCACATGCTTTGCAAATCCTGCAATCGCCCGAAATCTGCACAACAGTTTACGAACCGGATTTCGATTTCGTTACGCGATTTTGATTGGACTATGGATAGATTCTTTACTCCAGCCAAAATATAACTCCATATTTCCAGCCTAGTTCGGCAAGGGTGGAAACTGGACTTTTAAAGTCAGTTAACTCACTTGCCTCGGGAAGATGGTATGACACGAATACAGTTTCCATGTTTAGTGATATTTCAGCAATATCACGGACACCAGAAATGGGCTTCACACTTTGTATCCTGCCCCGTTTCCATGTTTAACATTAATATTTGTTGCATATATAAGTGAGTGAGTGAGTGAGTTGGGTTTAACGCCGCTTTTAACAGTATTCCAGTTATATCACGGCGTGTAAGCTTAATGTGGGAGGAAAGCCCAAAGTGATGCAGGTCTTAGACGTTTACCACTTCGGTGAAACCCACGAGCACGGGTATGGTGCTGACAAACCTAGAAACATAATCGGGGTGAACCGGGATTCGAACCCACAATCATAGGTTTCCGGCGCGTCCAGGGGACCCAACTCTGCACAGCGAATCGCGGCGCCTTAGACGACTGGGCCACCCGTGCCCCCTTATGCATATATTACATGAATCTAGCACGTATACATGGTATACATATATGTTCCATGTTTGACGTGAATCCTGTTTACATATATGGTATGCATCCAGTAGTTTGGTTTATGGTATGCATCCAGTATGCTTGTACAATATGAATACAGTTTGTTGTTACAGTATGCATCCGTTTTACATGTACTGTGGTAGATTAACACTTTGTTTCTGAAAATATGTAATTATAATAACTATTAAATTAAAAGGAGCCCCTGTGAGAAGGGAGATTCAGAATTTGTGGAAATCGAGACTTGCATCATTCAGTGCTTTTTTTCAATTCTTTATTTCAGTATAAAGGCCATAGGCCCACGTACAAATACTCATTGAAAAATACAGTATGAGGCAGATGACAGAGGGTATTAAGTGACAGTATTTCGGATTGCAAGTGCTTCCAGTATATACTTAACACAATTAGTTACAATACTAGTGCGGTTACAAGATAATAGAGTATTATATTTAAATAAGGTAGGATTGGAAGAGTAATAAATAGGTAAATACTTATTTCTTAAATATCTGTAACATTCAGTGCTTTTGCAATACAGAAAGGGCCCGGCGGAAGGGAATATAATAGGTTCAGGCACTGGGAGACAGACTATGCAAATATGACAAGTACCCATTGTAACCGCGTGGTTGTTACATCCGTCTCTTCTTTTCCTAACTTGCAGGAAAGCTAAAGCTCATGTTTGTCATTGGTGTAGCTCCAAATGACACACGAGTTTGTTAAAAATCAATTTTACTCAGAGGGCATACTTAAGAGCTGTTGGAAATAGTCGAAAAAATGTGCAATATCAAGCTTCAAAATTCATCTTAGTTGGTGACTGCAATACTGCAATTCAATCTCGTTTCCATGTAAGTCGTGTATTAAGAAAACTATCGAGGACTTATACTACTTTCTACTTGTATGTACACTATATTCTGCTATAAGATAAAAAGATGTATTACATCCAAATCCAAATGATCCAAAGATGTATTCCTGTACATGTGAACCAGTAAAGATAAATTATTTATGCAAACCATTCCCATGTATATTTACCACACACCCTTCAACAAACACACATTCGTATATAGAGTTTACAATGCCGGGATCACCTCTGTTCTATCTGTACTATAGGCTTGTGGGCTTAAAAGTGTTTGAATGAAGATTGAATGGTTGAATTTGTTATTAATGTACTCCCTCATACATTCTCTTCACAGAATGGGTTCCATCAACGCCTGTCATCTGGGTTTGATATACACGATATCAACATTGTCCTTTGTGCAAACCGACCAGCTTGCATTGGCTCGTCCGTGTACCGTGGATTCACAGGAATACATCGCTGACTGCCGTAACAGGAACCTCTCCGACATACCCCATGGCTTTCCAGTGAACATCAACACCTTACTTCTCAGAAACAACACCATCAACATAAAACACTTGTCTTCTGGCTTGTCTCGATTCTCTCATCTTTACCATCTTGATTTGTCCTTCAATCAACTGCGTGGTTTGAAACCAAGAACATTCATTCATCTTACACGCCTTGAAACTCTGAACTTAGAAGGCAATCACCTCCCTCTTAACAGTTCGGCATATCCAAATGCCACGTTTCAGGGTCTTCGTAACCTTCAGTCCTTGAAGATAAACAACAACATCAATGATGAGGATCACTTCTCAGATATGGAATATCCAGGACATGTACTAGCAGAGTTATCTGCCCTTGAGGAATTGTTTATTGATGGTATACCTTCAGGTGTATTTGGTGAGGAGTTTCAATCTCTCAGGAAGCTTAGAAATTTAACGTTATCTGGGAGGATAGGTACATGTAATATTCCAAACATAAGTTCCGACTACTTTAGAAATCTGAAGCATCTGACTTATCTGAACATGACGAGTTGTTCTATATCGCACATTGGAAGACAGGCTTTAACTAAATTAGATAACATCACCATTCTTGACATGTCCGGCAATACACGATCGGATACGAGGCATGTTGAAAATATTTTGTGTGGTCTCCAAAATTCCTCGGTTGAAATTTTGAAACTGAATGCCATGGTGAGTGAATATGCAACATGTACTGTCATCACTAACTTAATGGCGCAGCATCTTCACAGCACCAATTTAAGGGAACTGTATTTTAATGATAATTATATTGTTACCGCTGAAAAAGAAGTATTGTCACTTCTTCCCAAAAGTCTGGAGGTACTTTCTATTAGGAAAAGTAGACTTGTTTATGGCACTTTCTTTGAATATTTGAACCAACTGGAAAACGTGCGGATGATTGACCTAAGCGAAAGTATTGGCAGTTCTGTTCCCGTCATTCATGGATTATCATTTAGTCTTCCTCCTAAACTGGAAACTTTCTACTGTGACGACAGCACATTTAGGGTTGCGTTTGTCAATGTAAACTTCACCTCCAACAATGTTATGAAAATTAGTTATAGAAAAAACGTCATAACCTACTGGGCTGGTCCAGTGTATGGCTTGAACCAGTTAGCTGAACTAGACATGTCAGAAAACTTCTGCGATCGTATTTATGATGGTTGTCTGAAAGGTTTTCCTAGTCTCAAGATATTAAGAGCTAATAGTAACTACCTTGGGGCCTTCTTAGGTAACGATATAAAAGGACAGGTGTTTGCTTATTCACCAACTCTCGAATTTTTAGATCTATCTTTGAACAGAATCCAGTTTTTACCAGTGAATGTGTTTCGAAACCTTGTCAGTCTGAAAACTTTGAACCTAAGTGAAAACAGTCTCTCTTACCTGAAGGTGAAGGTTAGTCATATGACCACTTTGACATCTTTGAATTTAAGTTCAAACCAAATTCCATCCCTAGATCACATGTTTATGTCTCAACTGGACATAATCAGCAAAATCTCTGCTTTAAAGGTTGATCTTTCAGACAACCCACTTATCTGTTCATGTGAGACATTATCTTTTGTAAAATGGATGACACAGAGAAAGGACATGTTTGCAACTCAACAACTGTACAAATGTTCCTCACAATCTGGATGGTTATACAACGAAAATGTGTTTGAGATTCTTTCACAACTTCAACAAAAGTGCACCTCTCATTTTGGCCTTGCGATGGGACTGTTGGGTTCGGTAACAAGTTTCCTCTGCATCTTGTGTGCTTCTATCCTCTACAGGTATCGATGGAAGTTGAGATACCTATATTACATAGCACGGGGACGTTACCGAAATGTTGACCTGATCCAACAGGGGAATGACAGGGAATATGAATATAATGCTTTTATCTCCTACGCTGACGAGGACCGTGACTTTGCTCTACACATGTTCATCGAGAAGCTTGAAAGAGAAGGCAATCTTCAATTGTGTCTTCATCATCGAGATTTCATTCCAGGCGAGGAAATAGCTGCCAACATCCTGTCAGCCATTCAAAAAAGTAAACTTGTTGTCATCGTGCTTTCCCCTAACTTCCTGGACAGTTACTGGTGCAGATACGAGTTTGAGATGGCCCGGATGGAGGGTCTGTACACTGAGAGGAACATGGTTGTCCTGGTGAAGTACCAGGAGGTCCTGCCCAACCTTGTGCCCAGGGACTTGTTGTATATGATGCACACACAGACCTTCCTGGAATACCCACAGACCGTAGATGACCAGGACGCGTTCTGGATTGCTCTCAAAGATACCCTTGTAGCACCCTGAGAAAATCATTTAGACATGGTATCAGCCAGATCCATATGCAAAAATCCTCATGACTGTTCTCTAAGAAGCTCTCATAACATTTTAATAAAGGCATACCCTCTGCTTCTTCTCTGAGGGTTTCGCCAGAGTAGACATTACAATCTCCATGTTATATAATTTTTGTAACATTTCGCAAAATAACCGCAAAAATCAAATTACATTGTTCTGGGTTTTTAGGCACGAGGTATTCACACAACAACGTCGTCGTTTAGGGTCGAATCTCATTCCATTTGTTTCGAGATGGATTTGAGCACAAACACACATCATTTTCATTGTGTGTCAGCATGAACGGCGCCTTGTTAAGAAGAAAATTCGTTATGATAGTGGATCTTGTTGTGCTATATCCCATATGGTACATAGGATGTAAAAACTCAAATGATTATTTTTAATGTCTCAATTCTTTTTCTAGTTCAAACCCATTTCCATTGTATAAAACGTGGCTCTGTTAAATATGGATTTAAATAATGTCTATCATCACCAATTTCGTAAATGACCGGGTTGTGTATTTGAATGTCATTTTATGTTACTGGATAATAATAATGAAATGTGAAATGAAACGAAACTATTTAATCGAGAATATGTGAATAAACATATCTGTCTGAAAACATGCTATGTCTGCACACACACACACACACACATACACACACACACACGCACGCACGCACGCACGCACGCAAGCACGCACACACACACAAACACACACACACAGAGACAGAGGCCACCACTACCTCTATTGGGTGAGTTATTTCTATAAAGGTGGTAAACTGTCGTCTGCTCCTGTACGTGATACGTACGCTTCACGTGCAAATACAGAGGTGACTCGACCCGAGTCACGTGACGGAAACAACCCACGTCGGGCCGACAGAGGTAACGCAGGCAGGGGTGGGAGACCGACACAGAAGAGATAGGGGTGTGGCCAGGGCCCGGATATACAGGGGGCGTCGTCTGAACCTACTTGTAGTATCATTAATGCTGTGAAACTCGTGTTTTTGGAATATATCAGGGTTGCTCTCAAAGTTATCAGACTGTGAGTGTCTATCATTTTTAAAAACATTTGACATAATTGGTTTGACAGAGACATGGACCCAGAAACTAAATTTTGATGATACGTTCTGCGAATATACCGACTTTATTAAGACAGCAGACAAGATAGCAAATTTTGGAAGACCTTCAGGTGGAATTTGTGTAGTAAAAGTATAATTATCTATTACTAGACAGGTCACTGTTTGGACTTGAAAAACACGTGTTATACTGCTGTGTGTATATTCACCCAGAAGGATCTACATGGTACGACAGTAATGTTGGATCTAAAAACGGTATAGTGCTAATTCAGGATGAACTGCTTGACATCCTAGGTGATGTTGGTGACGTTTCGTGCATTTTAGGGGGTGACTTTAATGCAAGAACTGGCAAAGAGCCAGATTATGTAGAGGATGATATACTTCAATATCTCCATGGCCAGGATACTTCATACTGGGACAGGTTTAATCTGTGTAGATATTCAAACGATACTATTCTTAATAACTTTGGAAAATGTTTTATCAATTTATGTGCTGTTTTAAATGTACACATAATGAATGGCCGCTGTGGAAGTGAGCCCGAGAAAGGTGATTTTACATTTGTTGGCAATGCTGGAGCAAGTGTTATCGATTACATTATTAGCACCATAGATATATTTGACTTGTGCCAAAATTTTGATATTGAGTCACGCCACGAATCACAGCACCTGCCTATTACAATGTCATTACGAGCGCTTCATTCAGGTGGAAAAACATCATTTGAAAACGCCTACCATAGACATTCAATGTTTAAGTGGGATAACAGCAAAGCAGATATTTTCCAAGAACGACTGTTATCAGACACCTTTGCATGCCTCCTAAGAGAAGCTATTGATTCTGTTTTTACAAATATTGATGAAAGTGTATCGTTATTTACAGAAGCTATTACATATGCAGGGAATGTAATGAAAAGGGAAGTAACCCCTAACAGAGAAAGTAAACAGTGGTTTGACTGGGAATGTGAGTTGTTAAAAAAAAATAAAGGATAAAGACGCACTTGCTAAGTACACTGATTCGAAAAATAAGTATAAAGCTACTTGCAGAAAAAAGAAACAAAATTTCATGGATAGAAGCAGAGAAAAACTAGAAGAAAGTATCAGCTCATCACAACAGTTTTGGACGACCTTGAAAAACATCAGCAACAAGAAGGAAACTAAAAGTAACATAGAAATGCATGAGTGGTTTAATTACTTCAAAAATCTTTTCAGCGGTGATGATTCCACAAATAACTTCCAGTTGAACTCTTTTGATAATGATGAAACCAATTTTGCAACGGAAATATTAGATTCCCCAATCTCAAAAGAAGAAATTAAATCTGTTATTCAAAATCTGAAAAACTTGAAAAGCACGGGATTTGATAAACTTATAACAGAATTCTTTAAATACTCTCTTGATAATACCCCGTCGTATTTGGAAATATTATTCAATACAATAATGGATACCTCTTACTTTCCAAAAGGTTGGACACTTGGAACTATCGTTCCAATTTCACAAAAAAAGGCTCAGTGACTGATGTTGAAAATTATAGGGGGATTACACTTACCAGTATATTCAGTAAGATATTTCTTAGCATTATTAATAAACGCTTGGTATTGAGGTCGGAAGCACTTGATAAGATTGAGGAAGAGCAAGCAGGTTTTCGACAAGGTTACTCAACCACTGATTATATGTTTATTCTCCAGGCTCTTATAGATAGGTATATTCAACGTAAACGTGGAAAATTGTATGCTATATTTGTAGATTTTTCGAAAGCATTCGATTCAGTCTGTAGAGATAAGTTATGGTATCTATTTAATTCACATGGTGTCAGTAATAAAATGGGTAAATTGTTATGTGGTATTTATAAGGAAGTTAAATCATGTGTTAAACAAAAGGGCATGTATTCAGATTCTTTTATATGTCATACTGGTGTACGCCAAGGATGTGTATTAAGCCCTTTTTTGTTCTGTTTTTTTATTAATGAGCTTGCAGCCCAAATCAAAAGAAATTATGATGATGATAATTACATCCTGAACTTATAAAAATATTTATGTTACTATTTGCAGACGATATAATCATGTTCTCGAGTACTGTAAAAGGTTTACAAACTTTGATAAATCAGCTAGAATTGTACTGTGATACGTGGAAACTTAATGTTAATCTAGATAAGACAAAAATTGTTGTATTTAGCAAAGGAAATACGCTGTCAAAAAACGAAAAGTGGTACTTTCGGGGACAATTACTCCAAACTGAAACCTCATATAAATATCTTGGTGTAATATTTTCAAGTAAATTATCATGGAACCGACATATATGTAATGCAGCAATCCAAGCTAAAAAGATGCTATTGGGCATTTTACAAACGTTTGAACATATTAGCGAATGTGCTTATATTTCTTTCTTCAAAATCTTTGACACAAAAATAGCTCCTATTCTTTCCTATGGTTCAGAAATATGGGGTTTTGCAGAGGCTAAAGAAATTGAATCCGTACATTTATACGCATGCAAAAGATTTCTTGGTGTTAAACATAGTACGTCTAACGTAATGGTTTATGGTGAATGTGGTCGCATGCCCTTGTATATATATCACTACTTAAAAATCATAAGATACTGGTTAAAATTACTAAAAATGCCAGTAAGTAGATCAAAATTGGGCATACAATGTTAAATGTCTACTGTATAAATGTGGGTATGGTTACATCTGGGAAAACCAATGTTTCTTAGAGAATCATGCCATGTTCATATCGAAAATAAGACAGACGCTTTTTGACATGTATTTTCAAACATGGAGATCTACTGTAGATGTTTCTAGCGAATATTATAGATATTTTATAATGCAAATATGCGCAGAAAAATATTTAACTGATGTAAATATAAGAAAATGCAGAATATCATTAACACAATTTAGATGCAGCTCACACAGGTTAATGGTTGAAGTTGACAGGCACAACAGAATACTCAAATGTTTAAGATTATGTAAACAATGTTCTTTAAATGTTGTCGAAGATGAATTTCATTTTCTACTTGTATGTTGTAAATATGATAATTTAAGGAAAAAATATATTGAACAGAAATACTATGTACATCCAAATAAATACAAGTTTATCTGTTTAATTTCACATGTGAGCAAAACGGCTATACAAAATCTCTCTCTCTTTATATATCATGTCATGTTATTAAGAAATGAATCCTTGTAACATTCCTAACCGCTTCCACATTGTCATCTATTCTGTACTATGGGCCTGTGACCTTACAGATATATATGAATAAACTGATTGATTGATATTGGGTGAGTTGAGGTGAAATGGAGACAGTATACTGACTCCGGACCGACCTGTATTTGTTTTAGCCCTTTAATGGCGAGCAGGAGGCAGGGTTGCAAAAAGTACCATCGGTTAATGTCTTTTGGTATGACGCGGCCGACCTTTGGACAGCTGCATTGTTTGTTTGTTGTTTAACGCCGCACTCAGCACTACTCCAGCTATATGACGGCAGTCTGTAAATAATCCAGTGATTGACATCATGAGCATCGATCCACGCAATTGGGATACGATGACATGCATCAACTAAGTCAGCGAGCCTGACCACCCGATCCCGTTAGTCGCCTCTTACGACAAGCATCGTCGCCCTTCACGGCAAGCATGGGTTGCTGAAGACCTATTCTACCCCGGATCGCCACGGGTCCGGAGAGCTGATCCATCCAATTGACCGCTTTGGGGACATCCGGGAGACCTGGGTGATTGTTTGCCTGTCCAATTATTTTGCAGGTCGCAATGCCGAAGCTGAAAATATTACTAATCTCGGCAAAAAACAACAATAATTCCTTCTGTCCTGTGTCTCCTCAAACGAGTTTCAAACGGCGAGGCAAAACGTTTCAAGCGACGTTTCTATAATAACGTTGGAACTATATGAATTGATAAGGATAAGCATTTCCTGCTTGACAGGTAGGCCTCAGAAGTCCGAATCCCCGTTCGTCCCGATTTTGTTTCTAGGTTTGTCAGAACCATACTCATCCTCCGGGGTTCCACAAAAATGGTAAACGTCTGAGACCTGCATTACTTCGGGCTTTCCTTTTGCGAGTTTGGTTCTTGTTAATAGTAGCCCATGGGCATGCTCTCTCTGCAATTATACATATTTTATATCTTTACCTGAAACTGTTGAAATGTAGAACAACTACGACGCTTACTGCATAATCATTCCTTGTTTACCAGAACCTTGCGCTCAATAAACAAACAACCTCAATGCATAGTCACATTTTTTTTACATATGAAGGAGATCCCTGATAATAGTACCTCATGACTAGACTAACATCTAGTCTCTGAAATGAACATATCGTACAGAAAAACCAGTTGTTCAGTTATCTTAATAAAAATATCATAAAAGGGAGCCCAGTGACTCTCTTCATTTTCAGATACTGCAGTAATCTAGACTTGCCAAACATTATAGACTTGCATGGGCTGTATTTTATATATATTTGTATAA